AGCTTCAACAACTCAACCAACCATTCATTCAAATAATCCTCTTAAGAAAACTATTACAGCTTCAGCCTTAAACTTTCTTCAACAGCCTTCAAATTCTCCTCCTCAAGCCTGCTAGTTTTTCTCTTCTTCTTACTTACAGCCCTTGCAGCCTCCGCAACTGGAATTGGTCGTTTCGAAGGCTTGAATGAATCTTTTTTAGGCTTAAAACCCTTCACTTTTTGGACCGGTACATCATCTATACCAAGATAACAAAAACAAACTACAATCAATGACAGATATATGTAAAATCATTCTCCTCAAAAAAATGCATATATCAAAACACAAAACTCTAAACAATTAAAAACTTACTGTCACCGTTAGAAGACGTGCTTGTTCCAGCAGGTTCAGTAATCGATAGGGCTTCACACTTTTTGATCAAATCAGTCATGAAGGCCATGGCTGATTTATACAAATCATCATCCAATGCAACCCTGCTGATCATTGATGCAGAAACAGCTGACAGATTGAAAAGACGAGAACGGTATTTCGATGGACTATCAGTAGACGGAACTTCAAAAGAAAAGTTCCCTCCAGTTTTCGCTGCCCTTGTCCACCGCTTCAAAATCAAACTGCTAGGAATGTGCTGGAACTTCAGATTGCATGTTGTAGACCACAACATATCATATCCCTTAATTTGATGCTTACAGATCATACCACTTGACTCCCACTTACGGCACGAACACTTGATTTCACCGGTTTCAAAATCAACCTTCAACACCCTACTATCCAACCTTGTAAGGTCATCCTCCAATATGAAGACATCAAACAGTCCTACACCTTCTGGTTCTATCTCCGTATTGGAAAAAATATTATACGCAAGAGATTCCTTGTACTGATCCAGGAAAAACTTGAATATCTTCGGCGTATACACATTGGCAACTTGCTTCACAATAGGGCTAGTAGAAAACCGAGAATCAGCCAACCTAGATAAGGCGTAGTACTCTTCTTGTTCTTCAGCATCCCTCTTATTATCAAGCATCCTCTCAAAGTGCACAAAGAACCTACTAACGCTAAACTCTGACTGCAAGTAATGTCGAATATTACTATTGCAGCACTCACTTAGCTGGGTACTCTTCATTCCCGCACCAAAATGACAATTCACCCAGGCTGAAGACCACTTCGTCCTGACTTTGTAAATGCCCTGTAACCAACTGTGTCCCAAAGGTCCCTTCCCAGGAAAACACTTCTCAATCATCTTCTTCCAATTATACTCAAAATCATCCTCATCATCAGCATTATACATCAAATAACTAAGCTCACGAAGGAAGTCAGAGTCACACAAACTTCCCAGATTAACAACTGCATTCTGAGCAATATGCCATGTACACAACCCATGAAAACAATCTGGGAAAACAGACTTTATACCAGCAGCAATTGCAGCAGCCTGGTCAGTAAACATTGATAACGGTCTCACACCTCCCATGCATTTCAAAAACTGATCGAAAAGCCATTCAAATGTTGCCGTTGTTTCATCATATAGAAGAGCAGCCGCAAAGACAGTCAGTTGGTGATGATTGTTGAAACCAACAAACAAAGCTACAAAAACATAACAAAAATGTGAGTAAAAACAATTCTACCAACACATACCATGTGGTAAAAGGTACGAATAACAATAATACCAACCCATACCATATGCTAAAGACTCATACCATGTGGTAAAGACTTCTAAGAACAAAAAAAACCTTGTTACCAACCCATACCATATGGTAAAAGACTTTTAAGAACAAAATAACCTTGTTACCAACCCATACCATATGGTAAAAGACTTTTAAGAACAAAAACACAATGCATACCAGCCCATACCATATAGTACAAACTTCTAACAACCCAAAAACCACCTCAAATAACCTTGTTACCAACACATACCATATGGTAAAATACTTTTAAGAACAAAAAAGCAATCCATACCAACCCATAACATATGGTACAGACTTGTAAGAACAAAAAAAAAAACATGATACATAATGATAATAATAATAATCATACAAACTAACAAAGACAATAATAAACAACAAACTAGAAAACATACCTAGTGGCCGATACTCTTTGTTAGTCCGGTAAGTAGTATCAAAACTAATTGAATCACCAAAATAATGATAATCCATCCTCATCTTCCCATCTGCCCAAAAAATACTAGCAATGTTCTCTTCAACATCAACCTCCACCTCATGAAAGAACCCAGGATCCAGCTGTGCTTGACGTCTAAAGTATTCAAGCAATGCAGTCGCATCACCATACTCCATTGATAACGTCCTAACCGTTCGCAGATGATTCTTCATATCATTCTTTGTGAACCCAACAAACTTCCGACCACCACCAGCCCTACTAATTGCATTATACGAAGAAGTCACACCAATACCAGCAGCATCATTCACCTCTGCCAACATCTTATACACAGGAGCCATTCGTCTACTGGATCTCACATAGTGACGCAGAGACTCAGGAATCATGTCATGGTTGTGCACATTACACCAACGATAGATCTTGTAGCATTTAAACTCTTTAAACCACCTCAGTCGTATATAAGCACCATTACATCCACCCCTGAGTTCTGGAACATTACGAACACGAACTGTCGTATCAACAACACCTGCATTATCAGGGTTATTCTCGCTACCTCTTTTCCAACCTTCCTTATTGCAACAATACTTGATATAATATACAGCTGAAGAACCACCATTGAGCTTCGGACACGCTGATTGGTTATAAATCCTCACACCAAAACCTTCATGATTCCCATAATCAACATAAAAATTATATGCATCATCTGGTGTATTGAACTCTAAGTCCTTCCAAGAATCACGAACAGTAGGATCTATACCATTGAAACCTACAAACATTATGAAACAACATATTAAATGGATTCCACACCACAACAGTATGAAATCTCAATGTATACCAATAATTACAGCCATGATACAAGAGTTACCACCATGGTATGGCATGGTAAAATCAAATTACCACACTATACCATATGGTATGGCATGGTAAAATCAAATTACCACACTATACCATATGCTATGGCATGGTAAAATCAATTATCACACAGAACCCTCACATTTAACTTCCTAATTACCACATTTTACCACATGGTAATGTACTGTAAAATCAATTACCACATGATAAGGCATGGTAAAATCAAATTACCACACTATACCATATGGTATGGCATGGTAAAATCAATTATCACACAGGATCCTCACATTTAACTTCCTAATTACCACATTTTACCACATGGTAATGTACTGTAAAATCAATTACCACATGATAAGGCATGGTAAAATCAAATTACCACACTATACCATATGGTATGGCATGGTAAAATCAATTATCACATAGAACCATCACATTTAACTTTCTAATTACCACATTTTACCACATGGTAATGTACTGTAAAATCAATTACCACATGATAAGGCATGGTAAAATCAAATTACGACACTATACAAACTTCAATAAACAAACAAATTTGTATATCTTACCTCCTGATTCACCAGAGTTAGCTGAATGATCAAATCCAAGATCGATAGATGAAGAAGCAATTCCAACAGCACTAGATGAAGAACCAGATCCTACAACGCTGGTTGAAGAACCAGATCTATCAATTGGAACAACATCGCCACAATTTACATAACTCATCTCACCAGAATACTACAAAAACACCAAAACACAAAGAACATAACACATGAACAAGCTCGATTAGCTAAACATAAACAAGCTCGACTAGCAGCAATGAAAAACCTCCAACGAAACCAGAGATCAACAGAAAACTCGATTAGCTAAACAGGAAGAATCAAAAAAACTAATATCTAACCTCGTCGTCGATCAATTATGGAGAATCACAAAAGATTCGCCGTCCCCTGTTTCGCAGCAGCTGCTCGCAGTTTCTCTCTACAAAAACCGAATCCAACTCGCGCACACGTCGATCGATTATGGAGAATCAGAAAGCTCGATTCGAAGCTGCTGTTCGCAGTTTCTATCGCCGTCGATCAACCATGGAGAATCGCCGTCCTTGTTTCTCAGCTGCTGCTCCCCTGCTCGCAATTTCTCTCTCCAAAATCCGAATCCAACTCGCGCACACGTCGATCAATTATGGAGACCGAGAATCAGAAAGCTCGATTCGAAGCTGCTGCTCGCAGTTTCTATCGCCGTCCTTGTTTCTCAACTGCTGCTCCCCTGCTCGTAGTTGAGACTCTCCAAAATCCGAATCCAACTCGCGCACAGAAAGATTCGCAACGGACAAAAGGGGAAACTCATTAATTCAAATAACGGACAAAAATGCCCCTGATCATCCCGCTTCAATGACAGCCACACGATCCGTCCGCCCCAGATCAACGGTTCCTAGGTGGTTACTCACGGGTGAGTAACAAAGGGTTACTCACCCTATCCTAAGCCTGAATAGCCTCGTCAAAACAAGAAATCCAAACCAGAAAATCATGTTTACTCCGAACAGTAACACTAAGACTAACTCTTATACTAATCCTAACACTACGATTCTAATAAGGAATATAACACTGCCCAATTATACAACAATACTCGTAGCATAACATAATACTACTCTTATATCAGATTCTCCTTTTAACCGTTGATATGCATAAATAAAGAAAAACATAAATTTAATCTAATGATGAGAAGGATATATAGATTGAAAATCGTGAATAATTGAAATGATCAATCATCATAGTTGATAATCTAGACATCTTCCCAAGAGCTGCTTATCAATAAAATTCATCACTACCTCTAAACCCTCTACATCTCAAAACCTGTAATCATAGGCCAGTGTCTAGAATTCACCGCAACCGATCACCCAGATAGATTCCAAACTAAATTAGGATAGAAGTTTCATGACACAAAAAGCAACAGTCGCCAACAGCAACAGTCCAAAAATTAAAAGTCAAACTGAAAAAAAGAAAAAGAAAGAAAAGAAAACTCGATCGATGTGAATCATTTCTTCATTCTGATCAAACCTTCTTCAACAAGTTCTTCAGCTTCCGACTTTTGTCCTTGTAATCTTGCATGGATGCAGTACTATTGTTGTTATCAAGCCATTCTGAAGTTTCTCTCACAGCCTCTTCCACCTCGCCATATTTCATATGAAGCTTCGCAGCCACCGCCTTGTTCAAATCGTAAATGGCGTCCTCCAACTGGTTCCTCGCTTCAACACGAGCTGTCTCCTTCTTGTCGTGCTCGGCCATCTCCCTCGCCTCTCTGATCATCCTCTCAATCTCCCTTGAACTCAAATTCCTCTTGTAGTTGTCGATGGCGAGGGAATTAGAATTCCCGGTGGCTTCCTCCTTCGCCGTGACGGTTAGGATTCCATCCGCATCAACCTCGAATGTCACCTCCACCGGCACCGCTCCCCTGTTACGTAGATCCCATGCAATTTCCCGGGCTTTAAAGATCCATGCATGCAAACTCTTAATAATAACATCAAAATATTCTACGTACCTTGGAGCAGCTGGAATGCCTGTTAGTGTAAAACTTCCGAGCAGGAAGCAATCTTTGCCGCGGGCTCTTTCACCTTGAAGAACCTGAGATAGTCATGTATCGTTCGCATAGGTAATAATGATCATTGCCGTCCGCTAATCTGAAAACAAACATAGAATTGAAAAAAACAAATCAACTGGTTATATATATAACTCTACCTCGATAAACAAACTAGTTTGCTGATCTTTCACAGTTATGTACTCGCCGTTCGACTTCTTCGTAGGAATGGGTGTATTCCTGGGCACCACTATGGACATCAGATCGCCATGGACTCCGATCCCCAAGCTCAAGGGAGTGACATCGAATAAAATAGCACCTACGTACAATATCAACCGTAAGCTTAATTCTATTGCATGCTTCACTTTTTCAACAAGTAAATGTTCTAACACACATAGAATGAAACGGCATGAAACAACAATTAAAACACGAGGGACGAGCCAAATTTACCAACTCCAGGCCGGTCACCGGCGAGATTGGCTCCTAGGATAGCAGCACCATAAGCCACAGCTTCATCAGGGTTGATCCCATTGCTCGGCTCTTTCCCGTCAAACGCCTTCCTCAACATCTCTCCAACTTTAGGAATCCGTGTGCTCCCACCAACCAGCACAATCTCGTCGATCGTGCCCTTACTCACCTTTGCGTCCTTGAGCGTCGACTTCACTATCTCCAGTGTCCTCTCGAACAGATCTAAATTCAAAGCCTCGAATCTCGCCCTGGTCAACGGCTCACAAAAGTAGTCCACTCCTTGAATCAGAGAGTCAATCTCAACCCTAGTCTGCGTCTGAGTGCTCAGTACCCTTTTCGCCCTCTCGCATTCCCTCCGCAGCTTCCCCAAGGCTTTCGGGTCTTCGCTCACATCCTTCCTGTACTTCTTCTTTATCAGATCGATGAAATACTTCATCACCCTTTGGTCGAAATCTCCCCCGCCGAGATGTGTATCACCACCCGTGGCCAGTACCTCGAATATGCCGTCGTTGATTTCCAAAACGCTGACGTCGAACGTCCCGCCGCCTAAATCGTAAACCAGAATGGTCCCCTTTTTGTCGGGACCTTGGTTCACGCCATAGGCTAGAGCGCCGGCAGTCGGCTCGTTGATTATCCGCAAAACATTGAGCCCGGCGATAATGCCGGCGTCCTTGGTGGCCCGCCTCTGGGAGTCGTTGAAGTAGGCCGGGACTGTGACGACGGCGTTGATTACTTGCTTCCCAAGATACAGCTCCGCGGTCTCCTTCATCCTCCACAGCACCATGGCGCTGATTTCTTCCGGGGTGAAGATTTTTAGCTTGCCCTTAACTTCCACTTCGATGCAAGGCTTTCCGTGTATTTCCACGACGGGGTAGGGCAAGTAGTTCAGATCTTTATGAACCTCTGGGTCGTCGTACTTTTTCCCGATGAGTCGCTTGGCGTCGAAAATTGTTCCGCGAGGGTTGAGGGGGGCCTGGTTCTTGGCGGCTTCGCCGATGAAGCGTTCGGAGCCGGCGGAGGCCGGGGAGAAGGCGACGTAGGAAGGGGTGGTTCGGTTGCCTTGGTCGTTGGCTATGATCTCGACGCCGCGACCCTTTCGAGCGACGGCGACGCAGGAGTAGGTCGTGCCTAGGTCAATCCCGATTACTTCTCCACTGATCCCTGTGTCCCCCATTACTTCTCTTCTACGGTGGCGAAGGATTGTTTTTTTTTTTTGTGTGTGTGTGTGTGTCTGTGTGTGTGCAAAGGTGGTGAATGAGAAAGTTCTGAGGCTTCTACTGCCATATATATAGGCAAACAAACAAAAACCCTAATGAATAGAAAAGGAAAAGACCTAATTCGAAAAAGATACTAATAAAAGGAAATTCCGGTTATTGTAAAGGAAGAAGAAATTGTTGATTGTGTCAATCTCATTATAGACAAGAAAATTCAACTCGTTGCTTAAAGAATTTTGCAACAAATGACTTGCGGAAAAGAAAGAGGGTCAAGTATTTACATGGTATTCCCAATGAAATGAGACTAATTCATGTGAGAGTTATACTTTCTGTTAGCTTTTCTTATTCTTATTGATGTTCTAGACGATGGTCTTGCACACTAATAAACCCTTTGTCATCTAGCTAATAGAATAATTAAGGACAATTGAATACAACACCCGCATGGGAGGCTCTAGGCCGTCGCCCCGAAATGGCCTGTAACGAACCTTCAATGGACTGATCCAATACTCCCCTGCAAGCTAGAGTGCGAAGGTCACGAGATGACAAGTTGAAAACAAGAAAACAAAACCGTTTGACACCACCGAGACCTTTACAAAACATGTATTGCAAGTTAAAGATGTGAACTTGCTTTCAGATAAGTAATGTCACCTAACTGAATACACTCACGAACAAAATAACACTCATCTCAACATGTTTAGTGCATTAACAAATGTTAATAACCAATTGACCCCAATAACACGAGTTGTTGGGAAGGGTCCATGTATGCTACTAAACCACTTTTTTATATGCTCTCTTAAACGAAAGCCAACTGATGGGCTTGAAGTTTGCACAAAACTGCCATACCAAATACTTAAGACAACGGTTAATATTGAGATTCATGAGCAGTTGAATACGTACCTAAGTTTAGCTGCGATATAAATATCAACGGGATTGTCGAAGAATTAGATACAATCCTTTTGTTTACACATAAAACTAACTAGTCTGCTGCGATAAGACTAAATGAGTCGGTTGCTATTTGTCCACGCTTCATAGTGGAACTTAATAGTTTTTAAAAGCAATTGATCTATTAGACATTATGAAAGTCTTTTATCCTAAGAAATTTAGGATTTGTGATTCACAACATTAACATGCATCGTATATGTATAGTAAACTTTATCATTGTGAGAGTTCAAGGAGATGATAAGTCATGGGCCATTTGGGATCATTTTGGGCTGGAGCATCTGGCCAAGGTTTACCTCGTCATATGTTCCCACTCTTTCTGAAGAAGTTGTTGTCTATTTTACATCAGCCTCCTCAATTCATGGCGGTGATTGCTGTCCTTTGGAGGATATATGAAGATCTCGGAATTGGGTTGTCTTTGAAGGTAGGCAGTTCTGGATCCCTGTTTTAATGCCGCAGTATCACTAGCAGGTTGAGTAATGGACTCATCTGCCTGTCGACCGAATCCTCCGTGTGTCTAGCCCAATCCCTCCCCCATTGAGTCTGGATGGGAAAAATGTGCACGTGTGTATGTGGGATGGGCTGGTAAGGATTGGGTCTCATACGGCAGGTGGGATGGTTATCCTCAATCACGCTAGGGAGGTCCTTTGGGTTATGGGGGTCCAGTTTCCTTTGATTGATGATCCGATGTTGGTTGAGTTGCTTGTCCTCCGGGAGGCCGTCTCGTGGTGTTTGGGGCTTGGCTTGTCGGAGATGCGATTTGAATGCGATGCCAAAGTGATCATTGATAAGATCAATCAGGTTGATGTTCAAGATAATCGGATGGGGACTATTCTAGAAGAGATTGTGTAGACTTTCACAGGGAATATGAACTTCAGTGTGCGATTTGTAGAACGAAGTAGCAATAGGCCGGGTAGCTCATTTGGTAGCTAGAAAGCCCCTGTCTTTGTACCCGACTACGTGTCGCTTCTATAATTTCCAAGTCTGACTGAATTCCAGGATGTAACTATCCATTTGTTCTAATCAATATAAGAATAATTAATTGTAACTAATTAGGAATGACTAGTCACTACACAGTTTGCAAAGAAGTTCGGTATCCATGATTTTGACTTGACATTATTTTCACAAGCAATGCAAAAGCATCATTCACCAGAAGGACCCGTCCAAAACAATGACTCAAACCGAAGATGCAAAACAAAGAAAACTCGTACGTGCGTGCATGCATGCATCTAATAACTTATTGATTTGTAGACTACGTACTATGGTGGTGAGAGCTTCTTCAACAAGCCTTTCAGCTTCTGCGTCCTGTCCTTGTACTCTTGCATGCATGCATTCTTGTTGCCATCAAACCAGTCTGAAGCTTCATCCAATGCAGCCTCCACTATGGTCTTATGATCACCACCATCGTACATAGGAAGCTTCTCGGACAGTACTGCTTTCTTCAAATCGTAAATGGCGCGTTCCAATTGGTTCCTCGCATCAATGCGCGCCTTCTCCTTCTTGTCGTGCTCGGCCATCTCTCTCGCCTCTCTGATCATCCTCTCAATCTCCCTCGAATTCAAATTCCTCTTGTAGTTGTCAATTGTAAGGGACTGAAAATTCCCGGTGGTTTCCTCCTTGGCCGCGACGGTTAGGATTCCATCCGCATCAATCTCGAATGTCACCTCCACAGGCACAGCTCCCCTGTAAGTCGGATTCTTCAATACCACTATATATAGATGCATACATTAATAATTAACCTCGTAATGATAGTTTACTTACCTTGGAGCCAGTGGAATGCCTGTGATTTCAAAACTCCCGAGTTTGAGGCAATCTTTAGTCAAGGTTCTTTCACCTTGCAAAACCTGAAATTATATATGTGTTATTATTCGCATCGGTTAGTTAGCATGCTAATCCTTCTAATGGGTTGGAAAAATGACACCCCTATTAATTATAGGTTATTTTTTTTATTAAATTCGTGTTGCATTTAATAATCTTTGAAAATTAAAAACTCATCTTAATTGCATTCATTTTTTTTTAACTATCATTGCACCTGTATACTGAACTCATATTAATCACGTTACTTTTTTGGAACTATCATTGCACTGATACATCTACCATTGCACCTGTACACTAATACCATTGCACTGATACAACTACCGGTGCACTGAAAAAGGAAAGTAATTAATATGTGTTTTTAATTCATAGGGGTGTCATTTTTCCAACCCTTTTATGGATAGGCATGCTATCTCATCTCTTTCGCATAGGCAGCAATATGGTCTAATCCGGAGCAAAATGATAGCAAAGAAATAAATTCAAATTACCAAAAAATTAAAAAATAAATAGCGCCTAATTGCATTAGGGGTCCAGTGGGAAGTTTGCGCGTCCACCGCAAGTTTCTGCAGGCCACGCGAATCGCCATCCCTGAACCGTCGATTCATAGCCCATTTATACCTATTCCGCAGGTACATCGTAAGCCTCCACGTACCATCAATCTCGATATTCAGGGGATATTTTTCCCAACCCATGTTTTTGTTACTCTTACGGTCTTACCTACTCCGGAGATTTCCCCTGTCGACCAATTGGCGGCTAGGCAAGCGGCCGCCATTAATTCCTCTCTTTACCTCTGCTTCTCTCCGGCCTGGACATCGCCAGATCTTTCCTTCCGCTTCTCTCCGATATTCGGCCTAGACGAAGGTATGGTTGGTGATGGATCGAGTTCCCCCTCTCCCAGAACAGCTCTAATCGGCAATCAGATCTAGGGATCTCACGATGTGAACCGGCCTAGCCGCCGATGATAGCGTCACCGCCGCTCTATCGTTCCCCACATAATTGGCCATGTTTGGTAGTCTATCGTGCGTTCCCATAGAATACGAGAGGAGGTGGAGAGAAGGGCAAGTCAAGGAACCCTTGGACGTCATCCATTCGAATCGATTCCTCGACCTCATCCCGGTCAATTTCCTACTCGACAGATTGTCGTCCCATGTACTTCTCCAGCGGATTGCATGTTCAATTGATTGACTGCTGTTTATGGATTCAGAGGCTTCACCGTCCCTCCCCCAAACGTCACCCACTCTTCATTGCCTCTTCCTTCCTAATCCCAAAAGGCCAAAATCCATAGCAGTCGTGGATAAGTAACAAACTTTTGGGTACTCTGTTTTTACTGCCGATGGAATTGGGTATTCAAACTAACAGGGTAAGCAATTAGAAGAAGAGAGCAACTGGAAGAAGCAAGCAACCACAGTTGGCGATTGATTTTGACAAGAAGAATAATAAGAGATGGATCAGGAGCAAAGAACCAATACTTTTGCTCATTTATTGACAAAGGGGGGTTGATTCCGATTGCATGCACTGGTCGACTCTCTTTAGTGAGAAAAATGACAAGGAGAAGAATGACAAAGATCGGGGGAATTTGTTGCCACCAGCCATCATCTCCTCCCCCATGTAAAAGGATGTCATAGGTCTTCGTGAATAATAATGAAACAGAATGAGCCTATGCCATTAGGATTATTTTGTGGATTAAAAAATAAAATTGTAGGGTTTATTTATCTTTACCCAATAATAGTAGAATAGTGCACGCGCGTTATCTAAATATTAAGTAATTTAGCATTTACATTCATCATATAATTTTTTTTTATCACACGATTGAATGTTAATGTCAAGTTACATTAAGTTTCAAGTCATTACATAATTATGTAATTAAAACTTTTGCATAAAAATTAGTGTTGTTGCACAACATTTCCCTAAAATTTTAACAGTTTACATGACAATTATCAAAATTGCGGGTTATTTATAATTTTAACTTATTTCATAAGTTACTTAAAATGGTGATTATCAAATTCAATGGAGCGTATTCATTACTTCATATTTAGTCGAGTCAATTTAAAATGTCCCACATTTAACATATTCTATCATGTTAATTTTCTCAAAAATTCAATTATTTTTTATGGTTATTCTATCAAGTTAGTTATCTCCCAAATCTTGCCATCTAGGTAAGAAAAAATAGATTGATTTACAAAAACAAATATATTGGCTTTAGCTCAGTGCTTTTATAAGTTGATGTTATTTTGTAAAAGTTATTATTTGGTTCATTGTATTCCGTTTTAAAAATGCATAAGAAAAGTTAGGGAAAAAACACTTGGGAGTTGGAACCTACTTTTACAAAGTGAATTTCGTATACTTACTACCTCTAAGTATTTGGATCGCACCACTCAAATATATCAAAAGTATTAACTTGATGCGCTTAATCAATTGTATATAAAAAGTATTAACTTGAGTTATTTAGGCCAATATAAAGGTCCATTTAATTTACAAGTATCACCAAAAATCCAAAAATCTAAATGATAAAATTATATAGGTCCCGACGCAACCGCGGGCCAATTATCTAGTATATGATAGATTGCTGATCTTTCACGGTTATGTACACACTAGACTTCTTAGTAGGGATGGGTGTATTTCTGGGCACCACTACTGACATCAGATCACCTACTAGACGTACCCCCAAGCTCAAGGGAGTAACATCGAGTAGAATAACACCACCTATAAATAATTCAAACAGTACGTAGATTGTATCAAGGAAAACAGTACTTATATACATACTCAGAGAAATGGAACCCTAAACTTGCAAGTGAGCAAAATTACCAACTCCAACTTGGTCGGTAGTGAGATTGGCTCCAAGGATAGCAGCTCCATAAGCCACGGCCTCGTCGGGATTGATCCCTTTGCTCGGCTCTTTCCCGTCGAACTCCTTCTTCAACATCTCCCTCACCATGGGGATTCTGGTGCTCCCCCCAACCAGCACGATCTCGTCAATCTTGTGCTTCTCCTCCATCTTTGCATCTTTGAGGGTCGACCTCACCACTCTCATTGTCCTCTCAAACAGATCCAAATTCAAATCCTCGAATTTCGCTCTCGTCAGTGGCTCGGACAAGTCCGTTCCATCCATCAGGGAGTCAATCTCGACTCGAGTCTCGGTCTGAATGCTCAGGACCCTCTTCGCCCTCTCGCATTCCCTCCGCAGCTTCCCAAGAGCTTTCGGGTGATCGCTCACATCCTTGTTGTACCTCTTCTTGATTAGAGGAACAAAATGCTCCATCACCCTTTGATTGAAATCTCCCCCGCCGAGATGTGTGTCACCACCGGTGGCAAGTACCTGGAAATCAGTGGCGGAGGGAGGTGAGGGGGAGAGGGGTCCTTTGGAAAACAAAATCCTTTAGATATATATGTTGGGTTTAGTACGATTATGTGACCTCATACTCTCTCGACGATATTAGCTTATCAAAAACCCTGATCAACTCGAAATTTAGCAGATACACATGGTTGGTTTAATGTTAGTAAAATTTTAAGGATCTCAGTAAACTTAAAATCTGGCTATGCCACTGCCTGAAACAAGGATGCATGTTTCGAATATGAGCGTTGTTACCTGGAATATGCCACTGTCGATTTCCAAAACGCTGACGTCGAACGTCCCACCACCTAAATCGTAAACCAGAATGTTCCTCTTTGTGTTGGGGTCCTGGTTCACACCATAGGCTAGGGCGCCTGCCGTAGGCTCGTTGATTATCCTTAAAACATTAAGGCCGGCGATAGTGCCGGCGTCCTTAGTTGCTTGCCTCTGGGAGTCGTTGAAGTAGGCAGGGACCGTGACCACCGCGTTGGTGACTTGCTTCCCAAGATACGACTCCGCGGTCTCCTTCATTTTCCACAGCACCATGGCGCTTATTTCTTCCGGTGTGAAGGATACCAGCTCGCCGTTAACTTCCAGTTGGACGCAAGGCTTTCCATCTCTTTCCACGACAGGGTAGGGCAAGTACTTAACATCTTTCTGCACTTCTGGGTCGTCGAACTTTTTTCCGATGAGTCGCTTGGCGTCGAAAATTGCCCGGCGAGGGTTGAGAGTGGCCTGATTCTTTGCGGCTTCTCCGATGAAGCGTTCGGAACTGGCGGTGGCGGCGGAGAAAGCGACGTAGGAAGGGGTGGTTCGGTTGCCTTGGTCGTTGGCTATGATTTCAATGCCGTGGCCCTTCCGAGCGACGGCGACGCAGGAGAAGGTCGTCCCTAGGTCAATCCCGATTACCTCTCCAGTTATCCTGGTGTCCCCCATGACTTCTCTTCTCTTCTCCGATCCGGTGGTCGGAGAATATTGGAAGCTCGTGATCAAGTCAAGTGTAGAGAGTTTCGTGGGGTTCTTCTCTAATATATATCGGAAAACAAAGAAAAACCCTAATGAGATAGAAAACGAAAATACTATATATAGCAAAATATATATATATATATACTTAAATAATTAATATGAGATACACGCTTACTAGAGAATAAATTCTAGTTATTGTAACCGGAGAGGAAACTGTTGATTGTGTCACTCTACTTATCTTCACGACTCTTTACAACTTGATTGATTCTGTTGATCATAAAAGTGTATCTTTCTCTTCAACACTAGCTACCAAAGCGAAGATTCGTTTTTTGCATGGTGAATATCTTTGTCGTCACGTCACCATATATGACTTGACTGATTTGTTGTTGGCAAAAGCTTAATTTGCTTTCTCTTCAAAGGATGCCAATTCTAGGCCGTATTTACATGAAATCGTCTCTGCCACCATGAAGAGTACATCGAACTAGGAGAGGAAAATGAAGTCGACTAGCTAGAAGATCTCTACGAGGACAAAAGCATCAAAGCTCTCCAAAGTAATTAAACAAGATAATTCAACTCGCTGCAAGAAGAATTTCTAACAAATTCATGATTTGCGAAAAAGAAAGAGAGACAAGTATTTACATGAAATCCCTAAAAAACGAGACTGATCCTTAGAGCTTTACTTTCTGTTATGTTTTCTTATTCCTATTGATGTTCTGATTGATAGTCTTACACACACTAATATACCTTTCCTTATTTATGATCAATTAGGGTAATACAATAAAGACAATTGAATGCAACACACACATGGGAGGCTCTAGGTCGTCGCCTCGAAGTTGGTTGTAAGTATTTTTTATGGGCTCTTCAATTGGCTGGTAAAATACTCCCTCCCCAAGTTGGAGCATGAAAGGTCACAAACTGATGGTTTCGAAAGAAGAAAATGAAACCATTCGGCACCGAGACCTTTAGTGAACATATAATCTTGTTGGAGATGTGAACTAACCTTCAAATGAGCAATGTCATCTAACTGAACAAGCTCACGTATAATAAGGGAGACTCGAGTGCCCTATATCAACTACATAGTGCCAAATAAGATATAGGTTTCGGCTATCCCCAAATACACTTCAACACCTTTAATTTATAAGGATTACATCCTTAACACAATCATCATTATGTACACTAAAACCCTCCCCAAATTGATGGGCGGTGCGAACCATCAATTTGCACGAAAGATAATAATGTCAACTGGAAGAGACTGCTTTCGTCAACAAATACGCAATCTGGTCTTCAGAGATAATGTAATAAATCTTAAGATAGTTATCATTAACCAACTCTTCAAAGTAATGAACATGTACCTCTATGTGCTTAGTACGATCATGAAACACATAATTAATAACTATATGAATACCTTTCTACGGAATTCGATTTCGCTCTCTGAATGATTGCATAGTAATTCAATAAACTAATCGATATATTTGGATGTTGATTCCCTCATTTTTCGTGTGATTTAAATAATTTATGGCAAAAGAAAAATCCACTTGCAGTTTGGTGTTGTTGCGGGGAAACTTATTGGTCTTGCCGATACTATCTTATTCTTAACCACTTTTCATTATTACACACCTAGGTATTTAACTAGTTAAGGATGCAAAATAAAAGAGAATTGATCAATAAATTTTGAAATTTCATAAGAAAAATGCCACCCTATATAATTAACGATTAGATTTCACATATGGTACATCGAATCGACATATAAAGCTACAAATTGAAGAATTTAAAGTATCTAATTTTGTATTATAGAACTTAAGAAAACATATATGCAAGTTGAATAACTTATGTACGTCAAAACGACAAATTGTGTAGTCGTATAACACTGAAAATGGGGAAAAATATTTAATTTGAAATTAAATACCTTAAAACCCCACACTATGAATGATGAATTACTTGATCATATTAAAAATGAATTAGTTGAATGATTAAATATTCAGGCATATTGGACTTGATAAGAAATCCAGACATGGAAATCAATTAAAACTAAAAAATTTGCAAATCAAAGAATTTAAAGTATCTAATTTTGTATTAAAGAATTAAGAAAACATATATGCAAGTTGAATAACTTACGTACGTCAAAACGACAAATTGTGTAGCTGTATAAAACTGAAAAATTGGGGGAAAATATTTAATTTGAAATTAAAGAGCTTAAAAACCATAATATAAAAGTTGAATTACTCGGTCATATTAAAACTAAATTAGTTGAATGATTAAATATTAGGCATATTGGTCCTGATAAGAAACCAAGACATGGTTATCAATTAAAACTACAAAAACTACATTTTAAAATCAGCTGTCGCTTAGAATCAAACTGCTAACAAATGGAGCATACACCAGTTTCTTTACTGCTGGACTAGCTTAGATTTTCGAGCGTTCAAATGGTTATCATGGTATTTACCAAATCAAATAAGTCTAAATTCTATTAACCATGGAATACGATATTATAACTAATAATTGTTGTGCATTAATCACAAACTACTCACGCGATATTGTTTAGCACTTAGCAGGTTTTCCAAGGTGAAAGAGCCTCTTCTAGCAACAAAAATAGCTAATAATTGTTTAACCTAGAATTGCTGTGCATTAATCACAAACTACGAACAACCATTTGCAGGAACTAACCCAATAATATTGTGATAGATAAACGTCTCGGTTATCACTGACGGAGAAATTCTGTTGTCAGTTCCCGCGTAAAATCAGTTAACAGCTAGGTAATGACACTTATCAAGTAAACGCGATTATGAATAATTCAGTTTGGCTTTGTTGCACCGGGCTCTCTTAATCCGGCCATTAATCCACTCATCGTCTTAATTATAATCCATCTTCTTCCTCTGCAATTTCAGCTCCGGCAATTGCAATCCTTCACCTTGATTTGCATTAGCCGCAGAGTTGTCATCACCAACAAAACAGAGGAGAAAAGCTTCAAATTCGTCAAACCATGGACCGCGAACACAACAATGCCCCGCGCCCAAACAGCCACCATTCCACGGCCAGCGCTGACGACAACAGCAATCGCCATCGCCATCGTCATGCCGTCACCAGCAGTGACGTGGAGGGTTCAGTCATCAGCAGCTCCGCCGACTCTTCTTCCCCACCCCGACCGCCGACGCCCACCTCCCCCACCGCCGGCTGTGCAGTACCCGGCTACGACCCCAATCGGATCCCGTCCGGCGTGTTCGCGTCCAAGTCGGGGAACGGGATCGACTGGAGCACGGCGTCGAACGAGTCCCTGTTCAGCATCTACATGGGCAACAACAGCTTCTCCAGGGATCAAATTGCAATGATGTATAAATCCGGGGAGCTACCCATGCTTGATCAAGATTATTCTTACGCCCTTCCCCAAACGCCGGCGGCGGCGGCCGGGGCAGCGAACAACCAACCAGCCGCCGCGTGGCAGCCTCCCCTGCCTCCTTCTAGCCCCGTCGCACCCGCCTCCGTGAGAAGGAATGTTGCCAATGCCAATCAGCCCATCAACAATATCAATATCATCAACATTCACGTCCCAGTCACTCCGCCGCCAAGCAATAATATCACCATTAACGTCCCCCCGGAGGTACAGCTGCCTCCTCCTCCAGCCCCTGCCGCCGCCACAGTCGCTAACACGCAGTCAGCTGCCAGTTCCCTTAATCGGAATTCCAGTTCCAGCAGCAGCAATAATCGGAACTCGACCAGCAGCACCAAATCTTTCCAGTTCCCAATGTGAGTATCTATTGATCAACCAATCAATCAATTTCGTGGGGTTTAGTTAAGGAGAAATTTATTAATCTTTGTTGATGGGTTTTCAGATTGCAGAACGAACAGATGGGAAGAAACAGTACAAGGAAAGTGGAAGCAGAGCAGAAGGCTGCAGGGGAGAAGAAGGCAGCGGTGGCAGAGGAGCCAAATGAAGCGGAGACTCATCCGAATGAAAAACAGTCGGAGCAACAACAACAACAGCCGGAGCAGCAGCAAGTGCAGACGACGACAGAAGAACCTCAACCCACGTTGTGCACTAAGGTCACAGCGGCGGCAAGGAGCTGGCTGTCTTGCTTGCCCTGTTTCTCCAGGTCTTCTTCATCATGATTTCATAAACTTAAAATTTTGGAGGTCTTTATAAACAATCGAGACTCGAGAGTTCATTTCTGACCCTGTTTCAGACTTCATATGTTGTACCAAACAGCCTATAGCTGTGTTTTTTAAAACCTCATTGATGTGTTCTTTCACTAACAAAAGAATTTGAGTGTAAATCTAATGACTTTGTGTACCAAACTGTCTCCAGTTTGTGATTATGTTCAACGACAATCATCGTGCATACTACTTAGTACAATTAATCAACATGCTTTGCCATAAAGGAAGAAAGAAAACACTCCTTTGAATAATAGCTAGGAACCCATCTCTCAATTAACTATGCAACCTCTTCTCTATCATGATCAACATCCAAAAATCTACCGAACAGCCAGACATCGGAATACGAACTTCCGATGAGTTGAGTATGTTCCCCACGCCTGCATGGCTACTCCTAATTCTAAAGCCTACAAAATGGGACTCCCACCCCACTATGGCAAACAACCATGCTGGTATAGAAATCTAGAGGTCATCCATTTCTGGAATACCCAAAACACTTCTACATTTATATTTCTAATAGATGGGGAAAACAAGGACGCTTACTTACTCCCACGGGATGAACAATTGATGGACAGTTGAGGAATGAAAACTCCAACACAGAGAGAAATAGGGAGTTTTCACGAGGCATTAGCACTATTCGGTTGCCTAGCTGCTCCACCTGAACGGCCGCCTCTACCTCTAACTTGTTGATAACCTTCGCCACTGCTACCACTTGGATAACCCCTACCCCTACCAGTGGGATATTCACCTCTGTTGTTGTTGTTGTTGTTGTTAAATTCCGGTCTTCCACCAAAACCCCTACCACCTCCACCGTAGTTCCCCCGGACCCCTCTGAAGCTGTCATTGCGATACATTCCACCCCTTCCTGTTGGGAACCTACCTCTTCCGTTACCAACTGCAACACCAACTACCATCATTCAACGATTCGGTTTACAAGTTTATGTTAAATACATAACATGATCATTCGATTGCCCTTTCTAACTTCAGCATCAATGTGAGATTGCGAGAAACCAATTAAAAGTTTCAAAAAGATAATCAGATAGTTAAACATGGATTCAGAGTCTCAAACTCACCTCGAGTTGAAGTTCTCTTCATCTCAACAATTGATTGACGTCCTCCGACTGGAACAGGAGAAGCCTGTAACAACACAGAGTACCACATGAAATATTGAAAATTTAACTTCTGGACAACAGGACTAAATATAGTCAAACAAGTACGACCAGCAACAGAACTCCAGTTAGCATCTCAGAATAAGTTCTAGACCAATAAGCAAAGACAAATATGTAAACGATAAGCAAAAGCAAATCACAATAAACAGAATCAGCATGGACCACTTCAGCAGTATATACTTGCAACAATTAACATATCCAGGACAGCAAAAAATTAGTCACGTGCCTGACTACTAGTTTTATGCGTATCCAGATGGCAGTTTCATAAGTAGTCAGACTCACTTAGGGATGCTAAATCACAAGCTCACCATTAAAGCTTAGACCATACAACAGTATCACCTTATTTTCCCATCTCAAATTCTCTATCCCCTCGTCACTATTGCATCCTTAAGTATCTTTCTACCTCTGCCCATCCAGACTTAGTAGAATAAGCTAGTCTTGTACTACTAAAACACATCTGCACTACCTTATATGAGAAACAGGGTACCTATAACACGTACCACAATACATCAGCCAGGTGCAAGTTTCCTTAAAACATCTATAGTACCTAGCTAACAAGCTAGAGGAAAGCAGAGTGACATATAGCTGGATCTCAGTTCTATTTGAACATCTACATTTCACATTAGGCTGATGGAGCAGTCAAAAGTGACTAAATTTATCTACGTGACCCAGCATATGCATCATGGAAGAGTCAACTAAGTGTGTGACAAAACATCCAGGTTTTCCCATTTCAGGACATCGGCAAACTAGCTCACAAGAATACAGCAAGGAGCCTTAGCAAATGACTAATTAATTTCACAACAAAACTTGGGAGCTTTATATGCCAAATAAAATCAAAGCTAAAGCCATCCTACATTCCTGATACAACATATGGAGAATGAGATGGAGTGGAAAGGACATTGGAAAGGACAATATTTAGCATAGCAAGTGTCATTATATAACATAGAAAGTGAATCATGCAGAAACTGCCGTTATAAGAAAGAAAAAACTGCAGCATAGCGTGATTTTCAGAAAGAATGTTGATATTTTGAAATTTATCTTGACTGAGAAGTAGCTGATCCAACTAATTTAACTTGGGCTGCAATTTGTTGACCTTAAATAAAACAAGACAAAAAAATAAACATGAAACAAATTGTAAGGAAAAGGTATTGCCCAGAACAAACCTGGATTGCATTATTCATGGAGTCCGGAGAAAGGAATTCAACAAAGCCAAAACAATATCCTTGTTGCTGCATGTACCAGAAATATACATAAGATATATCATCATACCGAAGAGAGACAAAGTATAAATAACTACTGGAATGCTTCACAATGTTGCCGAACCAACCTTATTGTATCTAACTTGGACTCCTTCAGGCTTGATTGGTCCAAATTTCTTGAACTCCACCTCAAGCTGAGAGACAGTCACATTATGAGGCAAATTCCGAATGTAAACGGAGTGGCCCTCAACTGGGAGTAGAAAAATAGTTAGATGATATACTTCAAGGAAACAATGAACAGTTTCCAACAAAAAAATAATGAGTGACATTAATCACCATCTAACTCATCAATTAATCAATTTTATTATTCCATATCCTTAGTTTTGCATCCGAGAATTCCATATAGAGTGAAATGGACATATCACACCATCTCTAGTGAAAATTAACTAGATAAAGAAGAATTACATACTAAAACCATATATACATGAAGAGTAACGCACCTTCATCTTGATCAAAACTATCTGTAGGTGCATCACCACCAGTTGCCATACGTGATTCAGACTCTGGAGCGGATACCACAGGAACTGGTGGATCCTCAGTTTTCTTAGAGGTTGCCTTTGCTGAATTAGTAGGAACATAAACTTTGATTTGGCCAGGACTACCTTTTGCAACTTTAACCTAAAACAAAGGTAGATATCAGGACAAATATTATTCAAAAAATTTCAAATTGAAATCTTTTGAGAAGAGACATACAATTGATGCGTAAGATTTCTTAGGAGCATCCTCTTGAGCTGTAGAAGAAGCAATTTCATCAACTACAGAGGTTTGGTTCCCGTTTGCATGATATTGAGGTTCTACTGGAATTTCTTTTTCCACTGTTAACTTCTTCTCATGGTCCGATGGCTCACTTTCATTTTCAGAAGCCTTTGTAACCTCTACCTCAACTGAAGTTGAAGGATCGGGAGCAGAAGGTTCAGGAACATGTGAAGGCTCTGGATGTAAAAGACTACAAAATGTTAGAAGTTCTAGATCTAGGAGAAAAGTCTAAGACACATGGAGTTTGATTTGGGTTCACAAATACAGAGCTGGTCTTACCTGGATCTGGCACTGAGGGAACTGCCAGGGTGTTGTCAATACTATTGACCGAGATGTTATCCAGTGGTTCATTGTCCTCAACGAACCGGAAAACATCATTGAGGACAAAATATCCGTTGTCCTGAGGTGCAAGGAAAAATGACTGCGCAAATTTTCTTCTTACATTGTCCTTGTCTGTTAAGCACCCTGTCACCAACACAGTAACTCCATCCTTATAAGATTTCTGGGCATCCGCTGTTCTGATCTCTGCCTTTTGGTCCTTGAAATTCAATGAGAGTATCTTCTCATTGATACCCTATTACAAAGGGGGTAAAAGAGGGCAAGAAGTTCAACCACAGACCATGAACCATCGGATCAGTAAATGCAGGACAGTCTATTATTAAACACCAGCTAATAGTAATTGTGAAAAGCTTACTTGCATGGTTACCACTGATGTCATTTCACCGTTCCCATCAGGACGGCTTAGCACACTGGAATCGTGGTAAAATCGGTGAACCAACTCAGGTGAGGTATGAAGAATATGGTAATACTGCTCAACGAAGGCATTTCCAACAGTTTGCGCGCTAGGGACATTTGGATTGACTGTTTCTGACGCCATTCTGTTGAAACGAAAGCTCTGTCATTAGTTACATTACCAATTGAAACCAGCCCCGAAGGGCAGAGGAAAATGTTAACCAAGAAAAGTAGGCTCTAAGGTTTGACACGTTTAGGAATAGCTAGAAACCATGAATCCAAGGAGGAATACGAGCATGCAGACCTACTCATGGGCGCACAACCAAAGAAGAAGAAGAAGAAGAAAAAAAACCCCCAAAATTAACTTCCGTACTCACATTTCACGACAATGTGATTCCAAAAATCAAGAATTTCCTATGAATCCCTAGCAATTACATCAAGTAGATCACAAATGAAATCCGCTATACCCCTCGTATCCATACAGCATGAACGACGAACAAATGAAACCCTAAGCGACCTCCCCCTGAACGAGTGCCAAATAACCAGCTCTGATCCCTTATTAAAATACAAAGGCACCAACGAGTGCTCGGCAGAGAGGCCTAGCAACAGCGGTGTAGCCATCATGCCAGACAGACTGTGCAATCCAGATTCGAAACGGTGAGAGAAAGGAGGGGATGCAAATGTACCCGATGTGGAAACGAATTTGAGCTCCGGAAGTAGCAGGGATTTGATGGGCTGGGATGGCGCTGTCCGTTCAAAGTGTCAAGCGAGGAAATGGCGAGAGGAGGAGGCAGAGGAGGAGAAGTCCAAGCGACAGCGTCAGGAGAAGCCGAATGGAAGGAAAGAGAGACGGAAAGCTACAATCTAGCTGTGTGATGTGTGCCTTCTTCCCCCTGAAGTTGGTTGAGACCTGAGAGAGGTGCAACGCTCTGGATTCCGGATCCAGTTCTTTTTTTCTTCTTCTCTGCAGTTGATACAGTTTGTTCCTGACCGCGACCGGGTTATTATTGTCATCTCTGGCTCAGGGTATGAATTCTATCGGGTCGACAATCGCAATCGCTCCCCCGCCCAAAAGGAAAGACATTACTTGGGAGGTATGTATTTCTAGGGATTCGGATGGACTGGAGAGGCCCAGCCCAAAATCACTTGGGCTTTCTTTATATTCAAAGGCCCAGTGGCCCGCAAGGATACAGTAGCCAATAAGGATAGGCAAAATCCAGGGTAAAATACCTCGGATACCACTTAACTTTCATAAATAGGGGAGCTATACAACTTAACTTAGAATAGGGCGTTGGGTTCTATGGAAATAAAAATATAAGTCTAGGCCACATCAGCCTTGCCACATCGGATTGGAGTTGCTGAATCGATTACCTATCCAAACCTCCATTCTCTCCCATCGGATTAGAGCACATCATTCGCCAGTCAGATCATCGTGGATATATAGCAGCGTTAGCATTTCCGCCAACCAATCTTCCAAAAGGAGCACTTGTGGCGGAGCGACAGATAAACCAAATGACGCAAATGCAAGCGTAATTCAACCAGAGGTAACCAATTCCACGTTGGCAGCCGGCAGGTGAGGCGAACAGGCGGGAGCACGAGGAGAGACGTGATGAATCTCTTCTCTGGATTTCGCCGCCATTCACATCTTGCAATGGACATCGTTATTTATATATCTATCAAATACTCAGTAGTCAAGAAAGAACGCAAAAAAGAAACAATGGCGTCCAAATCCTCTGCATCCACACTGCAAGTTTCAGAACTATGCAAGGTAACTCCGGCCGCCGACTCGCCGGAATCCGCCACACAATTCACACTCCCGCTAACTTACCTCGACACCACCTGGTTCAGATTCCCACCAGTCGAGTTGGTCTACTTCTACAAACCCACCGCTTCTCCGATCCCTCCCCATTCCTTCTACTCCCTGCTTCTCCCCAAGCTCAAGCGGTCGCTCTCCCTAACACTCGCCCAATTCATCCCCCTCGCCGGCCAACTCCGATGGCCGCCCAAATCACCCACCCCCGTCGTAATCTACACTCCAGGCGACGCGGTCTCTGTAACAATCGCCGAATCAACAGCCGATTTGGACCGATTGGCCGGCGACGCACCCCGTGAAGCCGCCGAATCGCGGCCGTATGTACCTCAATTAGAAGTCTCCGAGACGACGGCCTCCGTCGTATCCCTCCAGATCACTTACTTCCGGAACAGGGGATTCTCCGTCGCGATTACCCTCAACCACGCGGTCATCGATGGGAAAACCACCGCCATGTTCCTCAGAGCATGGGCTTCGATCTGCAAGCACGGAGAGAATCATCGGCTCCCGAAGGAGCTCACCCCATCATTCAATCGAACGGCGGTGGAAGATCCGTCGGATCTCGCCACCGCTTACTTGAATCGGTGGGACGAAGTTCTTACTCGGCAATCGATTACCTACAACCCTCGTAGCTTGAACGTTTTCCAGAAGGTATCCCCGCCGCCACCGGATCTTCTCCGAGCGACGTTCCAGCTGAGCCCGAACTCAATTGGGAGACTCCGAGAGAAGATTCTGAGCCATCGGTCAAATTCGCATGAACGCCTTCACCTGTCGTCGTTCGTGGTAACGTGTGCGTTGGTGGCGGTGTGTCTAGTGAAAGCTAGAGGAGGGAGGAGAGATAGAGACGTCTACTTGGTTTGGTCTGTGGATTGCCGAGCCCGGCTAGATCTTGCGGCGATCCCGCCGAATTACTTCGGGAATTGCTTAGGGGTGGATTACTTGGTGGCGGAGGCGGGGAGCTTGATGGGGGAGAACGGGATCGCGGTTGCGGCGGAGAAGATTAGCGAGTTGGTCAGGGGAGTAGCGACGGCGGTGGGGGGAGTGAATTCGGCAGCGGCGGTGGAGAAGATGGGGCGGCTGAGGAGCGTGGGGCCGGAAGTGCAGAAGTTCGGGGTGGCTGGGTCCCACAAGCTGGGGTTTTACCAGATCGATTTCGGGCTGGGTAGGCCGGTCAAGATGGAAACGACGTCGCTGGACAAGACGCGGGGGATCTCGGTGGCGGAGAGCGGAGATGGGAGTGGTGGGATTGAAGTCGGCGTCGTTTTGGTTGGGCATGAAATGCAGGCTTTCGAGTCGTTCTTTGTTCAAGCTCTGAAGGATGTTGGTGGTTGTGGCCATCGTTGTTCGAGGTTGTAAGGACGTAAAACGGTGTCATTTACGGCAAGGCCTGAAATACTATGGTAACCCTTGTACTTTAGAGGTTGACAAGTGTGACTGGATGCAAATTGAGTCACAAAAATAGTGGAAGAGTCCAAACCCAATGCATCGACAACACCATGTTAGTTACAAGACATCCAAATAAAAACAAATCTCGTAGGAAGCAAAGGCAAATTTGATTCCTCCAAGGAAGGCCTTTTTTTGATAATCTATCTAACAGTTCGGAAATGAGAATGAAGAACAAACACGATTTACGTGGTATCCCTGAAATTCCAGGACTAATCCACGGAAGAGCGAGAACACTCTTCGACTACTGATCTTACTGATGATTGTATGTGTACAGGAACTCAAGCAGCTCTACAAATACCCTCAGACTGCCAAACCCTAGCACCCGTGAACCACTTCACTACGTGGGCTACCTCAAGACTGCATGGGCCTAACATGACAATTAATAACTAAGTCTCTATTGGCCCATAACTATACACGTACTAATCATACAATAAAACGCAGCAGCATATACATTCAACATCCTCCCCCAAATTGATGCCGGGTCACGAGCATCAATTTGTCAGACAGAAAATGGTGTCGGCTGCTCGTGAATGCCTTTGTGAGAAGATCTGCAACCTGATCATCAGTACGTATATAATGTAGTGCAATCGAACCATCCCGTACCTCATCCCGAATGTAATGCACATGTATCTCTATGTGCTTTGTACGATCATGCAACACTGGATTCTCTGCGATGCGGATTGCACTGGTATTATCTACAAATAAATCCATGGGACTTGAGCAATTGACGCCCATATCAGTGAGTAATCGTCCCAGCCATGTCAATTCAGAAGCAACATCAGACATTGCCCTATATTCAGCTTCAGTCGACGATTTTGAAACTTTATCCTACTTTTTGCACCTCCATGAAATAAATGAACTCCCAAACTGAACACACCATCCTGTAGTAGAACGCCTGGTGTCCACGCACCCTGCATAATCTGAGTCTGAATATGCTCTCAAGGTAGTCGAGCCTGTAGAAGGGAAGTATATGCCTACTTCCTTTGTACCCTGCAAGTACCGAAGTATACGATATACGGCAGCTAAATGTCCAGCTCGAGGATCCCCCATAAATTGACTGACCAGCTGAACTGCATACGAAATATCAGGTCGAGTAGCCGATAAGTAGATTAGGCTTCCAACTATACTCCGATACTGTGGTCCATCCCTAACTTTCTCGCCTGATTCCCTGCTCAATCTCAAATTATACTCCATGGGTGTATTGACTGGCTTACAATCTTCCATATTATGTTCACTCAATAAGTCAACAATATATTTCCTTTGGCTTAACAAAATACCTTCTTTTGTGCGTGAGACTTCTAACCCGAGGAAGTATGATAGATCACCCAAATCCTTGATTTTGTAGGCCTTCTGTAACCCCTCTTTCAAGTGGCTAATACCCTCCACGTCCGATCCTGTAATGATCATGTCATCCACGTACAAAAGAAGCAGAACGATACCAGTTTTTGTAACCTTGATAAATAATGACGGATCATTCAGGCTCTGGCTGCATCCAAGATCTAGAAGGGTAGACTGGAAAGTCTCAAACCAGACCCGAGGAGCCTGTTTTAAACCACACAAGGATCGGTTCAATCTGCATACCTGACCCGGAGCCCCGACATTATACCCTGGCGGCTTCTCCATGTAAATTACCTCTTCTAGATCACCGTGCAGGAATGCATTCTTCACGTCAAGTTGAGCAAGAGGCCAATTCTTCATAGAGGCAACCGCAAGCAAAGTTCGCACTGTCGACATCCGAGCCACAGGAGCAAAGGTCTCATGATAGTCCACCCCGTGCTCCTGTGTATATCCTAATGCAACAACACGAGCATTGTGACGCTCGATTGATCCATCAGGGAACATTTTGATCGCATAAACCCATCGGCTCCCAATAGTCGGTGTATTAGGAGGGCGATCAACAACCGTCCAAGTGTTATTTGCACGATGTGCGTCGAACTCACTCCCCATTGCCTCCTCCCAAACTGGATCTCCCTGTGCATCTTTGTATCTTGTTGGGACAACAAGAGAAGTGACACCAAAGGCTACATAATCATCATGATGAGCTGGGGGAACACCTTTATTTATACGTGTGGATCGGCGAAGCGGGGGAGCAGTAGACGTGACCAGCGGAGCAGCAGAGGAGGAAATTGGCGAGCTTGGGCTGCCGGCAGGTGAGGAAGTGTGCGAGCTTGGGCTGTCTTCAGGTGATGAAGTGTGCGAGCTAGAAGTCAAGGAGGAGCTGGGGGAGTCATGATCATCAGGGGGCTGCATATCGTCCACTTCGGCAGGGAGCTCATCATCAAAACTAAACATGGGCAAAGAATCATTGGGAGGAAAGATAGACTCGGACTGGGATGAAGATTCAAAGAACCGAATATGCTCAAAGAACACGACAGTGCTAGCGACTCGAACACGCTGAGAAATAGGATCATAACACAGGTAACCTTTATGAACATCACTGTATCCCATGAAAGCACATCGAGCAGTTTTGGACGTTAACTTAGTACGCTCACGACGTGGCATTAAAACAAAGCACAGGCACCCAAATACCCGAAGGCGAGAGTAGTCAGGTAGACGTGAATAGAGCTTAAAAAACGGACTCTCATTATCAAGTATCGGAGTAAGTTGATAGTTGATTAGCCTGACAGCAGTGACTACAGCCTCGGGCCAAAAATGACCAGGAACTGAGGAAGCTAACAATAAGGCTCTGGTAAGCTCGACAACATGACGGTTTTTACGTTCGACGAGGCCATTTTGTTGGGAAACCCCAGGACAAGATTTTTGACTCAATATACCACGAGATCGATATATTTCTCGGAAAGGAAAGGAGCTAAATTCCCCACCGGGATCCGAGCGAATAATTTTGACTGATTTGCCGAATTGAGTTTCAATCATGTTGAGAAATTCAAGGGCTACAGAACGAAGATCAGATTTCAATCGAAGAAGGTAAATCCAGGTATACCGAGTTGCATGATCAACGAACAGAGCAAAATAACGAAATCCATGACGGGACACAAAAGGAGCAGGTCCCCAAAGATCTGTGTGTATGACATCAAAGGGTTCACGAATAACAGTAGTGCTAGGAGGATACGAAATACTGGCAGTTTTAGCTTCAACACAACTAGTACAGAAATGATTTTCGGGAACACTGACACGAGTTGGACCAAGTAACGACTTTTGAAACATGACATGGAGATGAGCTGAGTGGGGATGCCCTAATCGAGCATGCCACAGATCCCACTGCTTATTTGACTGACTCGAGACTGCTAAACAAGACATAGGACTACTGACAGGCCTAACCATAGACTGTGAATGAACAGGAGTGATGGAATGCCCATGTAGTTCTTCTAGACGAAAGAGACGCCCCTGCTTACTCCCCCTTCCGATCAGACTCCCCGTCTTCAAATCCTGTATAACACAACCAGACGGAGCAAACGACACAGTACATCCTTGATCAGTAAGTTGACCCACGGAAACTAAATTAGGAACAAGTGCAGGAACATGTAGAGTATCACGCAATGATATGTTTTCGTTCACTACATTACCCATACCCTTCACCTCTAGTTTAGATCCATTCGCCACGGTTAAGTCGATGTTTTGAACTGGTGATACATCTTTTAGAACACCTGAATTACTGGTCATATGATTGTAACATGCTGAATCAAGTAACCAAGGTGGGTGAATCTTACCTGTACCATGCATTGTAGCAAAGGCAGCACTTATGGCCGCACTGACAATCTGCTCAACAGCCTGGATGGTCACACCATTATTATTCCCAGCACCATTATTATTCCCAGTAGCATTGCTACTCTCACCAGTTGCATTGTGGTTGCTTCTCTCATCACCAGCAGCTCTCCAACGAGGAGCATCCACAGCAGGATAAGCTCCAAAAGCAGCCCGTCCATTATACCCAGGACGCGACCCAGCTCGGCCAAGATGAGACCCTCCGTCGCGAGGTCCACCTTCACGGGCCTCGTTCCGTTCTTTCGTACGACAATCGAGAATCACATGCCCCATGCGCTTACAATACACGCAAAAATTGCGTCGGCGGCAATGCTTTTGCAAATGGCCCTTCTCTCGGCAGTGGTGACAAATCAGATCGGAAATTGGAATCCTCCTTTGAAATTGGGGACGGTCAACAGCATATGCAGCAGCACCATGACCAGACCCGTGAGCTCCTTGACCTGCGGCAGAAGCTACCAGTGCTTCTCCTTCCCCCGGGCGAAGATCAATAACCGCCTGAGTCCTTAACCAAGTTTCCTCACGCACAAGTGTCCCTAAAACACCGTCAAATTGCAGGATGTCGCGATTCAGAAGGTTTGCTCGAACGGCCTCAAATTCGGGCCGCAGCTTCATTAAAAAATCGAAGAGCCGAGTTTGCATTCGCTCGGCAATAGCTTCTTCAGACTGATACCATGTCAACTGGTTCTTGACATGGTATCAGAGCCTTCTGTGACCGAGAGGTCTTCTGTTCGATTCCCGGTGACCCCGATCTGTTTCTGTTGTTTCTGTTAAGCACACGGTGTTCGGACCTGTGCCTGTCCAAACTCCAAGCCTATCTGAATGGCTTGAGTTTGAAGGGGGGTGTTAATAAAACGGTATATGATCCACGATTGAACCTCTCCCAACAACTCGAGTTATTGAGATCAACTGGTTTTTGACATTTTTAAGTAGATCGGAGAATCGTACTACAGAAAAAATTAGTGGTACTGGTATGTTATTGGGTTAATACCCTAGTTTGACCCAAAATTTAGCGTTAGTGACAATTCTGGCCTTATTTTTCAAATAAGACATTTGTGGCCTACTTTTGAAATTATGGAACAAATTTGGCCCGAGAAACAGTTTGACTATCAGAATTAATGGTCAACTATTTTCTCCATCACTGACTCAGCATTTGCCACTGACTGGGCTTGTACACATCATTTACAAATTAAATAAAATAAAACAAATAATAATAACAAATGAAAAAAAATCTGAATTACAGAGAAGGGGTCATGTCGACCACTAGCTCTTCCCCTTATTCACTCCGTCGTTTCTCCTTCCCCCAGCCGTTCCCGAGCGGCCGACAATTCTTCCGCCTCTCCTTCTTCTTCGCCAGCTCCAATCATCACTGCCCTCCCCTTAGGGTCAACCGCCAAGTACTGACCAGGAACTATCATCCTGCATCTGGACTTCCCAAACGTCTCCGGGTGAACTTTATCAAACACACTCTTCTCCTTGTTGTACTCCAAAAGCCAAGGAGCGATTAACACCGAATATTTCGACGGAAAGAATGGTTGGAGCCTACCGGTGTCGACGAAACGGAGGAGATCGAGAAGCTTTCCCCGCGCAATGACGATCTCCAGGAACTTCCTGCCGGAGAAGCTTCCGTTAATGGCGGCCACCACACCGATGAGTCGCTGAGGTGTTATTTGGTGGGCAAGTGGAAGAAAATTGGAGGGGTGGTTGTTGATTTGCTCGACCGCAAAAAGCAAGGCAGGGCTAGCAGCGGCGGGGGAAAATGGGAGTCGGAGGTGGCGGCGGGTGAAAGTGGGAGGTGGAGGTGGTCGATCGCAGGGATGGGTGTGGGTGGTAGGGGTTGGAAATGGAATGGGGGATTAAGTGGGCCCCAAATTAATTTACTTGTTTTTTCCATGTTTTTTTCATTTTGACATAAATAAATTATGTGCAAATGATGTGGCAGCCATGTTAGTGCCACCAGTGTGTTGAGTAACTGACGGAATAAATGTTTGACCGTCAGTTTTAACGGTCAACATAATTTTCGGGCCGAATCTGTCTAATAATTTCAAAAGTAGGCCATAAATGTCTTATTTAAAAAATGAGATCAAAATTGTCACTAGCGCTAAACTTCGGGCCAAACTAGGATATTAACCCTATGTTATTTTATATTAAAATTGTGGTTTAACTACTTTATATCGTTAAATACTAGTATAAACTTTTTCCGTTTGAACCATCGATAAGATACGATTTTTAGGTCCTTAATTTTTTAATCAAATTAACTATATTTGGGTTTGAATTTTATTTCATAAGTTCTCTCAAAGAATAAATGGGGAAACAATAGAACAAAGATGAACACAATTTAGATGTGCATCTCCATCAATGCAATTGTAATTGAAATTGCATTTGTGTTTTTTTATGGTCAACTCAATTTTTTTGTAATCCACATCACATTCATTTCATTCACCTACATCAATGCAATTAACTTGCAATTATTGCAAATATAATTAAATATTATGTTTAAATTATAGAAAATTAAGTAAAAGAGAAAAGAAAATAATAAAAAATAAAAAAATCTCCATTTTGTAGACTTTTTTGACTTGCATATGGAATTGCATTTGTTGCAAGTTTGCAAATATGCAATTGGTAGTCACATCAATGCAATTGGTTTTGCAATTGCAAACACTTATGTCATGTCATTTTGCAATTGAGAATGCAATACCAATGTGGATGCTCTAAGATGAAGTGAATTTATTATTCTATTTTGACAACTTTTTTGTTATTATTAATTAGTTGTGTGTCCGATATACCTTTGGTTAAGGAAGAGCGAGGCCTAACCTATGAACCTATTCAAGGCTAGGTCCAGGATAGGGTGAGTAACCACCATTGATTACGAGTTAGGTGGGTCCAGCGAATTCATATCTACGGGCTAGAACTTAAAAATATTTAATTTTCTCTATCGACTCTTATTTTCTTCATTCTAACTCGGTTTTTTCAACAAATTTTTTTTGCGAAGATGGAACGAGCTCGTTTTTTCTCTACAAAATGAGATCAATTTTCAATATTTTTTAGAATTTTTTAATATCTCTCGTTGCTAACTCCATACCATATGGTATATCATTCATTTTTAAGTCGTTTTTAAAAATATTTGTACATAAGCAACAACTTCATCATGATCTATTGGATCAACAAATTTCTAGATGAAAAAAATACAGGACCAAAAAGTACCATACCACCCTGGTATGAGGGGTGGTATCTTGTGGTACACAATATTGAAAATCGTAAATGACAGTTAGTATACTCCTACTATCATGTATTCAATTATCTTACAATGTTGGTATGTTCATACCACCATGGTACTCTTTCATACCATATGATATGCTCTTATTTAATACCAATCGATACCACCATGGTATAAACTGGTAAAAATGCCTCAATTTTGTTGTTCCAAAAATATATCAAAGTGGGTATCATTTTGAAAAACACAATAAATCTGATTTATCTGTGAAAAAAATTTAAATTCCAAATTAAAACGATAGAGAAATCGTCTATTAAAAATTAAAGGTGTATTTATAAAAAAGAGTGCTAATGTCACGCAAATGTAGACGGGTTACTCATGAGTTATTCACCTTATGGTTATTGACTTGATCCGGACACCCGAGGCTATTCCAATAGAATGGATCTCACCAAACCCTACCGTGTTGAGTTGATCGAGAGAGAAGATTACTAGCTTCATGATCTAAGTCATATGTTCAAAGCCTTAACAAGAGTCAAATTTTATCGAACAAAAGTCTTCTCTATTTTTGGATATGTGGAAGTGGGTGGTGCCTAGCTACATAAACAATTTCGAAATGTTTTTTTAGAAGACAAGATGCTAAACTCATCCTGTATCATATCATTAATCATATGATTCATGCACTTTTCATAGAATCGTGGTATTGCTATAACAAAGGTTCAGGTCGCTTGCATTGAAGGGATGTGTGCCAAAGAACGACCTTTAGTAGCTAGGAAGTTCGCTGCGAAATAATATTCACGATAAACATGAATAATCCCAATAGTCCAATTCATCAAAGTAAGTAACTAAACAACTTCGCAAGAAACCCGTGACAGTGATAAGTGCGATCTCTGTTTTTTTATGATGTACAACGTGTTCTAGAGTCCATATTGAACTCTATTTTTCTGTATCCCAGCTGCAATGCCAGTTCTAGGCCTTCAGCAAAGTACATGTATAGTCATAAGTTCGATATTAACCATTCGAGAAAGCCGACCAATTGTCAAAATTTTGATAAAAGGTCCTTTTTTGGCTCAAGATGGGCATCCCTATTGAAGCGATGATGAGCAAAACTATATGAAACAAATTGGAATTTAGATGCCATAAGCCAAATATCGTCTAGAATTGCACCACCCAAATCATGTGCCAAGTCTCCCAAACTCACACGCCGAATAACTAGTTGAGAATCACCAGATAACACACGATGAATTAGGCACCAATTTATAGCATCTCTTAACGACAATTCCAATAAGAACGAATCTGTGCATACCTTCGTAGTATTTACCAAAAGCAAATGATACTCTCCCTGGTTTGTAAATATTCTCGATATTCATTATCTCAAACTAAAAATCATCTATGTTAACCTTAATATGCTCTCATCGTGGTCTTAAACTAGAATCCATCAATCACTCCTAATTTTACCCATTTTACTCGACAACTTGGACATAACCTCTGCTCCTCTCTGTTCTTACATGTTTGCATCGTTGTTCTGCACTCTAATTGAACCACATCCTCTCTCTACATTAAGACGACATCAATCATTTTATTTATTAATATGAATGGATCCCTCGCATCCTATATATGGACATCCCCCTAGCTGGAACTCGTTTTTCTAATTTGCGAGTCTCTCAACTTCAATATTGACATCTAGCTAGCTACGTATACCTCCCTTTTCCCACTCTACTACATATACACAAACACCGATAGCCTTGCATTACCCAAAACAAGCCTCAACCAAATCTCTTCGTACACCGATAGTCCTCCTCCTCCGCCACCGCCACCACCACCAACAACTTCTCATCCCAACTACAAACAACAGACGCCGTTACGACCCTCCCTTTGGACTTCGACAACTTCCGGGTCGCAAACAGCTGCGCCGATCCCTTACCCACGGACCTCATCCGCGAAACCCTAATCAACCGCATCTACCGCGGCGCCTCTCCTTTTAACACGAAGTGTAGTTGTAGAAACCCTAACTTAGTTTTCATTGATCATCATTGTGGCTTTTATACAAGGATTGAGCAAAAGAAGACAAGCTCCAGTGAGCTGTTGTCCTTACAGGAAAGCAGAGTTCAGAAACAGAGTGCAGAGGGAACAAAAGGCAGAAGAAGGAAAGCGACGTTGGTTCATAACGGCGACGTATTGATGAGGCTCTTCCCTTTGTCTCGAGACGGCGCCATTCCACTTGGTTTGCTTGTTGCCTTTCCAGAAACGATGTCGCTCCAAGTGACCCGCGAGTTGACCGTTGCATTTGAACTGAAAATTTGGGGATTTTCATCTGATACCTTTCGACAACTTCCCGCCGCCCCACGTCGCCAACACGCTCCGGGACCGGAGCCTCAAAGGCTGGGGCTCCAAAGGCGCCGTCTTCCGCCACCTCATCGAGGAGGTCCGGCCCAAGACCATCGTCGAGGTCGGGACCTTCCTCGGCGCGTCGGCCGTCCACATGGCCAACCTGACACGTCAGCTCGGCCTCAACGACGCGCTCATTATCTGCATCGATGACTTCCGCGGGTGGCCAGGGTTCAACGAGCAGTTCCAGTTCATCAACTTTGTCAACGGGGACGTGATGTTGTTGTACCAGTTCATGCAGAACGTGGTGTATAGCAACGTGACCGATGTGATTTTGCCGCTCCCGTTCTCGACCGGTTCGACCCTGTCGAATTTGTGCCAGTGGGGGGTGACCGCGGATCTGATCGAGGTCGATGCGGGTCACGGGTTTATGTCGGCTTGGTCCGATATTAACCGGGCCTTCCCGCTGTTGCGACCGGGCGGGGTCATGTTCGGGTATGACTATTTTCGTAACGCGGATGGGTTTGGGGTGAGGCGGGCGGTTAACTTGTTTGCCAAGATTTATGGGTTTAAGGTTGAAATTGATGGCGAACATTGGGTGATCCGCACCTCTTGACTTTGTTTCTTTCCAAATTCAATTTATGTTTTTTTTTTTTTGTCTTTATAAGGGGCGATTGGTATCTCTAGTGTTTGCATTTAGGGTGCGATAGATTTTGTCATCCACATTGTTATCATGTAAACTATTTGAATGTGTATTTTTGTTTCTTCTTAATCAAATCGATTCATTGATCAAGTCATGGTATATTTATACATGTAGTGAGATTCATATAATTAATAGGAAAATTACTCTGGTTCTTCACTATGATTAAGAGCCATTAATTAAATATGTAGGCGTTTCTTTCCTTCCAAACAAACCAAAAGAGCACACTCCAATCTTCCAGCTCAGCCTCTTGCTTGGTGTCTAGCATGGCTTTGAACCAAGCGTAGCAACATTCAAACTGACGTGACGACAATCAAAGCAATACGTTAGCTCTAATCCACGCCATAACCTGGTGTGGACCACTCACACTCCCCGAAAATATTAGTTTGAGTCTCGTGTATGTCACAGAACGAACACTTGTCGTCGCCCTATTTTTTTGCTCTTCGTACTGATATGATATCTTGTAGGACGTATATTTCTAGCAAAACGCCACAAGAAGCGTCAAATAAGTACCTTTTTGGCTTATGACAAAATTATCGTGAGCTTTTAGATTTGAACATAATTGAGATAATACCATTAAAAAATATCGATCTTCAGCAAAATTGTAATTTATATACCATGCTTTTTCATGTGAGAATTGTTTAATCTTCGAAGCCACTATTTTCAAACAACACAAATCCAAAATCAATAGTAAAACAACGGATGGATGATCCATTTCATTTGCAATCACTACAAGAAGTAGAAAGCAACAAGATCCACACTTTGGGAGAAAAGAAACAAAAAGTATAGGGTAAATGTGATTGCTAGCCAAGACTTCAAAATACCCTTATTCCACCACTTATTCCACTAGCCTCAAGAAATACCCTTGGTCCGTCTTCTCTATTATCCTTAGGGTTCGAGACGAGATCTGAATTTGTGTCGATGGCGATTATGAGGAGGAGAAGGGTTTTTGGTTCTTCCGAAAAACTTTTTTTTTATATAGTATAATATTCTTTAAGCTTAATTAAAAAATTTCTATTTTTCTTTTCAACATTAAAAAGTCTACGTTAATGTTGACTTGTTGTTGACTGACATTTCAATAAAAAAAACTAATGATAAAACTAAAAAAAAACATAATTTTCATTTCGAAAAGCCCAATATATCAATCATTGTTATTAAAGCCGAGCCGAACCGCTAGGCCCGATCGGTAAAACCGCCACCCGATCACAAAATCGGCTCGGAACAGTCTAAAAGCCGCTCCGGTTTTATGTAGCAGTTGACGAGCGGCTGAGGCGGTCGCTCGAGCCGATTGAGCCGCTCGTCCAGTTTTTGCCATTCAGTCGTTAAATTTAATTAAAAAATTACAGAAAATTGAAAATTAAAATAAACCAATAATGTCTGGCTCTCAAACTGAATCCTTATTTCCATTTCATAATTTTGAAGGAAAGAGACGAGCTCTGATTAAGAAATGTCCACTATTTATACTGATAACATTTATTAGGTACCGGTTCTCTAACGGTTTTTAAACGGTCTAATGTGGGTTGGACCACTAAAGTGCCAGCCGTTCGCATTACCGGATCATGCTTCCGGTTCGGTTCTGACAACATTAATATCAATGACAAATTCAAAGAATGTTGCTGAGTAAATCTACATTATTAAATCAAATCATTTTCTTCTATCAATATCCGTCACATTCTCTCTACATGGACATCCCCTAGCTACAACCCGTTTTTCTAATTCTGTGCCTCCATCAACTTCAAGATTGCAACTTCAACATAGACATATGCATACTCGCCTATCTCCTTTTTCTCATTCTTCGCAACCCCCGTTGCTGCCATTCTTCCCCTCCAAACTCCAAAGTGCCATATATATCTCCACACACAGACGCACATTCCCCAAAACCAACCCTCAAACATGAAAGATCACGAGATCAAGAGCCTCCACGGCAACAGAAGATCCCCAAAACGGTCCATCTGCCGCTCCATTTTCACCTCCCCGCTCTTCTACCTCACTCTCGCCTTCCTCGCCTTCTTCGTCGGCTACTACACCGCCACCTCCAACCCATTCCCCTCCTCCTCCTCCTCCGCCGCCGCCACGAACAACATCAACTTCCCCTCCCGCCTAGCAGCCACAACCGCCGCCATGACCCTCCCACCGGAGATCGACAACTTCCGCGTCGCGCCCAACTGCATCGACCCCATCCCCGCCGACCTCATCCGCGAAACCGTCCTCACGCGCGTCTACGGCGGCGCGTCCCCCTTCGACAACTTCCCCCCTCCCCACGTCGCCAACTCCCTCCGCCACCGCAGCCTCAAGGGCTGGGGATCCAAGGGCGCCGTCTTCCGCCACCTCATCGAGGAGGTCCGCCCCAAAATCATCATCGAGGTCGGCACCTTCCTCGGCGCGTCGGCCGTCCACATGGCCACCCTGACACGTCAGCTCGGCCTCGACGACACGCTCATTCTGTGCATCGACGATTTCCGCGGGTGGCCGGGGTTCAGGGAGCAGTTCCAGTTCATCAACCACATCAACGGCGACGTGATGCTGTTGTATCAGTTCATGCAGAACGTGGTGTATAGTAACGTGACCGACTCGGTCCTTCCGCTCCCGTTCTCGACCGGTTCGACCCTGTCCAGGTTGTGCCAGTGGGGGGTGACCGCGGATCTGATCGAGATCGATGCGGGTCACGAGTTTAACTCCGCTTGGTCCGATATTAACCGGGCGTTCCGGCTGTTGCGACCGGGTGGGGTTATGTTCGGGCATGATTATTTCCGGATGGGGGATAACCGTGGGGTGAGGCGGGCGGTTAATCTGTTTGCTCAGATTTATGGGCTTAGGGTTCAGACCGATGGCGAACATTGGGTGATCCACACCTCCTGATTTTGGTTCACCCAAGTTTGAACACGAATTTTGTTTTTTTATTTTATACTTTCTTTATAACGATGATCGGTGTCCTGATATTTGAATTTAGGGTATGAGAGATATTATCATCCCTACATTCATATTGTGTTTGTTATTTGGGTTTCGTACTTTTTTATATACCAAGTTGATTCATTTGCCAAGTTATTATGTGTATGTGATGTGTCATAAACCAGTTGGTCCCAATAACTCGAGTTGTTGGGAGAAAGTTATGCTGGATCTTATACAGGTCCGTGTGTGGTGCTTAACCACTTCCTTACATGATGGGATTCAAATAATAGAAAACGTCTTGCATTTTCCATTTCTTCTTGAACAAAGAAACTTGACTCTTTTGGTATTTTCAAACCAGATATGAAGGTGCAAATCAAATACGGGTTTGAGTTTCATAAACATTCCAATAAAAATCACGTTCATGGCCAGGGTGACACTAGCAATATACAAGTAAAATGAGTGTAGATAACGTTAATAATTTTTAACCTTAAAACGCTAACTTCGAATTTTCATATGGTTACACTCCCAAAATAAAACATTTTCTCCAGTACATTTTCATCTGAACCAACTAAATCATAAATTTATTTCAGCAACATCACCAAATTGATGAAGAAGGTTGGTTAGAATAATTCCCCGCCATTAACAACAACAACAACAAAAAAAAAAAACAATAACACGTAAAACAACAAGAAATCACATCCCTCCACACTAAACCCTACATGAAAAAACACATGAAATAAAAGAAAATACTGCTCTAGTTTAAAATATTTCAAAGATGATAATTAACTACTACCAAGTTGTAGCTGGCACCTGTCAACCATAGTAGCTAGCTACTAGCTAATTATCATCCATATTTCAAATTCATGGCTAACATCGGATAATCTCAATGATTCAAACTTAGAGGCATTTACTCATGCCTCGTCCTAAGTTAGTTAGATTCCATTTGGTACACTTTTTCTATCTGAAATTTGTTTACAACTTATAAATGGATGTTATTAGATTTATTCTTTGACTTTTAATTATAATTCGAATTATTAACATCAATTAGTTCTTCGTATAATATTAAAGTCCTTGAATGAGAGATCTAATATTTAAATTCCGACTTCAAATAACTGCTCTTGATTTAAGCCTATAATATAACATATTTGCACAAATCTTAAACCCACAAATTAACGACCATTTGAGGAAGGTTAAGGTATATAGAAAACAATACAAGATCCACTCTTAAACACACAAATTAGCCTATCAAGTATCAACTACTCAAATTTATAATTTCCAACTTGAACATGATGCATGATCCGTCCTAACTAACTTGTTAACTCGAGTCTCAATTGCTTTCAACCCAACCAAATGACTTGTGGTACGAAATTATATTGCTGGAAATCAATCTTTTTCTCTGTACTAATTAATATGCGTCACATACTCAACATGGACATCCCCATAACTCGTTTTTCTTATTTCTTCCTCCTATCAACTTTTGGATTGCAATTTCAAAATGGACATGCATGCATGCCTACGTCCTTTCTTTTCCATTCTTCCTAATTCCATTGTCGCTGCCGTACGTACTCATTTTACCTTATAACAGATACGCAATCCATGCCACATTTCCTCATTCCACTTCTCCTAGCCTCAACGTACGCCGGAGTTCCGTACTATAATATAGAGAAAGAAATTAAGATGAAAGACGGGAAGAGCCTCCACGGCAGCAACAAACTGTCCTTCAACTCCACGGCAATCTACACACTCCTCATCCTCCTCTCCTTCTACATCGGCTACTTTTACGCCGCCTCCTCCTCCTCCTCCTCCACCGCCGACAACAACGACAACAACCTCCCCGACTCCCCACTAGCAACAACAACTGCCACCGCCACCGCCATGACTCTCCCAGCCGAGCTCGACAACTTCCGAGCCTCCCCCAACTGCGCCGCCAACCCCTTACCCACCCGCCAGATCCGACAAACCCTCATCGACCGCGTCTACGGCGGCACCTCCCCTTTCTCCGACTTCCCGCCGCCGCACGTGGCCGGATCCCTCCGCCACAAGTGCCTCAAAGGCTGGGGCTCCACCACGCCCGTGTTCCGCCACCTCCTCGAGGAGGTCCGCCCTGAAGTCATCATCGAGGTCGGGACCTTCCTCGGCGCGTCGACCGTCCACATGGCCAAGCTGGCGCGTGAGCTCGGCCTCGACGACACCGTCATTTTGTGCATCGACGACTTCCGGGGCTGGGCCGGGTTCAGGGAGGAGTTCCCCTTTATTAAGCAAGTCAACGGCGCCGTGACGCTGTTGTATCAGTTCATGCAGAACGCGGTTTATACCAACGTGACCGACTCGGTCCTGCCGCTCCCGTTCTCGGCCGGTTCGACCCTGTCGGTGTTGTGCGAGTGGGGTGTGACCGCGGATCTGATCGAGATCGACGCGGGTCATGAGTTTACCTCGATTTGGTCCGATCTGAACCGGGCGTACCGGCTGTTGCGACCCGGTGGGGTCATGTTTGGGCATGACTATTTTCTCGTGGGGGATAGGCGGTCGGTCAGACGGGCGGTTCATTTGTTTGCCCAGATGTATGGGCATACGGTTCAGATCGATGGCCAGCATTGGGTGCTACGCACCTCTTAGATTTTGTTTCTTCCAACTCGTTTTTTTTTTGTCATAGAACTCGGTTATTTTACTTGCCTGAATATTTTGTTCCAAGTTAATGGTATTCTTTTTCAGCCCATGTATGAAAGGTGATGAGATTCAAATAATAAAAATGGTATATTGTATTTTTATCTAAGAAATTTCTTTGTTACGCTGATACGACGGTGAATTGGTTCGTGTCCTGTTTCCTTCATGTCTTGTGGTGGACGATGTGGCTGGAACGGAACCAGCGAATTTTTGAGGGTAAGAAGCTCCCTTCTTCGGTTGTGGCCAAGAAAACAGTTGAATCAATTATGGTGTGGGTTGGAGCATATGGCAAAACTCTAGCAGATGGGGGTTCAAGGTGGATAAGGAATTTACTGAGAGGGCTGTAGCAAGTTTATTTGTTCCTGATTACTTGTTGTAGGTTGTTTGTCTTGTTGCGTTTGCTTTTGGAGATTTCCGACTGGTAGGGATGCTTGTTGATTTGTGTAGGGGGTTTTAGTTTTCTGTTTGGTACTCACAGGGGTAGTTTATTCCAATTTATGCTGGGAGAATCGGGTTCTTCCTTAGGTTGATGGTTTTTTCCTTTTCTTTTCCTTCCTTTTTCGTTTCTGTTGTGCAGGGTGTGGTTGAGACCATTCCTCTTGATCCCTGTTCTGTCTCTGTTTATTGACTCTATTTTCTGGGTTTTCTTTAATGGAAGTTTTCACCATTATGAAAAAAAAAATTATTTGTTACGGTTACTTTTCTCGACTTGATCTAACATGATTTCCGTTACCAACTTGAGTTATTGAAAACTTCCCGACGAAATCGAGAGTTTCATCAGTCAGTACAACACTACACACAGATTACAACAAGAAATCACTCATCCCAAAACTAACCTATAGATAAGGAACAGAAAGAAAATGAAACTACAGCTCTGGTTTACATATTTCAAACCATAGCCAGACCAGACACCAATCAACTTGCGCTAGAGGACTACTCTGTCAAACACTAACACGAAAACCAAGAGGACCACTTTCAGTTCTGGGTTCACAACATCAAAAAGGGAACCACAAGAAACAGATCCGGCTCACTCTGTGAATATGCCAACTAATCAAACAGCAGAAGGCATATTCATGCTTTATTCAAAACCCAGTTTGGTCATTTCGCCTGCTCACCACCTTCACCAGCAGCCGGGCTACCCTGGCGATCACCACCGGTTGATCCAGCTTCAGGTGGTGCATCTTGTTTATTCGATCCTGCTGCTGCTGCTGCTGGGGAGGGCCCACTGCTTCCTAGATTTGGATCGGCAGCTTGCATGGTATGATGCATGCTATTATTGTTTCCCAAGGGTGGCCTTATTCCCATCTGTTGTGCATGAATCGCTTGTTGGTGGTGTAATTGTTGTGGATGATCCTGCATTTGATGTGGGGGGTTGTTATATTGTAATGGCATATTCCTTGGGGGGAAACCCCCTGGCGACTGCTGAGCCATTGCCGCTGCTGCTTGAGCTTGAGCTTGAGCTTGAGCTTGAGCTTGTGCTTGTGCCTGAGCTTGAGCTTGGGCCTGAGCTTGAGCTTGAGCTTGAGCTTGAGGATGCTGCTGCATGTAAAATCCTCCTTGTTGCATTGCTGGATGTGGAGACATCTGACCCAAGTGGGAAAAAGTTTGTGTTAAAGACGTGCCAATGGGAAAAATAGATATGTAGATGATCGGTATGTTCAATATACCAACCTGAGGCGGCATAGCAGGTCCCTGTGGCTGGGCATCAGCAATAGCCGCTAGATACATTAGATTCTTCTGCAGTTGTGCTTGGTATCTACATAGTTAAAATCGACAAGTAAGAAACCAAGTAAATAGGGAGCACCAAATGCCACTTGAACATACAAAACCAATATCTTAACAATATATGAAACTTCAGATTCATGAAAATCCAGAGTTCTAATGGCCAATCACCCTATCATATGTGCACAAAACCAATGTTCAAGAAGAAAAGTCAAAACTGTGACCTATCCTGTAAGTTGTCAGAACAAACAACAGTAAAGTACTAGCATCCTTGGGAGGCCCAAAATGTAAGTAAAACTATCCATACTAAAAACAAACAAAGAAACCACAAACAAGGCTACATGACTCGCAGACAAACTAATACTTCTGAAATCTTATCCCACCCTAAGCTTATGTTTGCTTAACACAGTGACACACCAGCACTGGCTTGTTCTGACAGAGCTAAGGCTTAATAAGCAAAAGAGGAATTGTACCATGACCCTACTGTATGTAACAACGTCCTACATATGTCTTAATCTCCAAGCTTGTTTCAAAATATGTCAAGAAAGGTATAGATTTCACAAAATTAGAAAGCCAAAGGAACAAAATTACCAACAAACAATCAAGAATGAACAGGGCAATCACATTGGATGAGGAGATGACAGGAATGTCATGGTGGCAGGAAGCAGTTGTGGTCAGAACAATTATGAAGATGTATGCCACTGCAGATTATGAGTCAATTGCTCTATTTTGGAGTTTGAGATGGAACTCAGTGGCACTTCTATGTTCCAGGTTTCTTGGAATTCAATTGCAATATTAGTGGTTATCTCAGTTACAGATAGTACACAAGAAGAGTAAAAAAAGTCAAGCACACATATGTCAGATGCATTAGCAAATGACTTCTTACTGGGCACATTCAGTCAGCTTGCCGAGGTTTTGATTGTCCAATATGGCTAAGATCAACTTTTTGTTCTCATCAAGAAACTGCATCAAGCATTAAATACAGAATCGAGCGTTAGAAAATCATGCATGCATAAGATTATATTTATAGCACAAGACGTAGATTGTCAAGCACAGGGCAAACAAAACAAAAAACGACTGGTAACACGTGGAGTCTGCAATCAATTGAAAGATCATAAATAGATGAAATTAACAACTTGCCCTACTTACAATGTTTAGAGCATCAACCTAACAGAAATTCCATGGCAACAAACATTTCAAAAGATCCACCAAGACAAGATAACACGGCGCCACCGCCTCGTGTACAAATACCATTTCCTAACATTAACACATCAATAAAGATAGAATACAGCTTAACTTTCCCATACCATGTCAACTCTAACTTAATGCGATGCGCGCGTAAGATGGCCCAAACACTAATACACTAATAAGTACTTGCCATATAACTTCAGAAGAATACATTCTAAGAAGGCAAGCTTGTATGTTGTCTCAGTTTCATGGTCACAGAAACAGACACGCAAAAGCCAACATCGCTGACCCAACAAAAAGGTAAAACATAAAAGCCGTAAGAAAAATACCTACAATGGCACTCTTAATCCTCAGAAATTTCCTACATACGCATCATGAAGTGAGCTACATCACCATCTCAGTTAATTCCACTAGCAATACTTGACAGTGGTAAGCGCCTTGGCAGTGCAATCCCATACCCTCAGACATCATTGAGCAATCAAGTAGATAAAAGTCGATAATCTGGAGTGCGCACAGAACTAAGAGCAGAAGACATCGACTTTTCAAGGAACAAGCCCGTTGCTTCCTGATTACGAGCTAATGATTACTACAACTACTAGCATCTACAAGCCACATATCCAATACTTAAGACCCAATCATTTCTTCTCAAACGAAAACCGTAAAGCTCTAAACTTTCAGCTTCAAAAAGATAACTCAATCGCAACTACACCCAAGAACAGAGCACATAAATGAACACCATACTATAAAAATATACCTTCTGGATCTGCTCAGTAGTGATGTTGGAAGGCGGGAAAGAGGGCATCATGGGCATCATCTGTTGTGGCTGCTGCATCTTTTGTTGCATATGGTCGCTTTGTTCTCTCTGTTTGGCTAACCAAGAACCCTAAAAAGAAAAATCCCTAATTCGAGAAACCCCAGCGCCAAATACCAGGCGGAGAACCGGGCGGCAAACAATCAACGTTGCTCTACGATGATCACGCACCAAACCCACCGACGAGGCCTTCGTTGAAAGCTTGAATGGCGCGTCGTTCCCGTAGAAGACAAAAATGGCAGAGTCGCTACTTCTCCACTACTTCCTCGGCGGTTTCTCGATAAAGGGAAGAGACGCTGTGGAGAAATGTTGGTTAGGTAGTCGATGTCTTAATTTTAGTCTTCTTTGTCTCTTACTGCCGAAAGGCCCGGCCCGTTAGGGCGGGAAATAACTTTATATATTGACAAATTAAATTAAATTGTGTTAATCTTTTTATTGTTATTAGTTTCTATTATTAATTGGTAAATACCATATTTGATCACTCGGATTACTATGTTTAGTCAAGAAAAAATTAATATCAATTTTGGTCACTCGAATTACTAAAATAGGTCACATTTAGTCACTTTCCCGTTAGCCTCCGTCCAACTCCGGTCACTCAAATTACTTTTTTTTATTATGAATGTCACTCGAATTACCGAAACATGTCACATTTAGTCACTCTTCGTTAGCCTCTGTCCAACTCTGTTAATGGAGTTGGACTGAAACTAACGGGAGAGTGACTAAATGTGACATGTTTCAGTAATTCGATTGACCAAAATTGATATTAGTTTTTTTCTAGTGACTAAACATGACATGATTTAGTAATCTCAATGAGCAAATGTGGCATTTACCCATTATTAATTTATTTTTGAACGCTCAATACTAACAGTGCTAATTCTAATTTTCGTAAATACGGATATTTTGTTTTGATGTCTATTTAATTTCAATGTTGATCAAAATTAATGTGTATTTATAAAATGAGAGGTATGCTTGTCATTATTAAAAATTAAAAGGAGCACGCGGGTGAAGTATAACACATTATTACACCTCATCAAAAGTATCACAAAGCATACCACAAAATATATATTAGAAAACTCAACAAACCTCACTAAAAATATCATAAAGGATACCAAAAAAACTTATGAACCATATACCAGAACCTTACCGCACCATTAAATTCATAAAAGATACCAGAAACTTCAAAGCATACCACAAGTTTCCTAAAATGTATCGGAAACCTCATAAATAATACCTATAAAGAGAAAGTAAGGCTCATTCTTCGACGCCAACACGATTAAGAATTGAGTTTCGTACTTTCAAACAATGACAGATAATTTGTTTTCAAATCAGAACAACAGAATCTCTAATACTAAAAATAAAATAAAATAAAATAAACATATATATCATTAAAAATATCATACAAACAAGAAAATTTGGTAAATGTCTAATGATGAAATGCATTATTTTCTAAAATGATACATTTGACCAAATATCTCATTTTTGAAGAACTCCATCCATCTGACTCAAAGAGTAAAAGACTATAAAAGCAAGGTAACATAAATGAGAAGGAATCAAGGAAGTGATGGCTTGCCCTGAGCAAAGCAAGATTGTTCGTATAAGATAGAATACGAAAAATAAAGAACAAATCGATTTTTTATGGGCATTACTATTCGTCGCCCTAAAATAACTTATTCATCGCCCTAACTTTCATCAAAATGACTCTAATATCCTTTATCTGAAGCAAATTGGCTTTTGTCTTTCAAAACATAAGCACTAAACGAACACATATAACTATTCCAAATAACAAACTAACATAATTACAAAATAAATTGCAGTAACAAATAAAAAACAAATTCAATGATAAAAACAAAATACATTCATTTTTTTATTTTTTTTGCAAATTGGCTGGGACATTGAACTGTGGAATATTTTCTTCTTCTTGCCCAGCGACGTCAGCTCTTCTCCCTTATTCTTTCACGGCGGACCACCGCTGAACTTCTTCCTTCTGCTTCTTCTTTTTCCTTCATCAACAATAGCAGCGGGTGGTGGAGTGGGGGAATGGCCACGAACGGCCAGAATCTGGCTAGTGGGATTCTTTCTCCTTTCTCAGCAAGATAGCGGGTCGGCGGGCTGGAAAAAAATACAACGATGTCGAACTTTGGGAAACGGAGTCATGGCGGGTTGGGGAAACGACAGCACCTGCCGGGATCCGGCTGGTGACGGACGACAAGGAGCAGAGGATGAAATGGAGTGAGATTGTGTTTGTTTACTGTTTAGCGAATATCGTTTGAATTTGGGGATAAGGGTATCCACGTCATTTTCATATGGTTTAGGGCGATAATATTTAAAATTTAGGGCGACAAATAGCAATTCAGTTTTTTATAAGGAAGATACAAGTTTAATTTTTGTCTTAGGTACTACTTAAGAAATTTGAACTTAAGACCTCTAGGATAAAAGTTAGTGGTCTTACTATTAGACCAATTCCTTGTTCGTTCAGTAACAAATTGATTGGCCTCACCAAAGACCTAGGACAATACTACTCCTTCCAAATCATGCAAAATGTGTTAAGCCTTCAGAATAAACATCACATGCAATCAATCTAATTACTTTGGCCAATTTGAATTAGGTTGAATTTTACAATGCTATATAACATTGGTGCTATAGGTTTTTGTCTTTATGGTACAACTTGAAATTGTACATTTAACGTTATGGTACAATTTCAGATTGTACCTATACTTTTTTGTACAAATTCTTTTATATGGTACAACTTAAACTTGTACGTTTATGTGATGGTACAACTTCAATTAGTTGTGAAGTTGTACCATAACATAATGCTACAAATTCATTTATGGTACAACCTAAACTTATACATTTCACATTATGGTACAACTTCAAGTTGTACGTTAAAACACCAATGTTTTATAGCACCGTAGAAGTGCTCTTTGAATTAGTAGAATATCAAACACAATCTTAGGACAATTTTTTAATTGCCCACACAATTGTGTGATTTGATACAAGTAGGGATACATAATTGTTTATCTTCTATAATTTTTCTACTTTTCTCTATATTGTAACCCTACATTTTGTGAATAATCAATGATATTAAAATCAAATCGGATCGATCTATTCTGTATGATCCGTAAAACTGTTAATTAATTATTGTATAGTTCAGTTCGAGTGGAGCTTGTAGTCACCTACCAAAAGCCGACTAATAAGTAGTAGATCAAAACACTAAGTGATGAACCGGACAAACCAAGCAGTCATACCACAACACAAAACCAGCCAAATCGAAAAACTCACATTAGAATAAAGAATATGATCACCAACTCTACTATTGATCTATGCAACAAAATATAACTTAACATGTTGTTTATATGCCATATATTATGTTCTGAAAAGTTTAAAAACCCCGCCACTTTAAATTTTGTAAATTAGTGATTTTTATTTATGAAAAGTCACTTGTACGTATAACCATCGGATAATTTTTTTATTTTTGTAAAATGATAGGTGCCTATTTGTCATACAAAGGTTTATTAATTATTTGATTGGAATACATTAGAATTTAATATGCTATTGTATTGTAAATGGTTCTATATTGGTTCAATAAGCGAATCATGCATCACTGAATAGACATTTGGCAAAACGTACTTAGTACCACTACAAGAAAAAATATGTATTAGTGACAGTGACCATTTGCTGCTATAAAGCATTTATTTGCCTCTAAAACTCAATAGAGGCACATAATTATGTGACACCAATACTGCAGCCGCTAAAAGTAATTAGCTGCAAAACTTAGCGGCTAATATATATATGTGCCGCCAATTGCATGTTTAAAGGCAAATATATCTGCCTCCATAAGTAGTATATGTGTGCCCCTGATAACATGTTTAAAGGCATACAAAAGAGTCGTTAATGGTGAGTTACAGTTGCAAATTATCTGTGAGTAAACAACTTTTCTCCTACTAATATGTTAGTCGCTGATTAGTGTAGTTAAAGGGCATTATAATAGCCTCTAAACATATCATTGCCTCTAATATTCATTCCCAATTTTTGCATTAAATATTGGATCTTGATCTCTAGCACAATTAAATAAAATATAGAGAGAAATACAAACACGGATAAGGAAAAATTGCTATTGCTATTTGATATTAATTAACAATAAGTTGCTCATACAGTGGGGCTGACAAGATAAAATTAAAGATCCCAACATAAAAATTGAAACTAACAAACACTTCATATAGAATAGTTCCACAAATGTTGGAGAGTAGCAAGTATCAAACTGTTTTCCTGTTTGCAAATGTCGATCATCTTCTTGTTCAACTTCACCAAGACCACCTGGTTGTTGTGTTGCTAATGTTGAACTCTCGTGCTAATTTAGTGATTTATCCATCTGCAAAATGATAGACTCCATTCAGAAGAATTTAATTTAAATTGTGCTAAATTGATGTATAAGTAAGCTACAAAGGTGCGTATAAGAACATCGATCGATCGAGGACACCAAACTCTGCTATAGTAGAACATATATATGCTTAATCTTTATACATGAAATACCTGGTCCCGGAGTTGCATGAAAAAAGATATATGTTATTGAATGGCCTTCCCTCCTCTAATAAGATCCCAAAGGCTGGCTGGGAAGCATACCATGTAGGCATCAAAACGACTCAACATGCTGCAACTTTCCTCGTAATGATTCAATATACAGTACTAGTCCAGAAACTCTTAAAATTGAACTACGCGCGAGACAATGAGGAAGGGCGACGCGGAAGTAACTGGAGCAAAAAGAACCCTAAAATTGAAGAAAATTGCAATTGGATTGATGATTTAGGCGATTTTATCACAAAGGATATGGAGACGACGTCGACGAGTATTGCCAGGTGGGTACTTTTACTTTACAGAAGAAGCTGTATAGGAATCAGAATGATAGACTCGTATTGTTGACAAGGAAAGAAACATATATGTCGAGGGAGAGGTTCGGCGGCGAAGTCTGTGGAAGAAACTGCAAAGAGCTGGGCGTATAGAACGATGAGGGGAAGGATGGAATGGAACACGAAAGGGTGAAAATCGCTATTTAATTACCAAAAACTATTCCTTTTTTTGTTAATAAAATTCTTATTAATTTTTCTTTCTTTTCCGTTATACTAATTAATAAGTGTGTAATTTTGGAGATTGGTGGCAATTGTATTTGCCTGTAATCATAAAACGTTTACCGGCAATTCTATGTGTTCTTAAATGCTATTTTTTACTAAGTTGCTCGTAATCACAACAGCTTGATTAATTTCTTTAGTTAAACAAAACAATTAAAGGCAAATAAAATCATATTTAGAAGCAAATAAATTAATTGTCGCTAAATATCAAGTTTTAGGGGCAAATACAAAAAGTGCCTCTGGAAAAAATCCAAAAGTACCACGGTTTAAAAAAAATTCCAAAAAGACTACCCTTTTTCAAAAACCGCCACCCCACCCAGAGGTTTGGTCCAAAATTTTTTTTTTCCGATCAACTCCTAACTTCGGCCGAAACTTCAAACGAACGTAACTTTGCACTCGGGTATCCGATCATAGCGATTTTTTTTTATTTCGCATAACTTTTTAAGATCCACAACTTTTAGTAGGATGAAATTTTCAAAACAGGAACTATTTGTGGATATACGGGACCTTGAGAATAACTTTACCTTTACTTTTCACAAATCCATGTACATTTTTGAAATTATGATTATATTAAAAGTTGTAGATCTTGAAAAGTTATGTGGAATAAAAAAAAAGTTCATGACATTCGGATTTTGAAGCACAAAGTTATGGCCGCCCAAAGTTTGACGAAATAAAAAAAAGGCTCGTTCGGGGTGGCAAATGACGTTTTTCGAGACGAAGGCAGGACCCGGCGGTTTGCGGCTTGCAAGATCTCAAAAATTTATTCGGATTCAAAAAATGGAGGCCGCAAACTTTTTGAGATCTTGCAAGCCGCATACCGCCGGGTCTCGCATTTCGTCAAACTTTGGGCGGTCATAACTTTGTGCTCCAAAATCCGAATGTTATGAATTTATTTTTTATTCCGCATAACTTTTCAAGATCTACAACTTTTAATATAATCATAATTTTAAAATGTACATGGATTTGTGAAAAGTAAAGGTAAAGTTATTCTCAAGGTCCCGTATATCCACAAATAGTTCCTGTTTTGAAAATTTCATCCTACTAAAAGTTGTAGATCTTGAAAAGTTATGCGAAATGAAAAAAAACATCGCATCGATCGGATATCCGAGTGCAAAGTTACGTTCGTTTGAAGTTTCGGCCGAAGTTAGGAGTTTGATCGGAAAAAAAAAAATTTGGACCAAACCGCTGGGTGGGGTGGCGGTTTTGGGTCAAACCGCCACCCCACCCAGCGGTTTGGTCCAATTTTTTTTAATAACCGCCCCCTAGGCCCGCGGTTTGCATAGAAAACCGCGCCCCCGACAAACGGTTTTCGTGTAAACCGCAGGGTGGGGTGGCGGTTTTTGAAAAAGGTGGTATTTTTGGAATTTTTGGGGTTTGGGTGGTATTTTTGGAATTTTTTTTTTTAAACAGTGGTACTTTTGGATTTTTTTCCCTCTAGTATTAGCCGCTAAAGCTTGTTTTTCTTGTAGTGTACCAATCTGTATGGTAACATATTTCTCATTTTTGTTAATCACATCACCAGCCCCTTGATTAGAAGCATTGCCCTAATGTTAATGAAATACAAAGTTACAAACACAATCATTTATGCCATTTCCTTCTACCATCTGTCTTTAAACAGCTGATGACGACGTACAACGACCAACCATCTTTTCCCCCATTCTATGCTCTTTTCAGAGAGAGAGAGAGAGAGAGAGAGAGAGAGAGAGAGAGAGAGAGAGAGAGAGAGAGGGCTGGAGCCTGCAGCTAGACTTGGTGTTATTGGATCCAGTGCAAAGGGTGACAGTGCTACTAGCTAGAGTCAAGTCTTACTCACCCCAATAAATTACCAGTAAAAAGCAAACAGCTGCTGCTAAAGCCTGCACAGCAAACATTAAAGAAAGGAGACGCGCATCGATCTGTTTTCTTTTTGCATGTTTTGGCAGTCAGCCTTTGTCTGATTTTATAGCAGCAGTAGCAGCTGCTGGTGCTGGATGTATAAATCTATCCATCTATCTACCTTCTGCTAACTTCATCATCATCGATCGTCAGGAATCAGCTAAACGTACGTCGTCCACAGGCAGGCCTGTATCGAAAGAAAAGGAGATGAGAGGAGCTTCCGATCCTTTTCTTCCACTCTTGATATTATTTATCACTCGCTGCTGCGTCTATAGGGTTGCCCTTCTTTTGTTACGTTGCAGACAGGGAGGGTTTCTCATGTTTTGGCCGTATCTCTAGCTAGTCAAAAGTACTCTCTGCTCTGGCTACTATTTTACTCCTAGCTCTCTCACTACTCCTCGGTTTGCTGGCTGGAGAGGGTGCAACGTAACTCTGAAAGTGTGTATTCCTTTTTCCGTGCATCCATCTCCATCACTTTGCTAGTGTACAGATATCTTAATATCACTTAGGCTATTAGTTAATTAGTTGTGCTTATCAATCGTATGTGTTACCCGGCCAAATGATGATAAGTTGCGACAGTGGTTGTGAAAATGCTGCATCGATCAGATAATTAATAGCCTCAGCATATGTGGATAGCATGGATCTGATCGCATGAGACATAGCTAAGGTAAATTCTAGTCATTATGATTGTCGATTTATGTCGATCCGATACTCCTATCTTATGTTTTTTCTTCACCATGACCATGGTGAGAGATCTAAATGAAGAATCTCTCGCATGCCCAGGAACAAATGTCTTTTTATTACCATTTGGAGAAAGGGTCTTCTTAAAAGATATGCTTGTACTAACTAGGGTTTCTCACAACAACAACAACAACAACAACGATGATGATAATGAGGAGGAGGAGGCATGAAACAAAGATCTCTACCACCATTTGTAATTGTAATTTTGACGTTTGCATTTGCTGGTATTTGTTAGAGGTTTCATAAAAAAGGGCTATCTAAACCAATTAATGATTGTCAATCCTTTTCATCTACCCTTCATAGTTCATATGTGTGTTCACTACTTCACATTTTCTCTATAATACTATAGTATAATGATGTATGTTAACAATACAACATACTCATCAAACGACCCATAATTAGATGATGACTCACTTATAATGTCTGAACTTACTCTTTTGGGAAAATTCTCAACTGGGCATAAGAGATGCTTCAAAGATAAAGTCTTTCCATTCGAGAGTCGGGTTCATTCTAATAGAAGTTTTTATTTATCTCTTCTCACCTCGTATATCAGTTTCGTGTCATTTTGTTTCTCGAAGTTTTAATCAAGAGCTGCCTACATCGTGACAAAACAGTCTCTTTTATCGTGAGTCCGGTTGCAACTATCTATCATTCTTTATTATTGTCGGTTTTATATTTTTGTTGTCCAGCCATGTACTAGTAAGGGCTTGTTTGGATATAATAATAGACTCACAATTAGAGAATTATGATGATGGAGATACTTAACTAACCATAGTAGCTACTTTCCTTTGATTGATATGTAGGACGTGCTTGTAATTATAAATCCTCTAGAATATTTTTTTAATATAATATAAGTGAAATATTTCATCTTGTTATACTTTGTTATGACACTAGTTAACATATTTGTTGTATAAATTTCAAAGAAGAAAGGAATTCATAAGTTATATTTCATTTGCAAATTATCAATAATTGACTCACTAGTAATCCTTGTTCACAAATGCAATAAGTTCAAAAATATGTTCTTACCTATAATTAGAACTTCGCTATGGTGATCGGTGACTTGGGTTAAACTCTAAGTAAGGGTCACTTAGACCATTTAATCGAATGAATCTGGACAATTGATTAATAAGAAAGGCGAATCCGAGGTTTAAATTTTTAAAAAATAGTTGACCGATTATCTTCCTACAAGCTTAATCCTTTAATTTGATGTTCTAATCAATTTTTATTAGTCATATAGCGACCATTAGGAACCACACAAAATATCACATTTTCATCAAATCAATCTATCATGTCATTGGAACAATTCATCAAATTTGCCCACCAGAGTCCAAGTAACTCTAACTTGGAGTAGTTTACACAAGTCATCAAGTTCAAATTATCGTACATCTTGCTGGAACAAACGATCAAATTAGTCCACCAGAATCTAAGTAACTCTTACTTGGAGTTTATACAAGTCATTAAAATTCAACTTATCGTACGTTTGGCCTATGCCAATCTTACTATAGTTTCGCTATTTAGTTATTAAATTAACTAAAATTTGGACAATAACATTATACTCTAATATCTAAAGATCGAACCCCTAATGTCAATTCTTCCAAAATGTAGTAATAACGCATTCTTAACTGAAATTTGGACAATAACATTACTCAAACTATACGATAAATTTAGTATACAAATTAATCGACAATTCTTGTTGATCAAAAGGAGATCTAATATGTAAGAAGGCATGTCTATATTACCCATGGTGTATATATGCTAGCCTTTGCCAACTATTACAAGCATTTTGTTAGGAATAAAGAAGAAGAGGTAGTTAATATAAACCCCATAGACGAGAGGAGAGGAACATATTTAACCCAATAGAGTCCAATTTAAATTAAAATCTCATTGTTGAATGAATAGGAATTCATCTCAAACTCAACACACGGATATAATTAAGAACACATAATAAGGGTTCGTTTCTTGAGAGGAAGGAAATTAAAAAAGCTGTAAAACACTGTCTGAACAAATTTAAGACAATTAGCAGATGACGTGACTGTTGAGAATTAACTAATTTGTTGTACCTTTCATCAAATAACCAAAAGCCTAGCCTAGCTTCCCCTCATCTTTCGCCGTCACTTGCAGAGCTACCTACCTAGCATTCATTGACTTGAATCGGTGGTAGAATTATATAGTATAGTAGTACGTACGTCGTCATTTGGGCGAGGGCTGGAACTCCTGGCCACCGCCACGCCGGTCATCGTCCGACGGTTGCATATGATGGTGAGAAAATCTGGAGCTCATCATGCTAAGCTCGGTAAGCTGATGAAACGGCATGACCACCGGCGAACTACGGTTGTGATGATGATCTATATTAAAGTAAGCCGCCGCCGCGGCGGCGCTACTGCTGTGGTCGAATCTCACCGTTGGACCAACCTCGTTGTCCCCCGCCGCTGCTAAATGATGTTGAGGGTAGTAAGTGTTGTTGGATAAGGACAACGGCGGCGACATCTCCATGTTCTCATGGTGGTGATGATGAAGTTGAAGTAGTTGTTGGTGTTGGTGATAGTGTTGTTGGTGATGATGTTCATCTTTTGTTTGGGATCCTCCAAACCCTTGTTGACCACCACTTCCCAAATTGAACATAGTTGTAACGTTGTTGGAATTCTGAGCCTGAGCTTGGAGACTACCATAAGACCCTTGTTCATTGATCTCTCGATCACCTTCCTCATTTTCCTCCTCCTCCTCTTCCACACCATCGTCCCGATGGCTGAAATTTTCAGCCGTCGGGACGATGTTTGTTGGTGGTGGAGTAGCACCTGCTGCGATGCTACTCCACCACAGCTGTTGTTGCTGCTGTTGCGAAATCTCGGCCCAATTGATCATCATGTTGTTGGTGTTGGTGTTGTTGTTGGGGTTGAGGCTGAATTGGGAGGGGGAGATGGGGAGAGGAGGGAGCTCGTCGATCTCGGATTTCGCGGCGTTGAGGAGCCAGTCGACGGCCTTGCTGGGCTGAGTGAGGCCCAGCCTGTCTTGGAGGTCGTACAATTGGATGGCGGTGGGGACGGAGAGCCGAACCCTTCGGTCTCTGAGACCTCGAATGGTGCAGACTTTGCTGTGCCTGTCTTTCCCTCCCAACGCCTTGCACACCCTCACTATCCGCGGATCTTTCTGCCTCAACCATGTCGTCATCGTCGTCGTTGTTGTTGATGATGACCCAGTTTCCTTGTTGCTCTTCTCACCATCATTCATCACTGTTCTTTGTATCTCAACTCCTACTAACACACTGAATTCGAACCTTTAAGATCGAAGAACGAATTTTATGGGAGAAGAAGAAGAAGGAGGTTATGGGAGATGGGTAGCTTACAAAATACAGAGAGTGGTATGGGTGGGCTTTGGATTCATTGAGGGAAATATTAGGCGGTGAGCAGTGGGGAAAGATGTTGGTTTCTGGGTTTTGGTTGAATTTAAGCAAAAATGGCTGCAGATGCAGATGCAGAGTGAGAATGGTGGGAATGGTTTGATTTGAGGAAAGAGGGAAAGAAAGATGCCGGAATCGAACCGACCATCCTCCACGGCAGTCCTTATGAAGTAAAAAAAGCAATGGCATCCGTGGTGCCACGTGGACTAGGGTCTTCCCATCCCTGCTAATTGCAGAAATGGTCACTAAAACTTGGAGTGGCTAACAAATTGATAGCTAGATTTTTAGTTTCTGACAACTTTGTGATTGGGAGTTGCATTAAGGATGGCAAAACTAATCCATCTTCGCGTGGGTATTTAATCGAACTCGAAATTGTTTTACCGTCAATTTTTTTTTACTGATATTTGATTTTTAGTTGAGTTTTTTCGCGAACCCGGAAAGAGAGTAATGAATTTTATGTAAATTTTGTATTTTAAAATATATGGTCTTACTCTTTATATATACTTTTAAACGCTAGATCGTTCATATCTTTCAAGAATTACCGTGACCCTGAATTTAATCATTTCAAACCATTTGATAATCAAAGTCGTTCTTTTGTTAATCTTTAATGGTCACTAATGATCAATAAAGACTCAATGAAATTATGTCACTCATCAAAACAATATTTAATATCAAAGAGAAATCAACAAACATTAACATACTTAAAAAAAATCATGTTAAATCATATTAAGAATGTAAAATATAACTATTTAGGTCATAGTGTGCACAAGGTTAATTTCACCGAATGCATACAAGTAGGATTTGATATGTCGTATCATATCCCTGACAACTTTCCTATAAGCGGATGTTTACTATTACAGAACGCAGTGGTTCAAGAATTAAATACAAGAAAACAATCTCTGTCTGAAATCATTGCCATCCCTAGTATGGAATGACTAAAATAAAAGTTACATGATCCTTCATTATTAGATGTACAAACTAACTCATGTAAATAGATAGCAATTAAAAGGAAATAATATAAATCATACTTAACTAAAATAGACAATTGGCCGGTTTTAAGCTTTTAACACTTAGTACTCTACGCGTTATTCACTCTCGCATTACATAAAAACCACCCTAATTAACCGATCCTTCTATGGACTTGTCACTTTACGCATGGTTCAGGTAGCAATTCAAACAACCGAGATAAAAAGTAGTCACCCTATTGTTGGATTTTTCTTCTTCTTAAATCCAAATGACTAAATAGTCAATGACCACAAAATTTAGTGGTGTTTCTGCAATTTGAACCCACCCTCGCCCATTCCATCCATCTACCTTCTTCTTCTTCCTCTTCGACTACTAGTGAAAGTGGGGACTCAGCTCCACATTCACATCTTATCATCAAAATAAAAAAAGAAGTACACATTCTCCCTTTGCCCCTTTGTTATTTTGCTCTGCCTTCTTCTTAGAGTTCTTTCTTTCGCGCATGTTTCAGGCAATCATTGTCCTTTTGCTATCTATCTATCTATCTATCTGTGGTCTGGTCTGGTCGCCATTCTCTCCCTCCGGCCCCTTTTCCTTCCGTTTACTCAAACTAACAACAAATCCAATTTTTGTTTTGTCAACAAATCATCAATCGTCCGAATTTGGTGTTTTGTGAAACTTAGCTTTGTCAACTTACATGCGTGAAATAGCACATCGAGTTGGTTTATATATATATATATATCATCTTCTTAATTAAAACAGAAAGTGTAGGATGGTTTGATGAAACTTATTCACATTACATAGAGACGTAATAATTTGCAAATGTATTCTTCGTTGGATAATGTTTTCATGTTTTAGTATCGGATTCTGAGAGTACTGCTCGTTCTTAATCGTCACTAAATCCTTAACTGCTATTATCATTTAGTGTCTCGTCCATATTCGTAATGATGTATAATCCCAAACATTGCTTGAAAAAAAAAAATATTATACACTTCTTCGAGTCAAAATTTCTTACTAATAACAGTGAAACCGTGTATTAAACAATAAGTACCGCTAAATAATAAATTCAACCGCGTTACAAGTCTTTGATCGTATCGATAAGATGCTCTCTTTAGGGCGAGGACCACTCATGTACAAGGACTTTTTTTCCTTTTTTTTGTTTAGATGAGTCGTCACTACAACAAAGCGATATGCATGTGGGTGTGGGGGAATAAAAACCAAAAAAATGAGATAGTCTTCATTGGGATTATCCCCTTTCGGAGCTAAGAACAGAACAGTAGTACACTATATACAGCCGAATATTTTCCCCACCAAAGTTGCACAAAAATAACGAAAGCCCTTTGGAGGGCAAAGCTTAGCTTAGGCAGGCGGGGCGGAAGTCGGCGTCGGTGTTCAAAACTCAAAAGAAACGTATTCCAACCTCTTGGTTCCGTTATTTTCTTTAATTTTTTGTCAGTCGTCGCCGTCGTCGTCGAAAACGAAGTGCACTGTGAGCTTTTAGCTTTATATCCCAATAATGATAAGAACAGCCAAACTCAATTAATTTTCCACGCACGCCGATGATGGAGAAGTCTCTGCTGTATTCTACGGTCAGGATGATTTATTGTATGGTGTATGGTCAGGATTTGGGGAGGCTAAAGAGTTCGATGTAAGTGTGTAATAACTAATAACGAATATACGTCTTCAGCGGCGAATCCAAAACAGGTTAGAGCACTGGGCCGCATTTAAAAAGCGATGGAAAGGGTTGGGCCGTAACCCTATAAACATTGAAATATATACCCAAAATCGAAAATTTACAAGTACTATACGAGCTTTGGATCCAGGGAAGGCTGGGCCGTGGACCGGGGGCGGCCCCCTAGATCCGCCGCTGTACCTCTTAGTTGTCTCCTTACAAATTTGGTCACATTTCGCACATGACTAAATCAGGATGTACGCGTACTCTGAAAGGAGAGTATATCATTTTGTAGATGATCTTGTGGTAGGATTTGTGAAGTTATTCTGAGTCTTCTTGTTTGATGAGTTGGAGGTTTTCTTTAAGAGTAAAAGTGCACTATAACTATATAGTATATATAGTATATACTAATTCACCCTTATATATAAAGGTGAAAGTATAAATACAGAGGCCAAACCTTGAAACCGTTGTCTCCCAACCTACCCCATATTCTACCAATTTAATCCCCAAGAATAATTAAGTATAACTAATTAAATGCAATTACCTAACCGATGGTTATTTAATACCTTTTGTTTTTTGGTAATATTTAATACGTCTTTATTATATATATATTTTTTTTTTGCGTGAACAGGAGGCCGAGGCCAAGAAAGGAGAAGGTTACACGAGGAGAGGAGGAGAAAGGGAGGGAGGACGGGCAACCACCCTACGAGTAGTGGTCACACCTCTACAGTCATCCTGAAGAATTGGGCCAACACCCACCGGCGGATTCGCCAACTCATACCTACCGTAGGGATAGACGAGACTGTGCTTCGAGAGCCAGTCCGCGACTCTATTCCCTTCCCTGTAGATATGAGTAATGCGAACCAACCAGTCCCGACCAAGCTTCCTGCGGATCGCGGAGAGGATAGTAGCATAAGGGTGAATCGGGTCATCTCTCGAGTTGATCAACTGAATAGCTAACTGGGAGTCCGTCTTCACCTGCAGAGTCCTGCACCCATTATTCCACGCCAGATCGAGCCCATACATGATACCCCAAAGCTCTGAGAGGACCGCTGTAGCGCTGCCAATGTTAGCGACAAAGCCAGCCACCCAGTGACCCAACGAGTCGCGGATAACTCCACCAGCACCGGCCGGGCCCGGATTACCATTAGACGCCCCATCGGTGTTGAGGGTGGTCCAACCCTCCGGCGGGGGGCTCCACCCGACTTCCGCCTCCATTCTAGCAGCCGGCTGGTTACTGTTGGCGGGGAGGAGAGTGGGAGCAATCCACGCCTCGTGCCACATACGGGTCTTCGCCATGATGGAATTCTCCAGGGAAGGAGGAGAAAGGGAAGCCCCAACTCCTTTGAGGCAAAACAGACATCGGTTTTTCCAGATTAACCAAACCACCATGCTGAAGAAAGCCGCCCACGGCATCCCGGATTCCATAGTGACGGGACTCAAGATATTGCTTCTGAACCAATGATCCTGCCCGAGGCTGAAGAAAACGTGCTGCTGCGCCGCTGGAACATGCCGGAACCAGAAGAAGCTCGCCGCCGAGAAGTCCCTGGCCATGTGCAGGATCGACTCAGTCACCCCCTGACATTTCTGACAGAAAGGGTTTGCCGCAATCTTTCTTTGCCAACGCAGGGAGTTTGTAGCTATTTTGCCAAGACAAGCGAGCCAAGTGAAGCTACGCACCCTTTCCGGGACCGGGAGCCTCCATATCGCCTTCCAAAGCCTCTCATCCGGGTCTTGAGGGTGCTGGTTGAGAAGACTGTAGGCAGTCTTAGTGGAAAACCTCCCATCCGAAGAGGCCGTCCAGAAAAGAGTGTCCTCATCCGGAGCTAGCGTATCTACGGCAACGCTCAGAATCTTCTGGTAAACATCAACCGGCAACAACTCCTCAAAAAGCTCCGTACACCAGCTCCCGTCTTCCGTCACGAGGTCCGCAACCGTGGCTTGCTCCAGGTGCCCCGGGATTTGGTCCACCGCCACCTCCTTGAGAGCTCCCTGCAAAACCCACGGATCCAACCAAAATTTAGTAGACTTCCCATTCTTAATGTTCCAAGCACTGCCTTTCCGCAACAGATGACCAGCTTTGGTAAAGCTGTGCCAAGTAAAGGAACTTCCCTGAGATGGGCGAAGGATCTCCAGATTTTCTCTTTGACGGCCGTACTTGGAACGCATGATCTGGGCCCAGAGGGTCTCTTTCTCTTTGATAAGGCGCCACCCACCTTTGGCCAGCATAGAGAGATTGGAGAGTCGTGTAGGCCGGATTCCCGCTCCTCCTTGACACTTAGGCATCGTCATTTTCTCCCATGCCACCAGATGCATTCTCGACTTGTTCTCCTCCTCGGCCCACACAAAGTCCCTGTTCAATTTATCAATACTGTGGCAAACCCCAACCGGAATTAGCTCGGTATTCATATTATAAACAGGAATGGAGGACGAAACCGATTTCACCACAGTGAGGCGCGCTGCGAAAGACAGGCGCTTCGCCTTCCAAGGAGCCAACTTCTTCTGGATGCGAAGAAACAGAGGCTGATATCTCTCCTTATTCACTCTTCCATGGATCACAGGAATGCCTAGGTACTTTCCCAAGGACGCTTTGAGAGGAATCCCAGTCCGCTGGCTCAGGTGGTTAGCTTTCCGCCTGCTGATGTTTGGGGAAACATACAAGATGGACTTTTGGTAGTTTACTCTTTGGCCGGAGCTAAAACAGAAAGCATCCAAGCAATCCTTGATAATCTTGATTTGTCTAGTCTCAGCCTCTTCAAACAAAAGAAGATCATCTGCAAAAAAAAGGTGAGTGAGGGGCGGGCCATTCTTTAAAGTCTAAGAGCTTTCCATCTGCCATTAGCAACAATTTCATCAATCAAGTGAGATAATCGTTCCATGCAGAGGACAAAAAGATAAGGAGAAAGAGGGTCTCCCTGGCGGACGCCCCTTGAAGGGGCGATGGGTTGAGAGAGCTGGCCGTTCCACAGAATGCGCATTCTGTTCTGCTCGACGCAATACATGATGCCGCTTATCCACGAGCTGGGGAGTCCCACCTCCTTAAGAGTGTCTCTGAGGAAGTCCCATCTCAGTCTGTCATAGGCTTTCTCAAGGTCAATCTTGAGTACAATCCCTCCCTTCCTGCCTTTCTTCTTGTGCAGCCAGTGAAGGACCTCTTGAACCACTATGATGTTGTCAGTTGTCTGTCTTCCCGAGATGAAACTGCTTTGGCGCGGGGATATGAGCTTCCTCATTAGCGGTTTCAACCTACTGGTTAGAGCCTTGGTGATCACCTTTAAGCTGACATTGTTAAGGGAGATCGGTCTGAGCTGGCTCACAAACTCTGGTCTCTCCACTTTTGGTATCAGAACCAAAGTGGACTCCGTCACCGCTTCCGGAAGGACTCCTGTCGAAAAGAAGTTAATCGCCATATCAGAGAGGCTCTTGCCCACGATCTTCCACAACTGCTGATAGAAGACTGCCTGGAACCCGTCCGGACCCGGTGCTTGGAAGGGTTTCATGTCAAACAAAGCTTTATGGATGTCCTGGATATTGAAGGGCCGAAGCAACATCATTAGCTCTGTCTGACTGATACGGGGAAAAGAGTTCTTGGGCATCCGGTCTTCGTACTCGGTCTCATCCTGCAAATAGAGGTTAGCAAAAAAGCCAAAAACTAAAGCAGATAGCTCCTGGGGGTCGGTTACCCAAGCTCCATTCGCATCCTGCAGAGCCTCGATTTTATTGCGTCTCCTCCTAATATTAACCAGCTGGTGGAAGTATGAAGTGTTGCGCTCCCCGAGTTTGACCCAACTCTCTCTCGCTCTTTGAAACCAGAGGATCTCTTCCTGTTCCATAATCTTGTCAAGCTCCTTCTCCAACTGAGTGTGAAGTTTAGCCAGGCCCCGCGAGAAAGACTGAGCCTGGCGATCCTCGATTCCCTTCAGGCGAGCTAGAAGTCTCCGCTTATTCTGCTGAACATTTCCAAAGACGCTCTTGTTCCACTCCTGAAGCTTGCCTGCAAGCAAAGAGAGGGCATTATGGAGAGGCACATTCTGATCCCAAGATTCAGTAACGAAATTCTGCAGATTAGAGTGGGAGAACCAAGCCGCCTCAAATTTGAAAGGGCGGGGGATAGAAGGGGAACTTCCCTGACTGGTCACTGAAGTCAGGATGGGACTGTGATCTGACTGAAGCCGAGGGAGGTGGACAACCGACGTATTGGGGAAAGAGGTGTTCCAATACAGGTTGCAGAGACTTCTATCCAAGCGGCTGGCTTTGTAAGAGTTGTCCTGCTCGCCTCTCGTCCAGGTGTACTTGGGGCCGGAGAAACCCAGATCAACGAGTTCAGCCAGGTTGATCCTGTCATTGAAAAGACGACAACGGCGATTGGTATAGCTAGAGGAAGGGCCAGACTTCTCATCGGGAGACCTAATAGCATTGAAATCCCCTGACAGGATCCAAGGAATATCAATCCTCTTGCTCTGCTCAATCAAACATTCCCACAGGCCTTTCTGCAGGCCACTACGAGGGGAGGCGTACATAGCCGTCAGAATCCAAGGAGCGCCACCACCTCGCGAGATTTGCAGAGAAATATGCTGACTGCAAGCAGAAACAATGTTAGCCGAAAACAGCCCAGCATCCCAAAAGATCCAAATCCCACCCTTGCGGCCCTCCGCTTCCACCCTGATCGAATTAGGATACCCCAACTTATCACAGACTGAATTGGCGTTCTCCCCACTGATATGTAGTTCGAGGAGAATCACAAAATCCGGCCGATGCTGCTGAAGCGCCAGTCTCAAAGCTCGGGCGAAGGGTTTGCTACCTGCACCACCCACATTCCAAACAAAAATTTTAAAGTTCTGGTTGTAAGACATAGACATAGATAAGCAAAAAAGAAATGGAAAAAGGAGAGAGGAGAGAAAGGGAAACGCTAGGCGTGCGGAGCTGAGGAGAACGTCTCCTCGTCCTGGCCAGGCGCTATCTCCTTAGGCTTATCCGCAGCTGTCCACTCGGCGGGTCTCTGAACTTTCGCCTCTGTCCATGCGGTAATCTCTTGGAGAGTGAGCGATGCAACGCGGGACTTGGATTTTAATCTCTTGTCCTTCATGGGCGACCATACTTGCAGCTGCTTCAGAGGGTTGAACTTGGTCGGTGAAGTTTTCTTCGCGCGCTCCTTCCCGGATTTGGATTTCTTCGTTCTTGCTCACGTTGAAGGAGTGTTCGTCCCTGTGGAGTCCCGACTCTTCTGCTCAGGCGATCGAACTTCCACAATCTGCATTGTGGTCCCATTTGGGCCGCTAATCATATGAATGGGCTGGGGAATTGAGCTGGTGGCCGAGGCTGGTTGTGGGGCTGAGGATCTAGCAGTCTCCCCAATATTTAATGGGCCAGACTTAGAGGGTCCTTGGGGGTCAGTGGGGTTGGTTGACGAGGAGGCTAAATTGGAGGCTTTAGTGGGCTTAACACCAAGGCCCACCATGCTTTGATTACTCGGCCCTGGCCCAAGGAGGCCCTTGTCTGACCCGGCGGGAATATAAACCGCCTTCTCTTTCCCTTTCCTAACCTCTTCCCCACTTTTCTTCCCGTTGCCTCCTTTCCCTTCTTGGGGCTTCAAAATATGGGAAGGCTTGTCACCATTGTCATGAGGGTCGGTCCCCTTTGATACCGCCCCTTCCTTTCCTTTTTTGATCGCAGGTGTAGGAATCACCCCGCCATTTCCAAAATTCGACTTTCCCTTACTAGTACCCGCCCGAGGATCACGCCTGCTTTTCCGGCTGACCAGCATCCATGGTCCGAAACCTGGGTGCTCCTCTGGCTCCGTCGCCGGCGTGCTAGCTGTCGCCGCCCCACCTAACGTCCATCCGATCACGGGAGCGACCGGAGGAAGCAGTTGTGGACACTCTGTCGACATATGCCCAATTTTGCCGCATTCAAAGCACACCGTTGGAAGGTTTTCATACTCCACCTTCTGCCATTCTTCATCTAGCCATATTCTCGGAACAAGATGTTTCCCAAGATCAACTTCTACCGCCAATCGGGAAAACTTAGCACGTTGTCGGTTTAAAGTATGAAAGTCCAATTTAATCGTGCGACCGATCAAGTTGCCGAGGGTGATCAATACCTCCTTGTGATAGAAATGGACTTTTAGGGCGGGCAATTGAACCCAAACAATCATCTTCTTTGGCAGCGGGTCCGACACCTTGAACTTGGGGGTCCATTGTTGGACCACAAGGTAATGATCAAAGATCACCCACGGTCCGTCAGTCAGCGCGCGAAAGTAATCCTGCTCATTGTCGAGTTTCACCAGGAAGCAATCGAAATCAAGATCCATGACTTCCATGGAGCCAACTGGCCGCCAAAGAGAGCGTAACCGTGAGCAAAGAGTGGGAAAGCCGATCTTGCGGCCAAGAAGCCTTACAACGAGCGCTCTTTGCCATGGTGCACAGATCCGATTTTTGAACTCCGTCGAAATTTTCAGTGCCGGTTCTCCGTTCCGCTCCCCCGGGATGAGATCGTTCTCGCCCACCGGGGTCCAGAGGCTAGTCGCCGGTAGCGAAGCAATAGGGCTTTTAAGCCCCGTAACCACTGAAGCATACGAGTTTAGAGGTGGGGGATCACCTGACTGAGGTATCTGGGCGGCCAGAGAGATCTCCGGGGCTTGAGTCGATTGTGGCTGTGCCTCAGGGGACTCGACAATCATGTCAGTGTCGGAGATGATCGCCTTTTCAAGATTGGAGCAGGGAGAGGGGTCACTAATGGAGATAGCAGTGTCCGGCGGCCGATCAGAAGGGAACAGGGTCGGCGCCGGAAGAGGATTCTCGTTCACAACGGTTGAGAGCATTCTAGAATACTTCTTTATTATATGCCAACGATAATAATTCTAAATACGATAATTCAATAAATCTCTTCCACATATGAAACCCGAAGTTGGGGTTTCTGTCATTATTATAGGATTAATGGAGTCACTATTGGGATGATAATTCGATTACCAGAATTTGGGGGTGAAATCCTACTTGAGTACTCGACTCAATGCTTGAATACAATTCACGTATTGACATGGGGAGTGCATGAGAAATATGCACAAAGAAAAATAGTGGGAATGATTGAGAAATCTGAAATTAGTTTGAAGTATTTTTCTATCTCAATGTCGTCATCTCACGTTCAATTCATATACTGTGTACACGCAGTTACATGTCATCTTATTCTATTCTAGCCAATATTAATTGATTTCACTCTTTCAATTCTATGAATACTCCTCCCTCTAGACCCTAATTTCTATAAATGTGTGTATGGTTTTTTTCAGTATTTATCGTTCTTTATTGTTAGTTCAATCCGTCACATCCCAGCTCCCATAATCTCAGCTTGTTGTGGCGGCCTTCAGAATACCGGCGGCGAGAATATGCATTCACATCCCAAAAGTCCAAACTATATGGATTATTACGCATATGATTATCAATTAGAATTTGGACAATCAAGCCGAGATTCCGGCGTCACTTTTGGTGACATGACTGCTCACCAGATACTATAGAAGTGATCTGATGGTCACGGCGTGGGACTCAACCGGGAAGTTTTGGCCGACTCCGGCGGTTTTGGAAGGCCATACATTTATGGACATACGTTAAAATATGCTGTGTCGTTGTTGTCACTCGTCAGAACTATGCATGGGTCGTTTCGTGAATATAATAAGGTTCATCAAATTAGTCCCATGGTGATCTCCAATCTATTTAGCTAAGATAGCAAGATGTTTTTTTGTCATTGCTAGGTCCAAACGTACATGTCGACTTCTCCATTGCTGCCCAATTTGTTTTGGAAGTCCTCGTAAATTGGAAAAAATCCAAAAGTATCACTGTTTAAAAAAAAATCCAAAAATACAACCCAACCTCAAAAAATCCCAAAAATACCACGTTTTTTCAAAAACCGCCACCCCACCCTGCGGTTTACACGAAAATCGTTTGTCGGGGGCACGGTTTTCTATGCAAACCGTGGGCCTAGGGGGCGGTTATAAAAAAAAAATGTGGACCAAACCGCTGGGTGGGGTGGCGGTTTGACCCAAAACCGCCACCACACCCAGCGGTTTGGTCCAAATTTTTTTTTTCGATCAACTCCTAACTTCGGCCGAAACTTCAAACGAACGTAACTTTGCACTCGGGTATCCGATAGTAGCGATTGTTTTTTCATTTCGCATAACTTTTCAAGATCTACAACTTTTACTAGGATATAATTTTCAAAACAGGAACTATTTGTGGATATACGGGACCTTGGGAATAACATTACCTTTACTTTTCACAAATCTATGTACATTTTGAAATTATGATTATATTAAAAGTTTTAGATCTTGAAAAGTTATGTGGAATAAAAAAAAATTCATGACATTCGGATTTTGGAGCACAAAGTTATGGCCACCCAAAGTTTGACGAAATAAAAAAAAGGCTCGTTCGGGGTGGCAAATGACGTTTTTTCGAGACGAAGGCGGGACCCGTCGGTTTGCGGCTTGCAAGATCTCAAAAAGTTATTCAGATTCAAAAAATGGAGGCCGCAAACTTTTTGAGATCTTGCAAGCCGCATACCACCGGGTCTCGCATTTCGTGAAACTTTGGGCGGCCATAGCTTTGTACTCCGAAATCCGAATGTTATAAAAATTTTTTTTGATTCCGCATAACTTTTCAAAATCTACAACTTTCAATATAATTATAATTTCAAAATGTACATGGATTTGTGAAAAGTAAAGGTAAAGTTATTCTCAAGGTCCCGTATATCCACAAATAGTTCCTGTTTTGAAAATTTTATCCTAGTAAAAGTTGTAGATCTTGAAAAGTTATGCGAAATGAAAAAAAACATCGCTACGATCGGATACCCGAGTGCAAAGTTACGCTCGTTTGAAGTTTCGGCCGAAGTTCGGAGTTGATCGGAAAAAAAAAAAATTGGACCAAACTGCTGGGTGGGGTGGCGGTTTTGGGTCAAACCGCCACCCCACCCAGCGGTTTGGTCCAAATTTTTTTTTTATAACCGTCCCCTAGGCCCGCCGTTTGCATAGAAAACCGCGCCCCCGACAAACGGTTTTCGTGTAAACCGCAGGGTGGGGTGGCGGTTTTTGAAAAAGGTGGTATTTTTGGAATTTTTTGGGATTGGGTGGTATTTTTGGAATTCTTTTTTTAAACCCTCGTAAATTTAGGGATTTCAACTATGGATGTGGTGTGAATGTTAGGTTGTATATCTTCTTTAATCATTAGGTTAGAGGATTTGATTCTCGTCAATACAAATGGAGTTCATCTTGTGACCATGGTTGTCAAATACAGTTGTCGAGTACTATCGGTGTTGGTCACTAAACCAGACGAGAGAAAAAAAAGATCGATTTACATCTTCTGTCAAAATCGAGAAAATTGGTTTGATCTGACTAGATAGATAGTTAGATTCCAACACTTTCTCAAACATCTCCCAAAAATGTACACCAACCATGGGGCTCAACCAAAGTTCATCCATCATGTTCACTCCTTTCAATTGTACACCAATAGGCTACAGAGAAATTTGTGATACATATTAACATTATATATTGTACGATTTAAACTAGATTTTACATAATTGGTCATTGTAAACATTAATAAAATTCACTTTATATTTTTATTTATTTTTATGTTTTTATTTGAGTTACTAATTCCTAAATAAAAATGATTTTATGTGAATTAACTATCTTAATTGCATTTTTCTAACTAATTCATTTGGTGCTGATTATTTTCTAATTTTTCTATTTATTCTATTAAAACCGGCATAACCGATTTTATCACTAATCATACCATACCATTTACTTCACTGACAATTATAAAAAAAAAAAAAATACTTCGCTGGCATAACGATTTGAACCAATTTGACAATTTTGCTTATCACCAATCATTGGGACAAAAGTTTAATTCCCGTTCACCCATGTGATCAATCATTTACCACTTTACATGATTATTCGTGAAAATAGGTTAGTCATTGTTGTTGCTCGTGGAACCCTCGATGATACCAACAAAAAAAAAAAGGTTTATCATTTATCAAGTAATGGAAAATAGCTAAACCCAACAGCTAGGGAAACCTTCAACAAGCCATGTAGCCATATGGAATTCCCCCACTGAAAGACCTATATGCAACTTCTAGCCTAGTCTTCTTTGTTTTCTCCAAAAGCAAAGTAAACTGAAGCATGAAACTAACTAAAATAACAAACTCCTCCCCAAGCAGATTGTCCTGCTGCTCCCTGCTCAATTGCAGATTTATCGAATTGATGCGGAGGCGGTCGCTTAGCTCCTGCAGCCTATCTTCGTCGGGCTGAGCAACCGCAGGATTAAGAGGCGCTGCAGGGGCAACAGGCTCCGGGGAGTCGGGCAACGGTTGATTGACGCTCCCCTGGGAAGAGTCCACGGAATTTCCGCCACGGCTGCTGCTTCCAAAGATGGAAGTCCACCCATGGCTATTAGTATTGTCCGCGGCATTCTCTCTTGCACTCGATCCAACATTTCTTTCAAATCTTTATCTCTATAATTCCGCACTGGCGAAGCATGAGGGGTAGCTGGATCAGAGCGGGAGGGAAGAAGAAAAAAGGAAAGATGAGAGGACTGGATCTGGATAGCGTAAGGCACATGCAACACGTCGGAAAAGAGGCTTCATGGAAGAAGGAAGAGGTTGGGCTGGTTTTGAGCTGCCCTGGACTTCTTATTCGAGTAGGAAGATTTCGGTTTTTCTCGTTCTTTTTCTTCGATAAGAATAGGGATTTGAAATGATACAAATTTCTCTTCATTCTGTTATGCTCAGCGAAGGAACTGCCTAAGCATACTTTTTCGGATCCAAACTTCTTTCTTCTTTCTAAGTCTTCTTCTTGCATAGAAGAACGCAACTTTTGCAAAAACCGGGATTTTAGTAGTAGGCGGCATGTTCACTTTTTAAAATATCCCATATATGTAGGTGGAAACAGGGGAAGGGGTCAGATTTATCCCGATGGGAGTAAGAGTAATAATACAGTTTATAATGCTCCAGCGGCGGGTATAGTAAGCAAAATTATACGAAAAGAAAAAGGGGGGTACGAACTAACTATAACCGATGCGCCAGAGGGACGTCAAGTAATTAATATTATACCTCCAGGACCAGAACTTCTTGTTTCAGAGGGCGAATCCATCAAACTTGATCAACCATTAACGAGCAATCCTAATGTGGGTGGATTTGGTCAGGGGGATGCGGAAATAGTCTTGTAGTTGTCATTCAACTATATTCAATTACTGGAGGAAAATGCTTGGCTGCTTCTTCTATGCACCTTGTAAAGTAAAAGACAGGCAGTTGTGCGTATAACGTTCCTACTGCACCTACAGGACTTCCTTCCATCAAGTTAGCACCGAAGAGACGTATTTCCTGCCTTCAACTCGAGAAGGATACAATGTGTTTATAACTTCATGGTAGAAGCTCCATTCTGCATTCCCTTCAGCAACAGCCTTTTGACCAAATGGGTTGGTCTCAACAAACTTCTGTACATTAACAGCTTCGGATAACTGCTCAAGATATACTCTTAAGTCGCCATCAACACCTGTCATTTCATTTCAATTCAGTTACTGCTTGGCAGCAAGCTAATCAACATCACAAAATGAGAAGTCAATGTGAAACTTACCTAGTGAGTTATCGTTGAGATCCTCATAGCTGTAGGGATCAGGATGGATGCCAGAGTTGGCCTGTCTTGTCATTTGGTAACACGCCACAAAGGAAATAAGTATCAAGGATTATGGAGAAATCGATTATTACGCCAGAATAAGTGACTGGCAGAAAACATGAAGATATCACCATAAAACTTACAGGATTAAGTAATGCTTTATAGGGAGAATCATCCACCAACAATGTGTTTGATTCATTGAAGTACCCTCTCTCCCATGGAAGTTGAGGGTCCTCTTTATTCCAAACCTTTGTTAGTTCTTTGAATACCAGAGGTTTGTGCTTGTTCTCTACTGTCTTGAACTGTGTTGTTGTGCAATGGGATAGATCCTGTGAGAAGAGTTGAAGCAGAGTAAATGACAAAGAAAAGAACACCATACCATCAGTTAAAACGAAAGCAAATGGTCAAGTACTTAAAGCTATTCAGCACCAATTTCAGGTCAACTCTAAATCAAGCCAAGTTAGATTAGGTGTAAAAGTGAGGTCACCCTGAACACATAAGTGAGAATGATATCTTCAGGAACACTCACCCAACAAAATAACAAACTGTTCTTCAAATCTCCAAACAAGTAATCAATCAAGATACTGATGTTCTTTCTGCAGAACATAGATTGATTAAAAGAAATATTACTTTTCAAATAGTGAACAATAACAGAGAAAGAGGAACTAAACAGTTTACATATGAGTTGAGTAAAATACCTTGTTCTTGATGACCATACAGCTACTTCAAATTTCCGAAAGCAAAAATTAAGAAAATCCAGATAATACGGCCTTACAAAAACTGAAACAACAAAAACAAAGCATGCCAATCAGATGAAGGTGAAAATGCCGCAACATACTTCTTCACAAAGGACAAAGGCGATCTTGAACTTACATGATCGAAATCCAACCCTTTTGTCTGGAGTACGGTCCTTTGGAGGACAAGTAACTACATCGACAAGTAGCCCATTCAAATCAAGAATAAGCAGCTTTTTCCTCCTAGAACATTGTGAAGGAAACCTTAAATAAAATGGAAACATGATGGTTTCTTCAGAACCATCGACACTGCTCGTAGTTGCAGTGTCTGCTGTTCCACTGTCCAGTCTGTCCTCATTATCATCAGAGAAACTTACAGCCAAGATACTTTTATTTATATCACAAATAGGCAGGCTACCTGCTTCGACCTTTTCAGTAGCACTAGTACTATCAACATTTTCCCGATTCGTTGGTGTTTCCTTCCTTTCTGCCACAACATGACTTATTTCTAACTCAATGTTAACTGTTTCCATATCTACTGTTTAAAGAATCAACAGCTATTATTTCAGTTCTCAAACATAAACTCTGCCCTTCTTAGCTGATAATGTAACCAAGCTGCCAAACTCTAGTATACTTTCTGCATCAAGAAAAAACAACAAACGAATTGCAATGAATCACACTGTTATTGGAAGGCAGTACATAACAGACCTTTAAGGTTTCCATTGGAATCAACCCACAAAGTGAATTCAAATCAAAGTTACACAGCCACTCTAGTTCTGTTCATGACCAAGTCCAAAATCACATCCTAGGATTGGCTTGGCTTGGGCTAACAGGGAATTTGACGTTCAAGGCACAAGGCAACGATCTCAAGGAAAAAATAAGAAAGAAACAAAGATGGTGGCAAGAAAATCAGCTTCCTGGTCATCCATTTATGAGGCATACCATAAAGGATGAAACTTTACATCGAAAATCAGATCAGCAAGACTTCCAATTTCATATTGCAGACTACATCTACGAGGCAATAGCAGAGGCGAAGCTGGATTTGCTTTAATCCAAAATAACGTGCTGAAAGCGGATTGTCCATATATCAATGCCATAGAGAAGTTAACTAGTTAAGTACACAAGTCGATACAATTCCAAAGCAAAGATAAGGGCTTTTTACCTCCAGCGTGTAAGAAAGGCCCAGGAAAGAGCAACTCCACACAGAAAGCACGAACTCGAAATGGGAAGTTGGAAGGATCTTATTGGGGGTAGTTTGGGATCGCACCTGCCTGCCCTAAAGAGGAAGGAATAAATCTTGCTTTGTTGGGGGGGAATAGGGTGACGACGGCTTTCCGTGCGGCGGATGTTTGCTCGTTCCTTTTCCTTGACTGGTTACAATTTGGGACATATGTGTGTGTCGCTTGAGGTTTCCAAGCCCCGACCTTTGTGATTCCCTCCACTTCCCCAAATCTGGAACTGTAACGACGCACGCACCCGCGATTCCGGAAGTAGAATAGAATGAATCCGACACTGTAATAAGAATCCTCTGATTTGTCCTTCTTAACTGCCTGATGCCGCAATGCGGGCATGCCTCTGTAAATCAGGTAACCCCTTATAAAAAGAGTCAACAAGGGAGACGGCGCCGTTTCAGTCGAATATAAGGCCCAAAACCTCGAGGTTTCTTGAGAAACAAACGTGAAACCGGAAAATGAGATTTCCGAACCCTTTTTCTGCCCAGTTCCAGTTCCAGTTCCTGGCGCAAACGAGCAGGAGACGAACTCCATTTTGCTCCAATGGCGGATCGAAGTCGAGCTTGGAGATGTTATTGGTATGGAAGCAGTTCTTTTCCACTTGCAGAGAAGAGCCAGAGGAGCTCAAGGACTTCAGCGACTATCTTGATTCACTCACAAATTACGAGAAATCGGGGGTTCCCAAGGACGCCGGTACGGATTCCGACGATGGGCTCGACCTGGGGAGAATGCGCCGGCTCATGGCCCGCCTTGGCGATCCTCAATCCAAGTTCAAGGTTGGAACTTTTTCTCCTTTCTGGGCCACTCGCTCGGTTTAGCTACCTCTAGAAATGCAGAAAACATCAGAACGGAATTTGACGAATGTCTTTAAATAATAGGTCGTTCACATTGCTGGAACTAAAGGGAAAGGCTCAACAGCAGCTTTTGTTTCCAACATTCTACGAGCGCAAGGCTATTCCGTTGGTTGTTATACTAGGTAAGGTGCAATTTCTGCTCGACAACTGATTTTTTGTTCGTCCCATGTCGGATTCTGAATTGCCTTTTTTCTTATTTGTGATGTTGGTTAATGATTCGCAGTCCACACATTATGACTATAAGGGAAAGGATGACAGTTGGGAAATCTGGTGATCCAGTGGCATCAGAATCTTTGAATCGCCTCTTCCATAAGATAAAAGGGCAGCTTGACGAAGCTATTCAGCTAGAAAATGGACGGCTGACTCATTTTGAGGTCGTGAAATCCCACTAAATTGTTCGTTGTTCTGTCTTCCTGCTCGAATTTCTGACTGATTCGGGTGATTAATTGATTGTCAGATTCTCACAGCAACTGCATTTGCGTTGTTTGCTGAGGAGAAATCAGATATTGCTGTGATTGAGGTTTGTTCAATTTCATATTTTCTTGTGTGGCAATGGTTAGACGATGGTAGTGCAAGAAGTTTGATTTCGGTATTGAAATGTCACAGGCTGGTCTAGGAGGTGCGCGAGATGCAACGAACATCCTGTCTAGCTCTGAGCTTGCAGCATCAGTTATTACTACAATTGGTGAGGAGCATTTGGATGCACTGGGAGGTTCTCTGGAGAGCATTGCAATGGCTAAGGCAGGAATCATTAAACTCGGTGTCCCAGTTAGGTGAATTCTCCACTCCTTGTGTTAAAATGATTCTCAAATGGACTTTATGCATGAGGATTTTCAATTGTGGTCTTCTCTTTCTGAGTGTTTGATTTTCTCAGACAGTCCTTGGTGGGCCGTTTGTACCACATATAGAGCAGATTCTTCGTGATAGAGCATCACTGATGTACTCACCAGTGGTATCAGCATCTGATGCTGGAACCAGGTCAAGCATTAAAGGCCTCAGAATGTTTGACTGTAGACCCTACCAAGTCAACGATGTCGTGATACAAGCTCAGGGAGATATTCTGCTAGTATGCTCTTCTGCTGTAGTTTCTTTAAGTGAATACTTGACACCTTCAAAGATTGACTTCCACTGTGTCGGTTAGTTATCTTGGTAAGCTTTTTACTTTTTGATCCATGCAGTCTCTAGAGTTATCAGATATCAACTTGCAAATGCTCGGAAAGCACCAGCTGCAAAATGCTGTGACTGCTGCATGTACCATACTGTGCCTCCGTAATCAAGGTTGTTACTTTCAGATGATTTGAGGGATTAACTTCATGATTATGACTGGAATTATTGTTATTCAAGTTGTGGTAAAATTAACTCTGCTTCTGAATGCTGGTTACTGTAGATTCTGTTAATTTCATCCACTTATCGATGTCTTTGATGTACATTTTAGGGTGGCAGGTTTCAGATAAATCAATTATGTCTGGTCTGGAGAATACACGCTTACTTGGAAGAAGTCAGTTTCTATCATCCAAGGAAGCTGGTGCATTAGGGCTACAAGGGGCAACCATACTTGTTGATGGAGGTCAGTCCTTTCAGCTGTTTTTTTATATTCGACATAAAGCTTCTCTTTCAAGCCTGAAACCGCAGCACTTTGGTTGAATGCTTGAAAGCCCATTCTGATGTTTGTGCATATGCTCCAGTGGACTCATCAATGATTCAAGCAGCATTATCAATAACTCTGCAAATGCTTTTTTATGCCAGCTCACACCAAGGAATCAGCCAAGTCTTTGATGGAGACAATACAGATGGCATTTCCTGATGCTGAATTGGCCTTCGTTGTTGCAATGGCCAGAGACAAAAACCATGTAGCATTTGCCAAAGAAATTCTCTCAGGTACATTTTAACCAAAGAGAAGTCACATTGTCCATCTACTATGATTCTTCTTCAGCTTCAAGTGCTCTATAAGACTATAACTGAGGATTTGCTCTCCTGTTGCACTTTCCTCTCTCCCAGCGAGAAGATTGGCTGCTGTATTTTTAACAGAAGCTGAGATCGCCGGAGGAACATCTCGTACAACATCAGCTGAGTGGCTGAGAGACCAATGGCTTCAAGCTTGTAAGGAAGTAGGCACAAAATCAGTCCAGGAAATAGTGCCTGAAGAGCACCACCAAACGTGCAGCTCTGCCATGAGAGAGTCGATGGAAAGCTCAACTCATTTGGCGGCAGAGAAATCAGTGGCAGTTGCAGTGCAAGCTGCAGGGGCGATTCTCAAACGAAGAACAAGTGCAGGGAAGAAGAGGTCCAGTGTCGTAGTGATCACGGGGTCTCTGCATGCTGTTTCATCTGTACTGCGTTCTGCTCAGTAACCATTGCTTCAATGCTGGTGCCCTTGGTACGTTTCTCATGGAAAGCCGCCTTGCTTTGAAGCACAAGACCACTAGTTTTAGTTGAATGATCTTATTGTTTGGATCTGCCATGTCCAATACCAAAAACACTGAAGGTTACTTGCCTACGAAGGAGGAAACCCCATCAGTTGATGAGGATATATATGAACACAACCCATTTCAACATCACCATAATGGTTCATTTCCACAAGAGGCACAGATTTGTTAAATGAAAATTGTGGCAAATGAAGATTGATGCTCTCAAAACACCATATAAGAACTTATTAAACTTTGCAACCCACTTTTAAACTGGGAAAATAAATTACAGAGTTTGATATCTTTGGTACACAGCCAATAACAGGACATCATGGGCCTGAGCCTATACAGCCACATATGGCCAAGTTTCATAGTTATTCTTCAGCAAGCGAAGGCTCGGCTTCAGAAAAGTAATCATGCCTGAAAATATGAAATGGCCGAGATCAAATGATTGAAGGATAGGAGCCAGTTCTTGATCAGTACTACCGAGCGTATTACAACAGAAGTTAAAGTATGAAAAAAGGAATGCAGCATTTTAGCCAACTTTTCCATCAGAAGGCAGGCTGAGCAATAACATTACCGTAATTTACGCGACAGCTGATATATGCCTGTTCCAGCCATTGCCACATTTACGCTAAACAGATTCCAGTTTTTCTGAAAATACAGAAGAATTGTGAGATGATGAAGAAAGTACCAACTACTAAGCCGGTGGTTTTACAGACCAAGTATAGCTAAAACAAGTCAATAACAAAACTAACACTCTATCGGCCAAAACAAAATCATGTTAATGGTGTTTGGTTTAGAATCATGTCTTTGCTTTCCTGGGAAGCAATGAAGCATACTGAAAACTTCCGCTGCTTAAGCTTACTTTCAACGCAAATCAACCCAATGCAGACGAAGTTATAATCAGCTGGCAATACATAAAAGAAGATAAACAAATCACAGTACTGAAACAAACAAACAAACAAACAAACAAATAGACCACACATAACAGAACTTAGGAAGCTGTATTTAGCACCAAGTCTTCTTGGAGATGCCATGGATAAACTCACCGGAGTTATAACTGTGCTGTAGCGAGACCATATGATTCCAGTACATGTTACAGCTGGAAAGATAAGCAGAACACAAGTGAGAGCAAGCAAAGCCAACCAGTTTCATGTCAGTTTCCAATGAATGACAGTAATCCTATTAGAGAAAGAAGTATAGCACAGTGATGCGCAGAGTTGTGACGACATGCTATGATCTAAGAGGCAAAGCAAGAAGTCATGCATAGAACATATATATTTTCGAGAAGGAAATCGTCAAAGACAAGTATACCTATCTGCTGAGGATACGAAAGCTTCTCAGGAGGTTTAACGAAGTCGGCAATATTTGCAACGGTGATCCCCCATTTGAACGTTGGAGCCCAAAAGTGGACTGCAAAGACCCCAAACAAAGATAAGTTACTGCAAAAGGTCAGAAGTGTGTCATAAACTAGTTGATCCCAATAACTCGGATTACACGCCCCCTCAAACGAAAGCCAATTCATGGGATTGAAGTTTGCACAGACCCGCCATACCATGTGCTTGAAAGACAACGGTTAATATTGGGGGTCGTGAGGACTTGAACACGTGACCTCAAGGACATGTCATAAACCAGTTAACCCCAATAACTCTAGTTGTTAGGAAAAGGTTATGTTGGATATACAGACCCATGTATGTACTTAACCACTCCCTTATAAATTGCATAATTGAATGTCCCTTAGTATTTAACCATCGACGCAATACTGACATACACAGATGAGATAATTCCCCTTTTTTCCCTACGGACCAATGAATCTCCAGGATTAACCAGAGTGAGTCAAAAGGGATTTTTCATCACTAAGGCATAGTGAAGACTGAAGAGACACCTTTTCAACTACCAACTACCCAGAAAGAGGTCCAGCCAGCAGTGGCCGAACCCACCTGGATTACACAATTCCTAAGCTGATTTCATCCGTTGACATACTTAGATAAGAAACTTGAAATCTAATTCTACCTGATCCAGTTCAGGGATAAAGGATGGGATGATAAAACACATGAGGGCAACAGGGAAAGGCGAAACTTACTTGTTTTGGGTCCAGCAGGGTGATTCCAGAGAGCTTGTAGCTTGGAGGCCCCCGTCATCGTGTAAGGGTAAATCAAAGTCCTCGCCTTGACGCACCACAGTGGATTCCCTTTGACTCCCGCCTCCCTCTTTAGTCTTTTCTCGGTCGTTATTTCTCAATTGGGAGGGCCCTTTTCTCCGGCAGAACAAATAGGGAATGAAGGAACGCGGAAGGTAGCTCAATTCAGCAGAGGCAACTGACGACGACGGGAGGGAGAATTGGAGATGAGGGAGAATTTTGAACTGTGAGGTCGAAGAAACAGAAGGGAAGATGAAGAAGACGACGGAGACTAGAATAGGTGAGGGACGATGGATTGGGTTTGGGTGGTTGTTGGGACATCTTGTGGGCCGGGAAGATGGTGCGGGTAAAAATGTGCGGATATTGGACTGGAAACTGATAGGCCGAGGATTTCGATTTATTAGATTTCTAACAAGTGATTTGACTTTTGATATGGATCCAGCTACAAATAATTTAAATTAAAGTGGGTGAGTGATTGACATGAGTGGATCAACGATTACAAAAATAAATTACCTGCACTTATTTGAGTAGGTTACAGTCATCTAGATAACATGCATGTCACTTTCACATGACAAAGAGGTGTTTTTTATTTATACTTTATACGATCGAACAAAAAAAAAAGGGTAGATAATGAGTTGCAATTGTATCAACTTGTATGTTAAATAAATGAGGAGTCAAATTAATATCAAAATTTACCCAACCCACCTATTACCCACTCCTGAATTGAATCATAGTTAGCGAAAGAGTAATTAGATGATAAAGTAGATAGTTTTTTTTAGTGTTGTGGCATATGATCCACGATTGAACCTCTCCCAACAATTCGAGTTATTAGGATCAACTGGTTTTTGACATGGTATCAGAGCCTTCTGTGACCGAGAAGTCTTGTTTTCGATTCCCGGTGACCCCCATTTGTTAAGCACATGGTATTCTTGTCTTCAGACCTGTGCAAACTTCAAGCCCTTGTGAGTGGCTTTCGTTTGAGGGTGCGTGTTAGTGTTGTGGTATATGATTCACGATTGAACCTCTCCCAACAACTCAAGTTATTGGGAGCAACTGGTTCTTGACAGTTTTAACTTGTAGTATATGGAGTTGGTTCTTAACATTTGTTGACAGTATACTCTTTGCTGCACAAATTCATTTTACTAAAATAAATTGACAGAATAACATAATACGTAGCAAATGAGTTGGATAAATTGCTCATTTCGCTTCATCCATTGTTGTAGCTAGTTAGCTACTAGCTAGGTTTTTAGTAAAGTTGTATATAAGCAATGTTATTGTAATCATACATGTTAGTAAAGTTGTACTCATCTAATAAAAGTTTTTGTCGGGTGTTAATATTGTTAACACTTCATTTTACTTGTGAAAATAGAACATGTTAATATCATACCTCAAATATTAACTTACTAGTAATGGACATTTTGTTCGTTCATTCCCACTCATTTTAGTGGTATATAAAAATGATACATGTCAATATTGAGCAAGATTATATGTATTAAAAACACCATTATTGAGAATGGGCTGGCTCGATCATTTGGACAAGTGAATTTTAAAACTGATCACAATTCGGCACGGGGAACTTAAATAGCCTCCAAAAACAATTAACCTGAAAAAATCACTTCGAACTGGTAAAACGGTTATGACCCGTTTTTGAGTTGTGACCTCTCATAATGACGGATTGTTTATTGGGTAAGAGCTTTTCTGGTTGAAAAAGAACAAAAGACATTCCAACTGCATCGAGTTCTTGTTGTATGTAGTATTATAAAGTCATGTATAAATTCTTTTGGAATTTAGTATACAAATTTCAGTCCCTATTTTCTTTTGTTAGCAATTCTTTTGCTGAAATACTTGGTAAAAATCTGAGTCTCTAGAAAAATGTAAGAATAATGTTTTATAGTTTATTATATCATTATGTAAGAAAGTTTTACTTATAACATTATTATTTATGAGGTATCTATTTTGTGAATGAATTTTAAATATTTTAATACCGGTTAATCAATAAAGTGTGAAACATTCACTATATAAGTTCAGTCTAGCATGATTCTCGAAAAATATTGATTATTTTTTTTTTATAATTTAATAGTGGTTAAACAAATAAAATGTAAATCATCAACCTGAATTTCAAAAAGTGAAGGTGCAACTTTGCCTAACCCTTGTCATCGAACTCAAAGGGCCTTCCAAACGAAGCATTTGTTCGAGTTAACCCAATGCCCAACATCACCTTAATGCCTCCACTAGGATTTAATTCCAAACGCTGGTCGCTATTTTTAATAAGGCAAATTTATGCAGGTTGCCCGATGTGGTTCCATCCAAGGCAAGAATAAACTAACATATCATGAAGCCACCACCGTCCACCAGTGGCTGCCCACTTCTTTGATGGAAACCCAGCCATCAACAACAAATAAATACTGATCATCAGTTCTGGTTGCAGTACATCAAACGCCTGGACCACATATACAACTATACAAGTTTCTTAATCTGCGAAAAAAAGGGGATCAAATCAAGCATGCGCGGCGCGATTAGTATATCTCCCTAAAAGGAAGTTCCCCGCCAGGCCCAAGTTGGGGACTATTGGAGCATGTGCGCAGGCAGAACAGAATCATGGGTTTGAAAATGGTGTTGATCGATTCTGTGTTTTCTCAATTGCATGCAATGGTTAGGGATGACAAAATAACCAATCACATATTCAATCGAATTCGATACAAATTTGTGTGGAAAATCCAACCTGTATTTTGGTATTGTAGGTTAGCAATAGCAACAACGAACTAAACCAAATATTTGTTATAATTATGTTCTAAACTCATTCACTTTATTCATCCATATCGCTAAAACATTGTAATTATCTGCTAATCTTTAAAACTATGGTTCGGGTATGGTATAAATGAAAGGGAAATACTTGGCTGCAACCTAGGTAGCAGCCAACTCCTGCTACCCCTCCACGTGTTATCTCCTCATTGGTCATTTTCTTTTGTTTTCTTTCACCGTCAAAAAGCTTTAGAAATTAGAACCCATTTAATATTCTTATTAAAGGGTAATGCTATTGATCCATGATGATTCATTTACTTAATTATGAATAATTTATTTTTACATCCTATGTAAAGTAGTTTGTAAGCAAATGTGGTTCTTCACTGTAAAAAAAATGTGGTTCTTCTATGTCGTGATAGATATGCAGTTTGAAGAAACAACATTATTATCTACGTATGGATGGGGACCAAATGTGTGGGAATTGGGATAGATTTGTTAGAGAACATTCAGGTTTGTCCCGATGAACTGCTCCGTTTACTTATCCATTATTTCATAAATCAATGGGTGCCAATAATTCAAATTATTAGAAAAAGTTAATTATAGATCTTATATCACTTTCTAACATGTCCCCTCAAACAAAAGTCGGGAGAATGTTAATTACAGATCTTATACCATTATCTAACACGGTGACACCAACGAAAGCTAACTCATGAGCTAAGTTTACATAGACTCACCATATATTGTACTTTAATCAAGGGTTAATGTTGGAGGTCATGAAAATTCGAACACACAACCACTTGGCCAAACTTACTCTGATATCATATCATAAACCAGTTGATCTCACTAACTCGAATTATTAAAAAAAATTAATTATAAATATTATATCACTATCTAACACACTAATTTGTCAAAATTTTGTTTCTTCATTGGGTGGACGTGGGTGATTATGTTCAGCGCTGCAGGACTCTTTCATCTTACTAGCTACTAGCATTAACCTTTAAAAATGAAAATTACACGAAAATTCAAATGGGTTCTCAAGCTTTTGGACTGTAAATTTTTAAAAAAAAAATGCGCCAATGAGGAGATAGCGTGTGGACGGATAGCAGGGGCGGGCTACTCCCTAGGTTGCCGCTAAGTATTACCCTAAGTGAAAACCAGCTGCCTCCCCAGCTTAACCCGTTACCATCCTAGAAATGATTAATTAGTGTTGTATTGCTGCTCACATTTGGCACAAATTCAATTACTTTGTGTGTGTTCTCCCTGTGTTTGTTGGGTACTCAGTTGAATTATGATGAGATTGTATGGTATATTAGCATTATGACGTCCTTGCATGATCGAACGGATTGTGAAATGCGCAATCCAACGGTCAAATAACACCTTAGGAATTGCATTCATTAATATTGTAAGTCATGAATTTTTCATGATATTCATTGGTGAAGGTCTCTTGTGAAAAGGGGGAATAACACACACACATGTACATTAGTGCTCAGATTGTGAATGTCTGGTACAAGATCTGTAAAAGTACCAAACCTAAAGCGTGGTCCTCTTGGAAGGCTGTTTAATTTCCTTAGAGTTCGGGTCACAGGCTCCATAGAGAAGAATAAACTAGTACAATGGAAGTGCCTCAAAGTATCATCGAGGTGTGTTTATTATACTGCCTAATTAGATTCCTACAGGCAATTAATTTGATTCCGTCAACTGGAGAAGTAACTTATCTCATTTTTATTAAAAAGAAAAATAGTAGCATTCATTGAACTTCCAATAATTTATTTGTTTTATGTTATTATATTTAACTATCGATGGGGTTGAATTTGATACTCGTGTAGTCAAGTAGTATTTAAAAAACTATAAAACAGAAGTCGCTGAGGTTCAAAGAAACAAGAGAGAACTGAAGTAAGAGAAGTATACTCTAATTCACAAGATAGGGAAAACGGTTAGTCGTCTTTGCCTTTTTGATGATCTAGCTAGTTTCGTTTCGTTGAATGTAACTGAGTTTGGCTCAGTTTCAGACACTGGCCTAAAGCACCCCACGACTTGTCTTCTTCAAACAAGAAATTCCTTTGTACTTCCAGCCTTCAAGTGACCCTGCAAAAAATAGCACTACTAATAAACGAAAAACAATACCGGAGATCGTACCGGGAAAGTCAGCGGTAGGGTATTTTATGGTATAATCGTGGTTTAACCGTTATACCGGTAAATACCGCCTATCGGTTTAGCCTCCAATACTGGTATTTTGTGGTTTAACCGCCGGTACGGTACGGTTTCATGGACACCGGATAACACATGATTATTTGATTACCGATTACCCTTCTTGTTTTGTAACGTTGGATACCGATTAATTAGGTTGAATGTATGGAAGACATTTCAATCGGTGCAATGGGTCGGTCAAATTTCAGCAAACCTCTCGTCTTAAGAAATTGAAGTTAATCTCTTGTCTTAACTTAGCAAAACTATACAAGAATTTAATTGTTCTAAAGTAAACAATTAGTTACGCTAAACATGAAACAAATACAACAAATACCACATCGCCTTAGGCGGAGCCAACCACGTCCTTTGCCCTTGTCCCAGGATAGGGGTAAAATTTGAAGCTCGGAAAAAAATACCACTCTTACACGTAACATAAGAATATTTTGCCACTATATCACAACTCATTATTTGTTTATGAATTGACAAAAAAGACTAATTGATTTATTGGTTCCATACATGACATTATTATTCGACAACTATTTGTTCATGATGAATTATCCCGAGTAATGGTAGAGACATAAGTGTATGTTATTTCCTTAAGTTGATTTGCTTCTAAAGGTAGTTTTTATTCTACCAGTTGCAACTATAAGTTTAGGAAAAAAAAAACATTTTTTTAGCTTGAGCTATATTAAAAACAAGCTTCGAAGTCGAATTGGCAATCGATTTGCTAATGATTGTTTAGTGGGATACATTGAAAGAGACTTTCTTTAGAGTGTAGACGATGGATATATTTTGCATTTATTTTCGAATATGAAAACTCATTGTGATAGATTATGCAAATAATAATTGTATAGTCAGTTATTTCTTTATTTATGAATGGATTATCTAAATATTATTAATTATCAATTATTAATTATTTATATGTTCATATTATGAAAAGAGGACAGAGGTAGTTTCAAATCCTGCCTCCGCCATGCCCTTTTTAACAATATAATTGTTGCATTTTTTTTGCATGAAAACGATGGATTGGATCCTTCCGAATATATTACAAAACATTGTCCTTATATAATTGTGCATTAGTTAATGAATCTTATTAAAACGTGAAGAATTAAGAATATAATGATTCCAAGGCGACTCGTAATTTGTGGATAAGATAGTCTGTTGTAAATTTATCATTTCAATTGATATAGTTACACATTTCACACAAAAGAGATTATCGAAACCACTAAGTATGAATGATCAACATGTTGAACCAACTGAAGTCTGAAACATCTCATCGTCGAGTTTATATGTAGAACTATATAAATGTCTGTGTAAACCTTACTTCCTGAACAAACTCTAGACCAAATGAAATTCTCATAAATTTAGCTTTCATGATGATTCAACTTTTAAGATTAGCCTTAAAAAGATTAATTGTAAAATATCTTTCATTATAATATATCACTTACCACTAATCAAACTCAAAATGATAAACAAAATTATCAATGTCAGCCCAAAAAATATAAAACAAAGTCATCAAGACCAACGACGACTGGTCCTCATAATGGATCTTTACTAAATACTAGGCATCCTTTGTTTGAAAATGCTTGTAATAATCAAATAATAAACCAAAAATTAAATCATATAATTAATCGTTTGATTCCCTTGGGACCTTCTCCTTCAAGCCATCAACCCAGAGCGAGTCACCGAGTCAAATATATTCGCCTGAAGCCGTTTCTTTTTTCGTCTCTAAAACAAGTAGCTTTCCAGCAGCATAGCAACGTCTTCTTTCCTTCCCTTCCTCGCCAATTTCACACGATACTCTCGCAGACTGTTTATTATATAGTCAGAGAAGGAAAGGTCCGCATTTCTCAGAAACTCTCACCCGCTACCGCCATTTCCCCTCTGCCGCCGCCGCCCCCCCCCCCCCCCCAAAACCTTCACCAATTGCCAAATTCTTCAACTTTATGTCGCCGTGAGAAATGGGGAACTTGTGCACTTGCTTCGCCCCCAAGCCGGCGGTGAAAAGGGGACGATCGGTTAAGCGTCTCCCGGCCAATTCTTCATCCCAAACCGCTTCCAACCGGTGGACGAGGGTCCGATCCGCTAGAAAAGACAGCAATGATTCCTTAATTCAGGAGCAGGCTCTGGCGGCAGCTCTTATGTTCAGGCAGCAGAACGGTGCCGGGGCAACGACGACGACGGCGGCGTTTGACCGTTCTGTTTCGCACAGGTACCCGAATGGTAATGCCGGGTCGAAGAAGAACCCGTTGCCCCGAAGCGCCAGCTCGAGAGCTCGGTCACTTACGGACCCTTTGTTGCAGCCGCACCAATTGGTTAACCAGGTAATTTAATTTACTTCTTTCTGGGAGGAATTTCTGTGTTCGGAGGAAGGTGGCAGAAGCCATCGGCAGTTGTCTCTTAAGGCTGTTGTTTTGTCGCCTTTCGCTTCGTTGACCATGTTATTGCTCAGAGTTCGGTGTGCTGGACCACGGTTGGATGTGGGTTTTATGAAGCTCTGTATGATGTGTTTAATCGGGGGATGCGTATTGAATTCTATACTGCCCTGTTTCTTCGGTTTGTGGGGTTCAGCTGAACTTGCTATTGAATGTGAAAGAGCTTGGGACTAGAATTGATGAATTAAATGAACTGGAGGTGTTTTGCTGTTCATTGCCCTCTGCTAAGTAGTTAATGGATGAACATGGCTACTCTGGTCATCTGTATTGTTGTCAATTACTGATAAATTGATGATTGAACTTGTTTTACTTTTTGGGGTGAGGTGCATAAGTTCTAAGGGCATATAGTACAAGGACTAGAATTGTTGGTATTTGCCTACCTTCTCTTAGCTTCTGCAGCTGTTTATTACAGATCAAGATCTCATAAAAGTTTGCTCCTTTTTTCACCTGTGACAGAATTCAGATAGCTACCATGATTCTGGAAAAAGTTATTGATCCATCATATTTCGTTATATTTCTGTGGCATCAATCAATGTACAACTGCAACAGTCTTTAGTACGCCTTGCATTCAACTAGAAAGTTAGATAAGCCTCACAAGTCTTGTGAGGGAAGGGCAACCAAGAAACTCAGTTTACAGCTCAATACCTGATCACCATGACTTTATTTATTTTGTCCCCGCGGAAACTAATTTTTGTAGCTCATTAAATTTTCATGGGCAGCTGGTGTTTAGTGCTATAGAGTATGTCAGCATCATTCAATTTTCATACTTCGCGCACCTGCTGAAATGTTGAATTTTTTTTTGAACAGGATATTAAGCTTGATGATCTTGAGACAAAACATTTTGTCCTTGTACATGGCGGGGGTTTTGGTGCTTGGTGTTGGTACAAAACCATAGCTCTTCTGGAAGAGAGTGGTTTCACAGTTACAGCTGTAGACTTGACTGGTTCTGGGGTTCATTCTTTTGATACTAATGGCATCGCCAGTCTCTCTCAGTATGTGAAGCCACTTACTGATTTTCTTGAAAAGCTTGCTGATGAGGAGAAGGTTCGTGCTTCTTCTTTCTTTCTTTCTTTCTTTCTTTCTCACTGGTTATGCATCTTCTCCTGCTACTGTCTTCTTATTATGTCTTGAGCTGTCAAATATATGGTCTTCACCTGTATTAAGCCAACTGCTGTTATATATTTTTCTCTCAATTCAAATGAACTGTCTGAGTCAATGTGGTTATCCATTAAAATTGTTTTCCTGGTTTAATATCTTGATATCTTCATTTATTTTACTTGATACATCTTTGACCTGAGTAAGATGATAGCCTAGGTATAATGCTATTCTTTCTGAACTATGCAGGTGATCTTGGTAGGGCACGATTTTGGCGGTGCTTGCATCTCGTATGCAATGGAGTTGTTTCCACACAAAATTTCAAAGGCTATTTTCCTAGCTGCAGCTATGTTAGTTGATGGACAAAGTATGCTTGACAACATCTCCAAGCAGGTAATCACTGAGTTATACATTGTTGAGTTTAGAATAGGGGGTGATGAACTTGTTTGAACATTTGTAACTTGAACAGAAAGAAAAAGAATAGCAGTTATAGTATGCCATGTTTGAACTTTCAAGACCCTTCTTTGCTATGTTTTATGCAATGCCATCTAGGAAACTCTGCTTCTAGAGGCATCAAGCTATGTCTATGCAAGTTCAAGTTCAGCTATGCTATTTAGGCTTATCCTGCTCTGTGACTAATAAAAGGGAGCTTTTGCAGTCAGGTGGAAATGATCTGATGCAAAAAGCACAGATATTTGTATATGCAAATGGGAATGATCATCCTCCTTCTGCCATTGATCTTGACAAGTCGTTGCTTCGGGACTTGTTATTCAACCAAAGTCCTGCCAAGGTACATCAAACCCTTCGAAACAACTGAAGTTAGTTATTATACCATTCTTTCTTTTTTGTTACTATGCTATTGTTTTGAGACACTATCGTTTTCACCTACTATTCAGGACATAGCATTAGCCTCCGTGTCAATGAGGCTGATCCCATTTGCTCCAGTTCTGGAGAAACTCCGTCTCTCCGATGCTAAGCATGGAACTGTGCGACGATTCTATATTGAAGCTCCAGAAGACAATGCCATACCTATCACCTTACAACAAACCATGATCAGCTCGAGTCCGCTGGAGAAGGTGTTCCGGTTGAAAGGTGCGGATCATTCACCTTTCTTCTCAAAGCCTCAAGCTTTGCACAAGATATTGGTAGAGATTTCGAAGATGAATAAAGCTTGAAAGAAATTAGAGAAAAGTGGTGTCCATGGGCATCGTTACTCATGTGCATATCATTATGTATAGTTGTTGATGGTGCCCCCATGTTTCTTCTCCCACCCATACGCCTCCCTTTCTATTCTTTTTTCCCCTCTCCAGTTCCTTTGGTTGTTTTCTTCATTTGTTATTGTTCACGGGACTTTGCAGTTACAAAAGGGTTTCCCTTCTTACTATGCCCAAGGGGATGATTTTGTTCATGCAAAGCCCTTATAATAGTTTGGGGGGATAAAAGGAGAATAGTTTATAGGTAAAGACATGAACATTATTCAAAGTGTATGGGATAGATTACCTGGATATCTTTTTTCCTACCGTCCTATGCGATTATTTCGGTTAAAACCATCATAACCGAATTAGTTGTTGAACATGGACTATATCAGTTGGATATCTCCAATACAACCTTTGCTTGGCGACCTAACTGAGGAATTTTAAACACAAGTTACACAAGATTTCCATATCGAAGCCAATACATATGACTTAGCTTGCATGTTAAGAAAGTCCCTTTACATGCTTAAGTAGACTAGTCTCTACTGGATAGTGGTTTGCTAAGTTAGCTAGCTCAATCCTATTGAATGCCTTCTCAAACTCCACCTCTGATTACACAAATGTTTATCGCATGGGTACGATGTAGGATAGTAATCTTATTAGTTTATGCGGATAACATCATATTGGCTAGGTCAGATTATGGATTTGGAAGTAGTGAAATTTACTTGAAGTGAGATTTCAGGATGGTCTTGGCAAGACCCTTGGGTGCATTGCAATGTTTCCTAGGATCACAAGTATCTAGAAACGATAGTGGGATTTGAGTGACTCAAAAGAAATGTTGTGTCAAATTGTTGAATGACACTAGATATATAGAAGTAAAGAGTTGCAACAAAGTCATAATAATAACAATGTATTAGCCTCTGGCGAACAAAGACTTGGCCTAATGGTAATACTATTGACCTAGAATCTGGAGGTCTCAGTTTCGAATCACTTAAGTAATACTTCAATCACAAAAAAGTAAATTTATGTCACCCTTATATAAAATTTTTAAAAAAATGTACTACCCTCTGTCTTTCTTGCCCTAGAAATCCTAACTACTAGTAGATTCAGATGTTTGCATCCCTTGTTGGGAAGTATTTCAGCAACTTACAAAATATTGTTCCCAAACAATGCTCATATGTGTAAAAGCATACAATGGCTAGAGACAGTAGCTCCAAAAGCCTGTCTCTAGAAGCAATATTCGAGCTTGAGTTTTGGGAAGAGAGATATTCATTATAGATAAGTAATAGATGACGAACGCCGAAGAAAGAAGCATTAGAAATATATGAATATAAAATAGAACAAATAATATAATATGTTAGACTACAAATATTTTAATATATTTTAATTTAATTATCATATAAAAATATGAAGTTACCCATAACGAATTATCAATTGTACTTCAACTTTAAAGGTCAGCCAACCATTCAATCTCTTTGACTTGTTCAAATCTTAATTAGAATGGAGACTTAATTGGCTGGCTATTTGTTGCCAATGCTCAATTAGTGCAAATTGCTTTGTATAAACTAGTAAATCCAAGAAGGCTAGCTTTTTGCCCTTTCCTCATCTTTTCTCCCATTCTTGGGGGAATACTGGAAACCCAACAAAAGGAAAAAAGGTACATGTGCTAACAATTGTTTAAAACAGTCATTTGTTTATATCAATAATCAACGATAAAAACATTTGAAATCCTATGTTCTTTGAAATTAATTTTATGTGTTTTTCACATTTTTTACATATAAAACTGTGTTCCTCTATAGTTGATTGCATCTCATAATAATATTTCTTTTTTCCTGTGAACACATGAACGTCATTTCTCGTGGCTCTTGTTTTCCAAAAGGAGCTCATAATTTATTGTTGCAAGAAATTGTGCTTTAATATTTTTGCTTGACCGTTAATCAAAATTTGAGAGAGATATCTATGTTTTTAGAGAATATATAATTCAACTTTATTGGAATGCAAAGGGAAAGTATATATGGGAAATATAAAGGATAAGAAAAGAAATATATTGATGTTTTTATAAAAAACATACATATGCGGAGACAAGGTTAACCCGTGAATTGTAACCTAGCAACACACATTAAATTTCACTTTGGTGGGATCATAACATTGAAATTCAAGTATATTCTACATCATGATGTAATTTAGAAAAAACATTTATTATGTTAATCCGGGGGGTGATCATTGCTAAACCACATATAAGAAAGCTACTAGGGTTGAACTTGATAATTGATTACACAAGCGATTACGTTAATTATGTCAAGCATGCAGTTTACATATATAATCACAATATGACTAATTTCCATAACACAAAATTGATCAGAAGGGAAAACATGGGCCGTGGAGTGAGCTATGGCGGCGGTCGGAGTTCTTTGGGATACTTGTTTGGTTCCGAGTCCGAGGGAGCTGGCCGGAGCAACAACTCTTCCTCTATCTCCAATAGTTCCCCACCACCTACTGCCAAAAAGGAGGAAACTACAAGAAGCCCAATGGCTCGTCGGAAAGAAAACAGTAGTAGCCCAATCAAGTGGGACGTCCAAGAAGCACCTTCGGCCCAACCTGGTCCAAAGTCTGAAGAAGCACCACCACCTACTACCAAAAAGGAAGAAACTACAAGAAGCCCAATAGCTCGTCGGAAAGAATCCAGTAGCAGCCCAATCAAGTGGGACGTCCAAGAAGCACCTTCGGCCCAACCCGGTCACCTGAAAAACAACTACTATAGGTCTGAAGGCCAGAATTGTGGTAACTTCATTACGGTACGCAACGATATTACAAAAAAAAATTGATCGATTAATCTCTTTGATTACCATATTATTGTATTCGAAATTTGTTTGGGATATTGACTTGTTCGTTATATAGGACCGGCCGACGACCAAGGTTCATGCAGCTCCAGGAGGAGGGTCCTCGTTGGGCTACCTATTCGGCCATCCTAACAAAAAATGATATATTCTTGTCCAAACAAAATGATTTGGTGCATGTGCTTATTGTATTTTGATTGTATACTTTGTGTCACCAATCTAAAATATAAAATTTAATTGTCAAGGATGGAAAAACATTTGCGAATGCCTAACATTACTTTTGCGTTCTATCTTATTCATTTATCTTCTTCCATTATATCTATTTTTTACATGGTGGTCTACTTAGTTGGGAAATGAATTTTCTCGATCATTGATCATTTTTGGTTAAGAATTTATAATTATTGTATTACGATTATCCACAATACTATATTTCATAAAATAACTAGATAATATCACATAAAAGATCGGCGATCCAAATATTTTACATGATTATCGAAATTATATGTGACAAATAAAAATATGTATTTGCATAGTTGGTATCTACTTCGTTTAATACATGTATATGTACCCATACGTATCTTATCTGTTTAAAACTTATGTATCTGTATTATTGTCAAGCCGTTTCATTTTTTTCCGTTCATTTGATGACTTTCGTACTAAACACGTATAAAACCCGTATAACACGTTTAATATCCATATTTAATAAATTAAATTGTTAATTTTACTATTATTTATATATTTATTTTTAAAATAATAAATTTCCCTTATTTATGACTATAAATGTACTATTAAACGTTAAATTAACTTAGAAACGAGTAAAATACTAATATATTGTTTATACGTAACTTTTTTGTATCATATTTTACTAACTAGATGTATTTGTATTCAACTAACACAAATACACAATACTATCATCAATTCCATGAGCCGGACATGCCAAACAAAAAAATTGATACATTTGTAATTTTGACATTTTGTACAAAAGGGCTTTTAGCCTGTAGGGATGGAATTTCGACCTGACCCGTTTTACCTGACCTGTTTGGCCTGTATTAGGGTAGGTCCGACCCTCCTTGTAGGCGGGACGGACATGGGTACCCTCATCGATCCGACCTGCCTCGACCCGTTCTTTCCTGAATTACATGTAATATTAGTCAAATTACTTAGGATTTTCCTTTTATTACATCATATTTTAGCTATAATAAAGTTGTAAATTAGTGAAAATCTCAATTTCTCCAAGATATTAACTACATTTATCATAATATTATTTGTTTTCTTGATCTTATAATATAAATAACGAATATTTCTAATATTTTTTATATAAATTCCATACTCAATAGGTCGACCTGCCCCGACCCGCAAACCTTGATAAATTACCCGACCTGCAGCCGACCTGCCACGGGACGGGTCTGGGTATCAAGAAACCCGCCCCGAACCTGCCCATTGCCATTCCTATTAACATGGCTGGGGTCAAAGACGTAACTGCCCTTAGTCCTTATTGGTGGCCGCAGCTTCTGCGTCTGTTTAGTGCTTAGTGCTTACTGATACTATCTAGGGTTTTTGGTTCGTCCCTGCTCTTCGCTTTCCCTCTTCCCCGTTCTCTGCATCGCCCGCACAAACGTCTACGGTGTCGGCGTTGCATATATTCCCCTACTCGGCAATGGCGACCATCGTCCCAACCTCTGAAGAAGATCCTGCACTAGCGGTTGTCCGCTTCACCTCCGACCTTGCCTGGGCCGATGCTGGTCCCGAGGTACATTCACATCTGTACAGCTATTTGTATATACATGCGTAATCGCAAACGCTTTTTAGTCTAGCTTGTATCCATGGGCGTCCTTTGATTCTTCGTTTGGGAAATTTGATTGGCTGGTGTCTGCACTCCCGAATCCATAATCCAATCGTAATTTCAACTTTCTGATGTTCTTAATAGTGTACAATGTTGCCTATGCCGGCTGAGATATTCGGATGGTTGCTGGCTTATGCCGTGAACTATAAATCCTGCTTTGTTTCGTGAATTTCATCCATTCATAGGTAATGTTAGAAACCTGCAAAAAGTTTGACGGGGGAATAATCCATTCGCAGAGTCCTGTACAGTTTTTCTATTGGGCACTATTAGCTCTATTTTTCAGCCAGGAACGGTAGTTGCTTGATCAATTATACCTTTCTTTACAGGTTGCGGAACCACAAGTTACCAGGCTTTGTATGGAGGCCCAGGAATGCATGGTCGTAGGAAGATGGTTGGACTTGGCTTCCTTGATGCTAACTTCAGCTGACTTGTTATTCTCCAATGCCAAGGTGTCGGAGAAAGGTGCAACTTTCTTCTTCTATGTAGTGTTATCAAATTCTACATTAGTTGTAATTGGACTTTGCAATTTTTGGGATGGTACTAAAGGAGGTTAATTAGTAGACGCCTGGTCGAGTGTGTGCGTGGATGAACTTACTGTTCATGATATCTGAATTTTGCATTAATCACGATGGCATCTATGAATTGTGCTTGAATTGTTGTGTTGATAACTTAGTGCAATATTCTGCTGGGAGAATACTCAATTTTAAGCCTGCCAATATTTTGTTTGAATTGTTGCGTTGATAACTTATTGCAACTACAAATTATTTGTAAGTTGCTCGGGAGTTATATCTATGAGGTGGGGAGTTCTGCGGTCACTAGATGTCGGGGCCTCGTGTACTTACATATCGCTTCTTGTGTTTTTCCTTTCCTATCATTTCTGACCTCTCTGGGCTCCCTTAAAAGTCAAATGGTTGCGTGATTTTGTGGTTTACCGTTTATATTAGGTAGCAGTCATAATAGAGGGCGTGCAACTGTGTTGGTTCAAACTGAAAGGATCGTAGTGATGATTTTGTAAAAGAAGAAGCAATCATTTATATCAGAATACTTAGCAATAGCTGCCCCATGTACTTATTTTAATAACGAAGTGTATGCTTCCGTCGTCTCTGTTCCAGACCTTGAATGCATCTTCACTGTTATTTGCAACCTTGTCACGAAGTCTCAAAACCCGAGTGAAGCTCTTGAGATGGCTAAGCTGATATCGGCAAAGATTGTTCAACAGCCAACTGAAAAGCCTGCACTGCGCTTAAAGATGTAATGTCAAGGTGTCATGTTGATTTGATAGCACATACTTTTTCTTGTTAGTATCTCATGAATGACTCCTTTTCAGCTTGTTCAATCTGTACAATCTTCTGGAGGATCCATATGCACGATTCTCTGTCTATATGAAGGCCTTGACTTTAGCATTGAATGGGAAGGTCGCTGATCACATAATACCGTCACTCAAGAAGATAGATGGTTTCTTGAAAGAATGGAATCTTGATGTCAAGGATAGGAGAGAGCTCTATCTCGCCATCTCTAATGCGCTCAAAGACAGTAAAAGGTACATTATTACTGTCTGATATCTGTCACTTAACCATCTGGAGAAGTGTGATGATTTAGTTCACTTCTGGCCATGCTTCATCCTTTGTTGCAGCTCAACTAAGGATGGCTTCAAATTCCTGACAAAGTATTTGACAACTTTCTCCGGTGAGGATGCACTTGTGATTGCTGAAGCCAAGGAGGAAGCTGTCCGTGCCATTATTGAATTTGTGAAGGCGCCTGACATGTTTCAGGTAGATTGGGATGGTCATGCTGTTTAATGGGTTGACTATTTGTATGTTTCTCTGAATCACTTGAGTTTAGAGAATAATGTCTGGTGCGATTTAATGCTGATAATGCTTCTCCATGGGTGGTTGCAGTGTGAGCTGTTAGATATGCCAGCTGTTGTGCAGTTGGAAAATGACGCCACATATGCATTGGTATATCAACTATTGAAGATATTTTTGACTCAGAGGCTTGATTCCTATTTGGAGTTCCAAGCTGCGAATTCTACCTTGCTAGAAACCTACAGTGAGATTTTGACTTCACTCCAGTCGAACAAATTGAACCCAAACTTCGGTATTTGGGTCGGTTATAACTTCTGCTTCTTTGTGTACTCAGACCTTGTTCACGAGGATTGTATAGCAAAGATGAAGTTGATGTCATTAGTGGATCTCGCCTCTACCCCGTCTAGGAAAATCCCATATGCTCTTATCAAGGATACACTTCAGGTATATCTGAATTAACCTATGACATTGTCCTCGACCAAGTTTTATGCTTGACCTGATTTTCTAATTATTCTGCTTCATGTCATTCTAGGTTAGTGATGATGATGTAGAATTATGGGTAGTAAAGGCGATAACTGCCAAGTTGATTGACTGTAAAATGGATCAGATGAACCAAGTGGTGCTCGTGAGGTATCTATCTTTAATTTTTATGTTATATGCACAGTTTCACTATTGCCTGTTAGTCTTCAACTCTTTCGGTACGTATGCAGCCGCTGCAGTGAGCGCGTCTTTGGGCAGCACCAGTGGCAAGAACTTGGGGAGAAGCTTGCAACTTGGAGGGTAATAGTTTCCCTTCACGTTTCAAAAAATGCTTTTGTCTTACATTTCCTAGTCTTTCTTCTTGAAGTTTTGCTAGTCGTCAGCCTGTCAAGTGCTAGTGGCTTATGAAATTGCATGTGCAATTTTTGCAGGAAAATATTGCGAGTGTGATAAATACCATCCAAGCTAACAAGATAGTTGAAGATGGAGTGCAACAGGTAGCGCAAGGCGTGGCAATTCGGTAGAAAACTTTGGGTTTTGAGATGTTGGATCTTGTTTTACTTAGACATGGTTGGTTGGTAAGGGGAGCTTAAGACTTTCAATTCAGCCATCATACTGAAAGTGTTAGAGCAAAATTTTGATGCTGTAGTCGTTGCTGTTCTGTTTGAGAAAGGGTAAATACAATATATTAGCCAAATCTTTTGCGGTTAAACAAAAGAATAGCCAAACCTTTCAAAAAACAAAATAATAGCCAAATCGTTAACTGTCCATCTGGTCAACTGTTAGTTGACTCTTATGTGACTAATTCGTGCAGACGTGGCAATGACAATTATTTAACTGTGCCACACATACATATTTTAAACTAATTATTTATTATTAAAACAAATAAAAAACAATAATGGAACACTCTCCATCCCTTCCCCTCTCCTCCCCTCTCTTCTCCGGCCAAGAAACTTCGAAACCCTCGATATCTCCCAAACTTTTTCGTTAGCAGCAACCACCTCGTCGTCCGAGAACCTCCGCTTCTTCCCGTCATGCTTTCACCTACCTCCTTCCATGGAAACAAGCAAAGATTCGACACTCCAGTTCGATCCGTCGTTCTTAAATAGGGTCGCCGACGATTGCTAGAGCGATCAAGCAGTTTGGATTTAGGGAATCGGAAGCGATGAAGAGCGAGGGGAAGGAAAGGGGTAACAGAGGAAGAGCCACATGGGTTTTGGAAGCGAGGAAGAGTAGGGGATTTGGGCAATGTATTGATTGGATTTAGCTTTTGATTCTCTTAGTTTGACACATAGATAAATGGGTTTCAGTTTAATTTGTTTAGATTTGGATGGTGTGGAGGGGAGCGGCGGCAACAGGAGTGGAGTTGATTTGGGGTTCTCAAAGTGGATTGAGTCTGTTCGAGGCAACCCAGGTTTGCTGGGGATTTCTATTTTCATTCTCTTCGTATTGTTGAAAGGTGAGAAAGATGTAAGCTCGTTTGTGGACGAAGCAAGCCTTGCTCCTTTGGCGATTTTATGTAGCGTTCGAGTAATTGTCAGCAATAGCTCGTTGGCTTGGGTGGTAGGTGTCGATGACAACATAGGGATTAGGTCACGGCGGCGAGGCTTTTGGTTCCACGGTGGGCAACGATGGCTGGGTTTCATCGGAGGATTGGAAATGGAAGCATTCATGGAGTTTCGATGGAGATTGGAGAGAAGGGGATGCGAACAGGCAAGGAGATAATAGAGTGGTGGCTATTTTTTAGTGGCTTTTTAATTTATTTTCTTTTCTAAACAGAAATTAATTTTTGGTATATCTATGTGGCAAGTCAAATTTTTTACTTTTTGCCACGTCATTGAAAATTTATTAAACATTTTGCCACGTCAGAGTCAACTAACGGTTGACCGGACGGAAAGTTGACGGTTTGGCTATTAAATTGTTTTTGAAAAGGTTTGGCTAATATTTTGTTTAAAATAAAAGGTTTGGCTATTAAATTGTATTAACCCTTTGAGAAATAACAATTTCAGGACTTAGTTGGATCAGTTGTATTGTATGTATCACCTGTCGATCATTTAACGTCTCTACTCTCTATATTGATCCCTTATGTTCGTCGCCGGCCATATGATTCCCAATAGTGATGGCAATTTCAACCCGCCCTGGGGTATTACTCGACCTGACCCGCGATGGGGTGGGTATTACCCGACCCGCAGTAGCGTGGGGCGGGGCATGGGTCTCTACTTTCAACCTGCCCTGCCCCGCCCCGTTCTAGACTCATTTTATCTCAATTTCTTACAATATCTATACATATTTCTCCTATTTTGACTTTTCTTCAACTAGTTAGAGTCGATCTTTCAACTGGTTAGGCTCAATTATCCATTCTATTATCAATATTTTTCATTCTTAAAGTGTTTTTCCCTACGTTTTATTGTAAAAAGTATAATTTACTTGTATTTTTTTTTTGAACAACATGTAAGAGTGGGTCGACCCGTCCCGCCCCGTACTTGCGCGGGTTTTACCCGCCCCAACCCGTCGTAGCATGGGGCGGGGCATGGGAATTGAGGTATCCGCACCGCCTGCCCGCCCCATATTGTCATCACTAATTCCCAACACAAATCCTCTTATAGTGACATATTGAGAACAATTTGTAGTATAGCAGAAGTGACATGTACTCATACGTGGAATGTGAGTAAGCTCATCTCTATATCGGAGCCAACATCATTTGACATGGCAAATCGGCAATATTCGAATAGGACATTCAAGGTTCCTAGGCCCTAGCCATACAAAGACCTTCAAGAGTTCCATCTAGGTATAGATTCGCATTGCACAACTATACATTACTCTCTTGACTCTTAAGGAGTGTGTTTCCAGTGATCTTGCCAACTCAAGGAAATACTTGTATGGTTCCATATTAGAGATCAGAACTTGAGAAGGGCGATGATGAGGAAGTAGAAGCGGAGGAGGAAACTTGCCCCTGGTGTAACTGTCTCCTCACAAGCGCAGTGTAGATGCCATCATTATTGTTGAGTAAGAGTTCTTGCAGGGGAGTCATCAGATTGATCTTCTGCAGTAGCTTTTCTCCTTCCCTACACCAGTTTCACTTCGTCTCATAATCACCGGTTTAATCGTTCAATTTCGTTAACCATAGCCTAGAAAGAAAGCAAGCGCCAAACCTGCTTAGATAAGAGGGAAACTCTCTCGGAGCCAGTGGAGGAAATTGATTTGGCTGTCCAATCCAAGTGCTGCTTCTTCCCCATCTCCCCCGCCGGACAGCACAAAGCTCAGTGGCCGCCAACCAACAAAATTCTTCTGTATCCCGCCACCCAAGTGGTTTTGCGCCGGGAATCCCCTGCTATATTACGGAACAGTGCTATAGTTTGATAATTATAGGGCCACGTTTGGTACAAAAGTTTGTTAAAAACTAAAACTTTAAGAGAAGGAAGAGAGGACAAAAGGAAAACTGGAATGAAGGAAGGAGGGGAAGGTAGATGAAAATGACGGAAGCTTGGATTCGAGCAGTCGTTGAAGCCATCCACTCCACCCCTTCTCAGGCTGTAATTTATCTCTCCGGCGGCGCGTCTCAGGTCTCTTCTCTCCTTACTAAAACTTATCGTTTTCTCTCTCTTCATGCCTGGTTAAATTTTGACTTCGGATGATGATGATGATCAGAGTCTCGGGTTGTTGATGTCCGTCCCCGGCGCTACCTCTACAGTTCTTGAAGCTCTGGTGCCATACTCGAGAGTCTCCATGGTTGATTTACTCGGAAAGGTTTTTCTTTTACTCCGGAGCACACTATCTATGAGGTCTTTTTCCTTCCTTTTATTCTGGGTTTCAGATTTCTAAAGCCAAAACCATGTGATGTTTTTCTCCTTTCAGATTCCTGCAAGTTACTGTAGCCAGCAAACAGCCGAGGAGATGGCTTTGTTGGCTTACAACCGGGCTCTTAAGCTCTCTTCCCCTGGTAATGATTCTTCTTCACCAACATTGTTCACTATATTAAACTAAATGCTATGCTGCTGCTACAATACCAGATCAGAAAGGTTGTTTACATATCTGGACTCTGGAGTAGGGAGGTGTTTTTTATGTTAACCCAATTATTCATTTCAATAGGTGCTCCTGTTGTTGGTGTGGGCTTCACTGGATCTCTAGCAAGTTCACGTCCAAAACTTGGGGATCACAGGTATTATTTTCTGCAAGCGTTGCTTGGATCTCTACTACATGTATCTGGTTTTGATGAATGCCAGCTCGACGCCTTCTTTTCAGGTTTCATTTATCTACAAGAACATCTAACCAACTTTACGCGTCAACAGTTACATTGTCAAAGGTAGTTGTGGTACTCTTCAGATAATGATGTGATTCATCGTTGCATGATTAATGGATTCTGGTGTGCAATGTGGTTTTAATCTAGGGAATACGAACTCGAGAGCAGGAAGATACAGTTTCAAGTCAATTCTTGCTGAAGGTACACAAGAATTTGAAAACATTGCAACACAGTTTCGATTTCCTAGGATATATGTCTCCATGTGGCTTACATTTGTCAGCAGTCCCTGATTCAACTTCTTTCCTGTCTCTTAACAATTAGGCCTTATCAAAAGCATGCAGAGTTGTCCAGCAAACAACCGGTTCTCCCTTATCTGAATCAGACTCATTGAATGAACTTGAAAAACAGTTCACAGAAGATGAAGAGCTACAGCAAGTTATAGACGGTCAAATATGCTTCAAGATATACCCATTCTCAGGTGGAATCCTTTGGTTCAACAGACTCATCGTGGTAATTTGAGCTTCCTAATTATTTTTCTGATGATCGTTTTGTTGGCCAGATCCGCCAAATGCTGAGAGGAAGATCATACTTCCTGGTTCTTTTAACCCTTTGCATGATGGTCACCTCAAGCTTCTGGAGGTCGCTACTAGGTAGCTGGATATGCTTCCATAATGTATTAAAAATTGTATTTTGAACATCTTGAAGTGGCATTTATTAGTTCTTGGACGTTTATGTTCTGCCGATGCTTATTAGAGCAAATACTATGTCTTTTTACTTAATACTTGTTTTGTGTAGCCTTTGTGGCAATGGCTATCCGTGCTTTGAAATATCAGCGATAAATGCAGACAAACCTCCCCTTACCGTTTCCCAAATCAAAGATCGGGTGAAGCAGTTTGAAAGAGTTGGTGAGCCATTTGAACTTTCTTTACACTATGATGATATGTCCCCTTCTGAGACCTTAGTTTGCACAGAATCTGACGAGCCCTTTTTCATTTTGGTACTAAGATGACCTGACCTGTGTCTGAGTTGTAGTTTTTTATGACAGGCAAAACTGTAATCATTTCAAACCAGCCCTATTTTTATAAGAAGGCTGAGCTCTTCCCTGGCAGTGCTTTCGTCATTGGTGCCGATACAGCAGCAAGGTTGATAAACGTATGTTACTCGATTCCAGCTTGTTTTGGAGATTCTACTGCAATTTTCGCTTGATCTAATACTGCTAGAGTTTGTTAGGTTGTACAAGACAGAAAGTCATCTGATAAAACTTTGATTGATCTACTCTCGGCCTTGCTCGGTGTCTTCTTTTTTGCAGCCCAAGTATTACGATGGAAGCTATGAAAAGATGCTTGAGATCCTTGGAGCATGCAAAGCAAGAGGATGCACTTTTCTTGTGGGTGGTCGAAGCACCGATGGTGTTTTCAAGGTACAGCGACTAACTAACTTGCAGCTTCTGCCAGAATATGAGACCTCTCGCGGGGGATGAGTTAGACCAATTGATTTTGGCTGTTATCATATAAGGATTGTTTTCTTTGTTTACTACGAAGGTTCTCGAGGACTTGGAGATCCCGGAGGATTTGAAGGACATGTTTGTGCCGATACCAGCTGAGATGTTCCGCATGGATATTTCGTCCACTGAAATAAGGAGGAGTCGAGGGATGATGTGAAGAACTTGATGCAGATGCAACTCCACATGTCTTCTGCAGTTTGCAGTAATAAAAGTTTTTGTCCATGCCCTTTCGTTGTACAGGTAGTTTTCGAGTTTGGATTTCGGGTCCTCTAGTAAAAGTGCACACAGTGATGAGATGAGTTCAGATTTGTAAGCTATGCAGCTTTCACCCTTGCTACTGAGAATTCAAGCCCTCAAATGGGTACGGAGTTGTTTGATTAAGGAAATGGCTACCCCGTGTTGCAGCTGACGAAAATGACAGCATGTTGCAAAGTTCAGAAACTCAACCGAGTTCGGTGACAAAAAAGGAACATAGCTTAAATTGTAAAGATATGTGGCATTGAAATAGGTCTACCAACATTTCAACTTGCAGCTGACGATGTATGTGTACTTGAGCATGGTCATTGCTTCAATGTTTTAGTTTTGCAACGGTCGACCTATGTTATAGTTGTGCATGTGTTCGCAATTTAAGCAACTTGCTATCTAGAACTTGAGTTGGATGAGCATATGTAATGTATGTATGATTTAACCTAGGCTACCGTACATCTACTAAATCCAGCGTGAAATTATGGAAAATGTGCTTAGATAATCGACAATGCACTTTCCTTGTTGATGGTTGAATCCCACGGATTCGGTTTCTATTGCCATCCCTAAACACGACACCCTATACCAAACGCTCTGTCATATGAGCAAATGGTTGACTGATTTTAATATGGCATAATTTTTCCAATTTCTTAGAAACTCTATCATATTGATCGAACCAGAAATATTGAATACTAGATTCACACTAGACGATTTTAATGGTATGAGACAGTTGAATTACGGTTCAACCATAAATTTAATATAAATAATTTATCATTAATTTTTTCATTACAACTTTCTATGCGTTCTCACATTATTAATTATTACAATCTAAGAGACTTGGTATCTCCATTTTTTTGGTAAATTAAATAACTTGGTATCTAGGGGTCGTATGGAAGTTGTGAATGTGTTTGGTGAAATTGTTACAATACATGTATTGTTTAGAATGCATGATTTTTTTAATATTTTTTTAAGCAGAAACAATACATGGATTGTTCCTGTGATGTGATAGAAACTATCACTAAAAACAAGTGACTGTTATATCTCAACTTTTAACTTTGATTGTTGAGATAGTTGAGTTGATATTATTACCTTAGTTTTAACCAATACTAATGTGACATATACATAAATTACATAACACAGGGGTCGTTTGGAAGTTGCGATTGTTTTGTTGAGATTGTCATTATGCATGTATTATTTATAATGCATCGTTTTTTTAGCAGAAACAATACATGGATTGTTTCTGTGATGTGACAGAAACTATCACTCATTTTGAGTGATTGTTATATCTCAACTTTTAGTTGTGATTGTTGAGATAGTTGAGTTGAGATTGTTTTGTCTCAGCTTTTAGCTGATGCAACATACACAATCACACATACCAAACGTTGTATTCTACAATGCATCAAATTCGACAATACATGTATAATACTATACATGCATTCTCAACGATACATCTATTTAACAATCGCAACTTCCAAACTCCAAACAACCCACAATCACACAAACTAATCGTTTTATTTTACAATCCATCAAATTTCCTGCATAACTTCCAAACAACCTCTAGTTCTCTTTTTGTTACCCAATTTACCGTTTCATTATTTTGTCGTTTGTGCCAACCGTTCTTCACCCACTCTTTCCCCACTTTCTCCTATCGTCCTTGCTTAACTTTTCTAATCTTTTATTTTCCCGGGAACCCGCGAGTACAGCTGTTCCGATTGCCGCTTCGAACAACCGCCGATATGAACAATTATGGCAGAGCAGAAGTCACTTTCGATTTCGGCTTCATCTCCCCGATAGGCTCAGAATCGAAAGCGCTATCAGCGAATGTTGTCTGCTACTGACTTCGCAGTTCAGGGCTTCAGGCTGGGGGAGCAAACATGCATATGGATGGCAGGAAGGTTTGCCGGCGAACAAATTTGTTGCCGAGATTCTGCAGCTGGACCTGGATTTTGGGGGCTCTTTCATCCCTACTGGTACTCTTCCCTGTCAATTCTTTGTTTAGGTTAATGGGTTCTCTCAAAGGTTGGTTGTGGACTTGTGGTTGTCGGCGCCAGCCAGGCAGCCAGCCTTAGAGGCCTTTCTGTCACTATCTGTCGGTATTGTCTGTATCCCAACCATGATTCTCCCCCTTTTCCCCCATTATTTATTTACTCCGCCGCTCTATTCTTTACCAACTCTACTGTATTTTAAGCACTTGAAGACAGTCTCTGGAGATTGATTCAATCTAAGTTCAATGAGTGAAGGAATAGCATTATCAAAGCAATCAAAACTGTTGCAAGCTGGAAGAAATTATATATACTTACCATTTCCCTGCCTGACTTCCTTTTCCAGCCCACAGTTCCTTCCTTCCAGTGGCATAACAACAAGGCAGAATGAACGGAAGACCCCCACCACCACCACCTCACCCCACCCATTAAACAGATAAACCCCACACAGCACCGCACACCCATTTCGCTTTCTTTTTTTTGTGTGGGTTGGTTTGATTGATTTATTTGCTTTTGTTTCACATTCATTGGCTTTCTTTCTTCCTTTTCTCTCAACTCAACTCAACTCAGCTGATAGCCTCTCTCCAGTCAAGTCTCATTAGGCCTTTCTGATTTTCATACTGCATTGCATCTGGGAAATGCGGCTGAATTAATTATTCTTCTGCTTCAGTTGTCGCCTTCTCAAGCTCTAACTTACTTTCTCATTGAAGATCGATCGAACCCATCCGTCAGCCCAATATTTGCTCTGCTTGCTTACTTCCCTATTCAGGTTCCTTCCTTCCTCAATTCACCTACATCTCTTAAAGCTTGATTCTTTTGGTCCTTCTTCATGCTTGCTGACATAGATAGAGATGGGATATGGCAATGCATCTGTATTGTAGTTTAACCTCTCTCCCAGATACCATGTACCACTTAGCATTCCTTTTCCAGCTCTAACTTCCAATTCTCCTCCTGCCTTGCCCTTTTGCTCTCTTATCTAATAATCCTTTTTGCTCTTCTTTTAATGCAGCTTCAATCAATGTTCGTTGCTGGTTAGTTGATTTTGGATTCTGTAGTGGGAAACTGGATTCCCGTACCATATGTCAAAGACTCTTGCAATCACCCTAGGTGGTGTTGCAGGAGCCGTGGCATTGGTTGGGGTAATAACATTTTTCATATGGTGCTACTGCTGCAAAAACAAGAGTGTCTCCAGAACCTCCGAGACTGGATCTTCTGACCAATCTGTTCAAGGTATCTAATTTCCCCACCACCCTCAAGTTTTTGCTGATGTGATTTTCTTTTTGCTTTACCCCTCTTTCTCTAATGTTCTTGTAATTTTTTATTGTTGGTCACCGTCTTCAGCGGGAAGACATGTTGGGGTTGAGCTGTCTGTACCAGAGGCAAAGAGGTTTGACATGGAAGAGTTGTCTCTGGCCACCAAGAATTTCAGCCACCAGAACTTGATTGGTGTTGGCAAATTTGGTGAGGTATACAAGGGTCTGCTCAACAATGGGATGCTTGTTGCTGTGAAGAGCCGATTTGGAGCTCCTACTCAAGAATTTGTGGATGAGGTACTGATTTGATCATTCTCATTTGCAGTGCAGCTACTTGGATTAGTCCAAATAGTGTGAACGTAGTTTCCTTTCTGATTGTGGGATGGGTATCTGCGGTGTGTCTTCTTAATTGTGTTTCCCAGTATACCATTTTAGACTAAGTAGTAATTTAACTTCTCCAATAAAGTGGAATCCATGGCATTGTTCTTTGCTTGATCCTATTATGCTGAATTAAATCTATCAGGCACGGTATCTTTCAGCCATCCAACATCGGAATATCGTGACTCTGTTTGGATATTGCCAAGAGAACAACATGCAGTTCCTCGTCTATGAATATGTACCTAATGGGAGCGTTTCCAGTCACTTGTATGGTAACTATCTATCCAGTCGCCAATATTCATGTCTTTGAGATCAATGTGGCAGCTGAGAAGCTAAATACATTCTGCAGTTAATGTGTTATTATAGCCTTTGTAAAATTGTGTTTCTCATGGAAAAGGTTGAAATTTTGATGCCAGGGCTAGGTCAAGTATCAGATGGGCAGCTGGAATTCAAGCATAGACTTGCAATAGCTATAGGGGCAGCTAAAGGTGATCCTCTGCAAAATCAGTGACAATTTTGGCTTTCCTGGTATTAGTTGCTCCTTTTTCAACTTTAAGATAATCTACATCTGGTTTAAGTACCTCAAAAGAGTATGAGCAAGCATTTTATTATTCATACTGCAAAGATTGTTTCTTGTAAGCCTGTTGAGCCTTTAGAGTGACGGATAGGTCATTCACCTTTATAAAATAAGTGTAAAAGGAGCTGGAGTAAGAGACCGCCTCATGTTATGATATTTCTTGCTGTCCAGGTCTTGCTTATCTTCATGCTCTGAGACCTCGATTAGTGCATAAGAACTTCAAGACTACAAATGTGCTGGTGGATGAGAATTTCATAGCCAAGGTAGCAGATGCAGGGCTTCGTAATTTCCTGGGAAGAGGAGGTGAGGGTGGAGCGGGCCCTTCAACACAAGTGGCAGTTGACGAGATATATCTTGCTCCAGAGTAGGGCTATTTCAGCAAAATCCAAAACTTTCCCCACAATTTATCCACCCTAAGTCCGAAGCTGATCAGCTTTTGAGAAAGACACACTGATAGTTTACATTCTGTGTTATGGGGTTGCAGGGTGAGGGAGTTCAGGCAATTCTCGGAGAAGAGTGATGTGTACAGTTTCGGTGTGTTTGTGGTGGAGTTGATCAGTGGAAAGGAAGCATCAGACCAGAACATGGCAGAATGGGTAAGCCATGAGCCATTCTCCAAGACATAACATATGAACAATGATCAAGTTATATGGACTGTGTTGAATGTGACTGTCTATTATGTGAAACTCTAATGAAGGTACAAAGCAGTGTCGAGGGAGGCATCAGCAGCCGAATGGTTGATGAGAGGTTGGGGAGCAGCTTCACGTCGGAAGGAATGGAGGAGCTGATGGGTTTGGCGATTCGTTGTCTGGAAGGGTCAAGCGAGAGGCGGCCAGCAATGAGCTACGTGGTGATGGAGCTTGACCGGATCCTGGAGAAAGAGATGAAGGTCAGTACGGGGATGGGGGAAGGTGCTGCCCCAACTGTGACTCTGGGTAGCCAGTTATTCAGGCCTTCCCAATAGAGATCAATGCAATGCATATAGAATCTGAGTTTTTTTCAGTGTGGGGAACATAGGGTGGAGTGTGTGTATTTATTTTTCTTTCTCTGTGATTAAAAGTTGTTTACTTCTTTAAAATGAGAGGGTGGATACAGGAGGAGATCAGAAAAGACTACTGAGAGTAGCTGTTTGATTAATGGCAATTGTATAAAGAAGAGAAGAGAACAGCTGCTGCATACATTGTTGTCATTACTATTCTTTTTCATCTTTTGGTGGTTTGGGGGAAAAAGAGAGGATTTATATGGAGGGGGATGTGTTCATTTGTTGTAAAATCAAATAATTTAATCATTATTAATGCTAATTCGGTTGTTATTGTCAATTGCTTCAGTCTCAGACTGTGTGAATGAGAAAGAAAGCTGAAATTGTGTACTCTGCTCTTCTCTGGCACATCTTAACAAACTCTCATCCTTCTCATTCATTCAATGTATCCCCAATTGCTTTGGCGCGGGGTTGATGTGACCAACTTGATGCAGATGCTATTCCACATGTCTTCTGCAGTTTGCAGTAATACTTGATAGTAGTTTGGGCCCAGCTTTGTGACATTTGCATCTTTCCTAGTTATTGAGAATTCTAGCCATCAGACTAAAAATAACAGCCTATTGAAAAAATGCATGTGTTGTCTAATTGGCGTTGATTACATAGTGGCACATTAGTTAAGAATTGAAGTTAAGTGAGCAGATAGTTAGAGACCCCAAAATTTATCTGCTAATACGGTTCCGATGGCAATTTTTTATAAGAAGCATAACATTCCACTCGTGTAAGGCATGCTACTTGCTAGACTTTTTATCCTGAGCTCATGTAGTTCCCATTTAGGTACGAATACACAGAACCACAGTGCTCCTCTAGCCTATAAATAGAGACCTTCATTCATTTATTCATGCCGCAGCAGGTGATGCGGCCTCCCTGCCGCTTGCTGCTCCGTCCCTGTCACCCTCGAGCCGACTCAACACCAGCTTATGCTGAGGAAGCTGGCCATTAGAAAATGGCGTTACATCTGTGTCAATTACGATGGTATCTTCATCTTTGAACTCTCCCCTCAGGATACCCTTGGCCACTTCGTTCTCGACATTCTGCTGGATAACTCGCTTCACTGGCCTAGCACCATAGCTTGGGTCATATCCAAGGCTACCCAGAAGCTCCACTGCTGCTTCTGTCACCTGTAGTTTCATCTTCCTATCTGCAATTCTCTGCTGCACGCGTGCCAACTGCAAAACATGCACCTCCAAGAGGTTAGCAAGAAACGATAATCTACAGGAAAGATTCAAATGATTTGGTAGGAGAAAAAGCTGAAGCACACACGCCCAAAAATCAGACCGAACTCACCTGTAATCTGACAATCTTGTTTATCTGGTCGCGATCCAAAGGCTGGAAAACTATGTACTCATCAACCCTGTTCATGAACTCAGGCCGAAACACTGATCTTGCAGCGTCCATAACCCTCCGCTTGATAGTCTCATATGCAACCTCCTTCGGTAGCTCATCATCTGTATCGAGAATATACTGCGAGCCCACATTCGAGGTCATTATAATAACTGTGTTGGTGAAACTAACTGTCCGACCTTGTGAATCAGTCACCCTCCCGTCATCTAAAATCTGAAGGAAGACATTGAACACATCAGCATGAGCCTTCTCTATCTCATCGAACAAAATAACCGCATAAGGCCTCCTGCGAACTATCTCCGTCAACTGGCCACCTTCCTCATACCCTACATAGCCAGGTGGAGCACCTATCAGTCGTGAGACTGCATGCTTCTCCATGTACTCACTCATGTCGATTCGTACTAACGATTCCTCTGTGTTGAACAAGTATGATGCAAGAGCTTTGGCTAGTTCCGTCTTCCCAACACCGGTGGGTCCCATAAACATGAAACTAGCAATGGGCCTACGGGGATCTGAGAGCCCAGCACGAGACCGCTGAATCGCCTCAGCTACGGCAGTGACAGCAGGATCCTGACCAATTACCCGTTTGTGTAATTCTTCCTCTAAATGGAGGAGTTTTTCTCTCTCAGATTGCTTGAGCTTCAAGACGGGAATGCCGGTCCACCTGCTCACAATTTCAGCAATGTCGTCCCCTGTTACTTCTTCTCTTAACATGGACTTCCCTGATTTCATGTACTCATCCAACTCTACTTCCGCAGTTTCAAGTTGGCGTTGCAAGGAGTTCAAGCTCCCATACTTGAGTTCAGCAGCACGATTGAGGTCATATTCTCGTTCAGCTTGTTGAATTTCCAAGTTCACCCTGTCTATCTGTATAACATAGATGTGCCTCGTAAGTGGTTTCATATTATATTAGCGATGAAGGAGAAGGGTAGATTCAAATAAGAGTTCTGATTACCTCTTCCTTAATTGACTGCATACGAGTCATGACTGATTTCTCATGCTCCCATTGCTCAGTTAGCTCAGCTTGTTTCTTCTTCAACAGCGACAATTCACCCTCGAGGCGACTCAACCTATCTTTTGACGCTTTATCTGTATCGTTAGTGAGAGACAGCCTCTCCATTTCCAGTTTCAACACTGTCCGGTTGATTTCATCGAGAGCGGTGGGTTTTGAAGTAATTTCCATCTTCAGTTTTGCAGCTGCTTCGTCAACTAGATCAATGGCTGTAATTCAACATGAATAATGAACACATCAACCACAGAAAACCTACGACTGAAAGCACCTCAAAACCATATAAGTTATCAGCAACAAAGGATATAAATTCATATCGTGTCTAATAATTTACCTTTGTCAGGCAAGAACCTCCCACTGATATAGCGGTCAGAAAGGATTGCAGCTTCCACTAGTGCACCATCGGAGATACGAACTCCATGATGTAGTTCATACCTTTCACGCAATCCTCTCAAGATCGAAATTGTGTTCTCCACTGTTGGTTGGTCGACATAAACTTGCTGAAAACGTCGCTCCAGAGCAGGATCCTTCTCAATATACTTACGATACTCGTCCAAAGTTGTAGCACCAATACAGCGCAACTCCCCACGTCCAAGCATTGGCTTCAAAAGATTTCCCGCATCCATCGCACCATTTGTAGCCCCTAAAAGAGATGTCAGCATGTCTCAGTTTCCACCCAAATTAGCATCACTCACGAGACTAGATGATTATACATGCCTTTTAGAATATCAACTATAAGCAACTAGCACATTGGAGAAAACTAATCACTCAGGTGAGGAAATCATTAAAGATAATAAAATATATATGTATACAAAAAGAAGATTAGCAAAGCCGTTACCTGCACCAACCACAGTGTGTATCTCATCAATGAAAAGGACAATCTGGCCATCCGAATCTGTAACTTCCTTCAGTACGGCTTTTAATCTATCCTCAAATTCTCCTCTGTATTTAGCTCCCGCAATTAGTGCACCCATGTCAAGGGATATCAGCTGCAGTTCGAGATCAAACCAGAATGTCACCGCCGGGTATCAGAACTACGAAATAGTAATTCCTACTCACACTAAAGAAAATAGCTTCCCTATCTAATTGTTCCAAAATATCTCACGAAATGGTACTAATATCTTATATCAAGAACACACCTTGCGGTTCATTAAAGCTTGTGGTACATCCCCTTGGACAATCCTCTGTGCAAGCCTGCCCAACAAGCAAATAAGGAGTTAGAAGATGCTTCTTTTCCCCTTTCTTTAAAAGAAGAGTTAGAAGAAGTTGCAGTCACTCAAAGCGGCTTCTAAGGACTACATAAAAGAGAATGCTTACAGTGAATAGCCAAACAAGTTGAGTCAATATAAATTCAGAACTTTCATGAAAAAATCTTGGAACACAATTTGCAAATAAGAATCATCATCAAGTTGCCTTCTATGAATGAGAAAATTTAATGCTTACCCTTCGGAAATGGCAGTTTTGCCCACACCAGGTTCACCAATCAACACAGGGTTGTTCTTAGTCCTCCTAGAAAGAATTTGAATACACCTACGTATCTCATCATCCCTTCCAATAACAGGGTCCAATTTCCCTGCTCTTGCCATGGCAGTCAAGTCTTTCCCATATTTATCCAGTGCTTCATACTTACCTTCGGGATCTGCACAAAGCAATCAAATGAGACTCACTTCTGAGAGTCACATAGCAGCAATTCAAAAGTTCCAGAGCTATGCTCCCCAATCTTCTATAGCATGAGCCTACACGACCTAAGTTCAAACATTTCTGAGCCGACCAAGCATAAAAATGCAAAAATGCTAAAGAAGATTTTACCTTGATCAATTACAGACTGGCGTCCCCTGATAGACTCTACTGCAGATTTCAAAGGTGCAAGAGAGATTTGAAAATCCTTAAACAATTGGCGGCCAAACCTTTGGTCCTGAGCAAAAGCAAGAACCAAATGCTCAACCGAGATAAAAGAATCCCCATACTCTTTCTTGTATTCCCTTGCCCGCTGAATCAATCCTTCCAAATCACGACCCAACATTGAACCAGCCGACTCACCAAGAACCTGGAATGGCATTGCCACACATAGAAGAGAATCAAGTAATGCAAACTAGCTACACCCTAGTTTTAAATTGGAGCTGGGGTAATTGAGCAACTAAGCAATTCAGCTACGCAGAGTAGAGTGTAAAAAGTATATACCTTGGGCTGGCGTTGGATGAACTTATCAGTGGCTTCGAGGAGGCGAGTGTTATCAACACCGACCTTGGAGAAGATCCTGCGAGCAAGACCATTCTTCTGCTCGAGGAGTGATTTCATCAAATGCTCGGTCTCAACAATTTGATGCTTGTTCTCTTTGGCGACGTCGGGGCAGGACACAATCGCTTGCCACGCCATATCAGTGAACTCCTGCTGAGTAATCTGCGAAATTGGGCCGGAAAAATCCAATCTTTAGAAAAAGCACGAAACGATTAAGGAAGGACTATGCGAATTCCACTCACCCTTCCGCTGCTGGAAGCATCACATCGAACAACGAATGACTTGGCGGGCGGAGTCTTGTGGGCAAAGCCGCCGGTTGTCTTGAGACGGAAAGGAGGGTTGAAGGAGGTACAAATTGTAGGGCGAAAGCGGAGGGAGTTGGGAGTGGAGGAAGCGGAGTGGACACGGAGAGAAGTCATCGGCCGGCGACACAAACTGACCCCGGCGAAAGACGCGGTACCGGTGGCCGCCATTGTATTTGATAGAAAAGAATGCGAAATTCGCGAATGAGATGAAGAATGAGAACCAATTGCGTGCTAATGGGGGAAAGGGTTCATTCGTTAGGGGCGTGATTCTGAGGGTCGCGAGGAAAAAGAGAAGAGTTTTCTTTAGCGAGGGACGACGGAGGAGTGTGGAGAGTTCGTGAAGAGTCTCTCACAGTCTCACTCTCTCTTTCTCTCTCTAAAGCTTCGGATTTTTGGCTGCGTTCAGGTGTGAGAGGATGATGAAGTGGGGAAGCAGCCACGTGGCTCCTGCTTAACAAATCTCCCATATCTTTCTCCAATAAATTTGTAATAGCCAAATCAAGACTTAAATATCTATTATATAACAAATCTTCAACGCTAACTACTTGAATCCAAGTTTTTAGAGTGAAAGTCAGAATTTCCAACTAAGTAGACTACAATGAATTTACTGTATTTTTTAAATTAACATTGGGGTGGGCACATGGGTGGTTAATCTGCGGGTTATTGTCGATCCACCCGCAAATAACTTGAACCGCAAGTAGTGGGTGATTGATGTAGTTGGATTGCGAGTTGATAAATCTCCTACTCGCACTTAAGTGGGTGGATTGTGAGTCACTGGAATGACCCACACTATATTTTTACATGATAAAATGGTTTGGACTTTGCTACGCTGACATGCACTTTTCGGTCGACCTCATATAGGATTAGGTCGACCTAATCTGTTGTTTCAGTGTAAAAACAATTTCATGATGCCTACTTTGGAGATTCATATCTTACAATTGGCTAGATAAAAATTGGATATTAAAGGCTTGTTTTGAAGCTGAAGTGTCCCTCTACACATTAAAGTACTTGGGAGCTCAATAGAAAGTTCAGAAGATCATATTTGAACCTGACCAAAAGGCTATGCCAAAACTGGGAAACTGCCTGAAAATGGCTAAGTCTGGCAACGTGTTTGTAGAGACTACTTTGGAGCTCAATTTGAGAAGCATGGATGCGAGTCAAGTCCAGGGACCTCTACCACGTTAAATAACGTATTTTATTATACAAAGGCAAGGCATTGGATGAAAGATTGAATATCTTTAAGGCTTCAAACAAAAGGCTCGAAGTTGCTACGAAGGCTGTTTTTCTGGCAGTTTGCTTGTGCTCGAAGTCTGCCAGAAAAAAAGCCTTCGTAGCAACTTCGACCATTTTGTTTGAAGCCTTACAGATATCCAATCTTTCATCCAATGCCTTGAATGTGTATAAAAACATACCTAATTTAACGTGGTAGTTGAACCCTTCCCAAAACGCTGTTGGAGATCAACCCAAATTTCTCGAGCGATTCGAACTCCACGAACGTTGTTCCAGACTTCCTTGCTCATCGTTATCTTGAGTCACCCCTTAACAGTAGCGTCATAGCGAGCCTAGGCATCATCACGAACTCCAGCATCGGCCTTGGTGCGGGGTAAACTACCATCAACAAAAACTAACATATTTTTTGCGATTAGGGTTTCAGTCATGTCATCGACTCATTCCCCATAATTGGAATGAGTGAGGAGATCACTGCCAAAAAGCTGCCCTGGGTTCTCCGAGGGATGAAGATACAAAGGCGAAGTGAGAGGAATCGGATCGGACCCGGTGATGACGTCCTTCGAGCTGCTCACGCTGTCTTCACCAGTAGTCATGATGACAGTTCACAATCCAAGATCGATTACTGCTCTGATACCATGTAAAATTTGATAAGCGGAAAAAAAACAACACGATGATTTTACGTGGTTTTCCTGTTCAATATAAACGAGACTAGTTCACTAAGAACGTGAGTTCTCAGGTTCTCTTATTAGCTTGCAGTATGATAGCTTCTGCAGTGACATAGGTCGGCGACCTCACTCTCTAACCTTTACACTCTTCCACAGTTCAGCAGAGTATTAGGTGAAATAAGGTAAAATACACAATAGTCCTCGTATAATATTAGACAGCTAAAAACACCACTCAACACCCTCTCGGTGACCGTGATTCTCTCTCTTTCTTCCGCTCGGCAAATGAGCGATATCTTCTATCCCTATTCGAATTGATATGCACACCTTTCTTCCCCTTAGATTAATTTGGGGTTGTGGGTTTGATTGTTGTGTGCTAATTTTTTAATTGTCGCCGTCCGGCAGAGAGAGAGACAAATCTGGTTAATATGATGAAGAGGACAGAGAGCGGGGAGTGGTGGTCTACCCTTTGTGAGAGAAGAAGATGGTAGTTATTGGGATGGAGAGGAGGGATAGTGGGGAGTACGGTGGCATTCGATTATTTCGGTTATAACCGGTAATCGATCGGCTGGTTATCGGTTAACTGAAATAACCACCACCCCTACCGAACACCGATCGAAATAGGCTTCGGTTTCTCGGTTATCTCGGTTATCGGTTAACCAAATCACTTTTAAGACAAAAACCATTTCGTCCAGCTTCCGATAACCGACCGAAGTTCGGTTACTTCGATTACCGGTTAGTAGATAACCGGCCGGTTACCGGTTTAACCGACCGATTAACCGGTTTAACCGACCAGTTAACCAGTAACCGAACGGCCACCCCTAGTGGGGAGCTAGAATCCCAATTGTAGATCCGCGGAGTTCCACAACGCTCTCAAAACGGTGGTAATTCTTATCGTGGCAAGGAGGATCCAAAAGTCAAAGCTAGGTTGCTGGTTTCGAGAGCAGATGAGATGTGGATGCCGTTATGGGCGATGCCGAAGGTGACAATGGAGTTAACGATGCCAGTGTTGGGAGAAATGAGTCTCGAAGATGGGGACGAAGGAGGAGAGGGACGACATCTAAGAGGCTGCCGGTGTAAGTACGATTGGGTCAGGGGGTTGAATTGGGTTTGGTTTATGTAGTGGGGCTGATGGTGGCAAGTCAGGTCTTATGATATGGCGAGTTAAATTTGCCGATTACGCATTTTCCTTAGTCATGTCAACAAATACCGATGGTGTCAACAGAGGTTAACAAAAGAGTGACCAAACATAAAACATTAATGACTTTCATTGACTAGAAATGAAATAAAATTCTTTTAGGGACCAAACAAACAAACAAAAAACGTCGAGAGATAAATAAAACTACTAATACAACCATTCAGACCCTCAAATACACACATACATACATAATACATTGTTAACTTAACCAGTAATCCAGAGATAATAAATTACTAAAGTTTTAAGTTAAAGTACGAGAATATTATTGTTTCTGTGCAACAACGACACCATGCACTATGGGCTTCAAACTCATATTGACCTTAATGATGCCTTAACCGACAACTCAGCACTGCCCAGCGACTGCGACTGCACCTGCAAAAAGAAAAGCATAAAACTATTTCAGCTTAACTCAGCCAAAAACCAAACGAGAAACCTTAAGAGAATGTTCAGAGGACAGCCAACCTTAGCAGAATGTGCAGCAGACACATGAAATAGCTAGAAGTTCTAAGCTTATAAATAAGAAGCTGTTCTTGATGAAGAACGTATCAATGAGAAGTTATTCGGCCAAAAAGGGTAAACAAAGCACAAAGAGCAAATGCAAGAGAGCCATGAAACAAATTACATAACCAACAGGGAGCACGCGTGTCTGGGAAGAATAGATGTACTTTGAGAATAAAATAATTAACACTAATACAATACAACTGCAGGAAGATAACTTGCAAAAATGTAAGTTTCAAAACAGACATTGATGATACGACCCTCTTTTTCCATGTAGGTATGATGAAAACATGGTTGCATGGTTTAGGACATTCCTGATGAACGCATGTATTTACGTGACCAACAGAAGGGCTGGAAATGCTATCCACCAAACAATAAGAAATACAAACTGTAGCATGCAATCTCAATATCCTATCTATCACTCATAACCCTATTGTTCTTACAAATCCATGCCGCGGAGCACATAGCATGGCCATGAGAGCAAATCATACAGCCTTTTCTGGAATAGAATGGGCCCACTACTTTACCTCTCTTCATATCTTGGGTGGAAGATGAACACCCATCGAACGATACCACTCCCAATCAGGCTCTTCATTCACCAAATGACTTCCGTCGTGGCATTCACCATAATAACTACCCCATTCCGCATCGGAATCATAATCGGGAGGAAGAGGGTCCAACGCCGCTTCACGCCTCGCCAGATCAAGTAACGCTTCAGTCAGTGTCATCCCTACAGTTTAAGGATTTGGAATACAAAAATCAAGCAGAAGCAAATATCCAAAGATACCTACACTACACAAAAGGGAGAAATGAATTACCCTTAGGAAGTGGGCTTGGACACAGTCCTGCCAACCATTTGTTCTTGGTCACATCATGTACTGCGCGCTGCAAAACCGAGGAACCAACAAAAACATTTAATTACTACAATACAACAGGGTAAAAAACCAGTGCACTTGTTGTACCAACACTACTAGTCAGAGAGAAGGATCTCAAAGGAAAAGATACTGTATATAGGATCTGTCCGGAATGAACCATTACCATACATCCTAAATGAATTCACATACTCTACATCTTAAAATAAACATTTCTCTTATTCAATGGGATTCCTAGAACCCTAGCAGGGTCAGGGGAAAGCACAAAACGATTTTCTCCAATTGACCCTTTTGAGAAGAAAACACCATTTAGCTGATGGCTTAAACATGAAAGGGGATTAAAGATTATGGTAGAATCTGCGTGTTTCTTACTTCTGGTGGATATGGGTCAGCAATCATAATGGAACCCAAAAAGGCCTTCTCTGATGCCACCCTCTGTTGTGAAGAGCCAGAGTTAGGTGCTGTGGCGGAGGGCTCAGAGGTTGTGGTCATGGGTTGAGTGAATGAGGGGCCACTTATCCCGGTGGTCTGGGTCGGCAGCTTCTAATTTCGCTCAACTGCAGCATAGCTACGTATCCGAGTAATCTGTCGTAGCTCCTGCTTCTTCCGCGCAACTGTAGCTGTAAGCAAATTCGAAAGATAAAAAATCATAATCAAGCAGTAAAATAGAGAACTAAAACCGTGATCTAGATCGAAATAGAGAATTACCGTGTCTTCTACTTGTTTTTGTCATTGCCCTGCAAAATCAGGAAGGAGGAACCAGCGAATTGAGGATGAAATTGTGCAAGAGAAAGGAATTACACCCTCCGGAATGAAAACCAATAAGAAAACGGCGACAAGGTTCGGGCGCAGGTATGGAGCCAGTTCCTGGCTGACGCTAAATTACAGCAGAATCGAGATCAAACGAACAGCGACTTACCAAAATTTCTGCCAATTAGCTCCTCAAACTTTCTTCGATTCGCGGTTGCGAATGATCTCCTTGGAATTTTCTTCAACGGGCGGAATTAGGTTTTCTGTTCTTCCCCCAAACCATGCGGATGTTGGATTCGAGACAGACGATAGTGGTAATCAGGGAAAATAATTTATTCTCGGGAGTTGTTAGGGTTTGCCCAGTTGTTAACTTGCGTTCTCCGTTTTTCTCGGATCTGTGGCAATCCTGCGCACTAGGGTTTGCGTTCTCCGATGACGGCTGACCCCTACGCCCGCCGGATCCTGGGGAGACGCAGCCTCTTGTGTCGCTGTCTCCCGTTCAGGCTTCGAAGAGAACAAAAAACCCTAGCGGAGGGTGAGTTTACGGGAAGCGCGGCCATGCAGGTGGATACGTTGAACAAGCCAATAGATGAAATATCTCCGCAGCCTCGTTCCTACCTCGATTCGGTTACGGGGAAAGGAAAACTGACAGATGGTGCGAGCTTTGCTGATGAGGTAGAGGTTGAGGACAGTGAGTCAGTGACGGAGAGGGAGATCCCGATTGCCTTAACATTAGGGTTACAAAAAATACTAAGGAAAGAATGAGGTAGGAATGGAAGCGAGCCATAATAGTTCGGATACTGGGGCGCTCGTTCCCTTTCATTTTTCTGCAGAGACGGTTTCAAAACCTATGGGCCAAAGCAGGACCAATCACTGTGGCGAGCATGGGGCAAGGTTTCTACTTTGTCCGTTTCACTACGGAACGGGACTATGATAGAGCTCTCTTTGAGGGTCCGTGGATGATAGAGGATCATTACGTTCTAACTAGGCGTTGGAAGCGAGGTTTCGACCCGAGTGAAGGTGATGACGTTCAGACGCATCTCCTGGTGTGGGCTCAGCTACCGAGACTCCCGATGGACTATTATGACCATGAAGTTCTCCGGGATATCGGTAATGCAATCGGGAGGTTTGTGAAGACGGACGTGGCTACGAAAGAAGCGTCGCGAGGACACTATGCAAGAATCTGTGTAGAGGTCGACTTGACCAAGCCACTGATTGCTAAGTATCGTCTTGAGCGTCGAGTGAGACGAATTGAATATGAAGGGCTTCACAATGTGTGTTTTGGATGCGGTATCTTCGGACATAACGAGGCGGCTTGCCCTAAGAACATCTTGGCCACTGCGGCAGAGGTGACTCCCAGTGATAACCAATCTCAAGGCACACAGAAAAGAATCGAGGAGGAGAGACCGGAGATTTTTGAGGATTATGGTCCTTGGATGTTGGCTACAAGGCGACGAAGACGCTGGACACCTAGTACAGGGGGAAGGCAGTAGGGACATCACCAGGATAAATTGGGGGATAAAGAGTAACGTAGCCACGAAGTCAAGATTTGATGTGTTGGATGATCTCAACGATGAACTAATGGAAACCCCAAACAACTTGAAGGCAGCCACTAGGGAGGATACAATGGATAGTGCGGAGGCCACCATACTAGAACGAGACTTCATAGAGAATGACCAGGAGCCGTCTCCCGATGCTCGCCCTCAACCCAGCGATACTATACAACAAACTAAGGAACGAGGTCAAGAAGCGGAGACGATGAGGCAGGAGCCGCGTGTGGGGAAGGAGATATCGAAGGGGAACAAGGGAGGTAAGAATCGGGACAAGAAGGGTATAAACCAAACGATGGTGGACGGGACTCGTGTACAAGGAGAGCTATTCAAGGGGAGTAGTACTTCCCGAGGTATGGAGAGAAGGGAACCTAAGAAACAAGCTCCCCCGACAGGTAAGGATAAGGGGCCTCGACAGCCGCTGCCATCGACTCCACCTGATGGTACTAAGAGACCGGCTCGACAGCTGAATCTCAACGCCTTCCCGCAAACATTGCGAAGCGAGTTGGAGGGACAGATGGTTGGTCGGGAGGTCCCGCTTGCAACAGTGGGGATCGGAGAACTACTTCGAAGTTAGACACGGATCAGCCGGTGGAGGGTATCGTAGAGGAAGCCATGCATGCTACGTCCATCATGGACGCTTCCAGGGAGTCTCTTTTCCTCTTTGGGCTTTAGTCTTTGTGTCGGGTTGGGTCCTTTCTCTTTATATTAGTTATTTTACGTATTTTCTCATGGAACTGTAGGGGTGCAGCGGACCCCGATTTTCTCATAGTTTTCAAAGAGTTTTGCAGGAGACATCGTCCCAATATAGTGGTTATTTCGGAGCCCAAGATCAGCGGACCTACAGCTAGGGAAGTAATCCGCAAGATGGGTTTTGATAGTAAGTTCTGTGTGGAGGCTATTGGGTTCTCCGGTGGTTTATGGGTCCTATGGCACTCGTCTGAAGTGGAGCTTGTCAAACATTCAGAGTCTAGACAAATGGCTCATTTCAGATTGAAGCTTGCAGACTGTGGAGGAGGGCATGTTTACGGCAGTCTATGGGAGCCCTACTCCCAGCTTTCCACGTCAGCTCTGGGAAGATATCCGGGACCTGGCTTCGGAAATCTCGATCCCATGGCTCCTTGTGGGTGACTTTAATGCTATGCTGGGGCTCATGAAAAGAATGGGGGAGCTCGGTTCAATTATAGCCAAAGTAGAGAGTTCAAGAGCTGTGTGGATGACTGTGGTCTTCACGACGTCGTTTTCACCGGCCCCCGTTTTACTTGGAGTATTGGGAGACTCAAGGAGAGGCTGGACCGAGCTCTATGTAACTCCGAGTGGTTTCAACGCTGGCCGGAGACCTCCTCTTTGCACATGGAAAAGCTCAAATCCTATCATCGGCCCATTTTGGTTAGTATGGAACGTTGGAGGACCACTAATGTCGGGGAGAAGCCTTTTAGGTTCCTCGCACCTTGGCTAATGCATGAGGACTTTCCTCGTATCCTTCAGGAAAGCTGGGCGGTGGGCGACGAGTTCAAAGAGTCCCTCACGGAGCTTACCACTTCTCTAAGACAGTGGAATAAAACCACCTTCGGTAACATCTTTGAGAAAAAAAAAAAGACTATCAAAAAGGCTACAGCAATTGGAAGTAATTAATGAGTTGCACCCGTCCACCGAGACTCTAGCGGAGGAAGCAACAACTCGTTCAGCCCTCAACACTGTGCTGAAAGAGGAGGAATTGTTTTGGTATCAGAAGTCTCGAGCTCAATGGTTTATTGAGGGAGATGGGAATACGAAATTCTTTCTCTAATGTTAAGTATCTTGCTGGCACTCCATTTGGAAAGAAAATCCAATTTGAGTGGTTCTAATTGAACTCCTTTTCATTAATCATCATGTTAGTAACCTCTCATAAATAAATATATATATAATTTCAAGGACATGTTTCTGCAGCAACCTATTTGTGAAGAACTGCAACAGATTCATTTAAATTATGTGGCACATGCACAATCACCCAACCATCCTTCATTTGAGTCAATGGATGAAATCAAATCATAGTTGTTGTCTTACTGTTTCAGGACACGTCTTGCGACGATGATACAACATGGTATTAGAGCATGAAATATTTTATTACTAAAAATGAATTTTACCTTGTAGATCACATTTACTACAATTTGTTGGTATAAAGAAACGAAGAAGAAAAACAACTCAACGAATGAGAATTAATAAAAGAGTGATTGTATAAATTTTAATTTTCAAATTTTGGGTTATGCATCTATTTCGTTCTCCTTCCTAAGGTTGAATATCCATTATGGAACCTCTTCCAATGAATTATTGGGACTAAACGATTATAAACATATGATATCGGAGCTTTCTGTCGATAACTGAGAGGTCTTTTGTTGGAGTATCAATGGTCTCTTTGGAGTATCAATGGTCTCTTTTGGAATATCAAGGTATTCTGAACCTATGCATATTTCAAGTCCATATAAGTTGACTGCAAACTGTTACTAACCACACTTTTTTTTTTTACAGGAATTTGTACTCAGCTTTATTAATCAGATAACGCGGTTACAATGTCCTGCTGCAATTGATTAATAAGAAAATTAGGTGAATGATCATGAATAACATCCGGGTTTCGCAGCTTGTATATCAGGCTCATGCAATCCGACTCGATAATAACACTTAAAACGTGAACTCGCAGCTCCATATATAGCTTTGCATTAATTGAAATGTTACCTGAAAAAGATGCATCCTACATCCGATTCAACCATTTAACTCCTTCAACAACCGAAATGAATTTGGGTACTGGTTTTGGAAAGAACCCAAAACCGTCGTACGGACAGTGCATATCAATGAGAAAGTGACTTCACCACAAAAAAGGGAAAAAAACTGTCGGGCGTAGTTCGCTTGCATACAAGTGTAAATCCAATTCATTTCCCCCCCACATCACAATCATTGTATACTGAATTGACAGTGAGACACACACAACTATTTCTCTGTAGGAAGCAAAGACTTGCGCCTCAAGTAAAAGACCCTGTGAGCTGTGACAAATGCGCCCTCCTGATGACCCCAATGCCCCCTCATAACCAATTCACATAACTGTTCATCTGTAACAGCTCCAATGTCTTTTTTTACCTGTATGAAGGGAAGATAAAACAATTGTCATTATTTGCTTGTTGCGGATTAGGAGAAAATCAACAGAAGTAAACCATAACTTACCTGGAAATCTGACTGTTCTTTCTGATTTACTGTAGCCAATTATAAAATGACGCAAACACACTTGTTTTGTTTCGGTAGGTGTGCTGCTTTTTTATCTGCTACATCCAGAAAACAAATACCAGAGAAACATTTATGCGTTAGAAGTCGCCTGAAACTAGTGAAGTGAGATCGATTATTGGTTATGCAATGCATGACACTGTTAAAGCCTATGCTACAACAGAATACCATAAAGGAAGTAATAGCAGCCTGTTTATAGTCACAAAGATTAACACCAAGTGAGATGAACCATCACCAAGCTCAAATAATAAGCAAGGGGTTCTCAATCCATACAAAAAAGTACGAGATGTCCATGGTTTGAGAAGTTTCTTTAAATGCAAATATAACTTCTGTCAGAATCAGAGTTTCTTGAAGTGAACACAAAATCCTACCTTTCTCTGTTGATGGGGGTTGAACAACTACGTGCATGGTTGTGACCCCACCAGGAACATCACATAGAGGACTGCGACATTCTCCTATGGTTCGTGAGTTCTCCAATATCCTTCCTGCACTTATCAACTTCACATCTTTCACCGTCCGTGGACCATTCTCTTTCTCTGTGATAGAAAAAGGCAATCAACAAATCTTAATACTCTCTCTGATCCAATCTGATCCATTAACTAAATGAGGTGAAATGCAAAGCAACAGACTTGAGATCTCTGCAAATACAGCAATGAGCGATAATGAAAAGACCTACACCACTCCAACAAGAAATTATGTTCTCCGAGCATGAAGAATAACACAAAAGTGAACCCCTCTTTTATTCACAGCTGAAGCTGCCTCGATTCATCAAAATCAGCTTCGATTCAAAAGGCATTATGTTATCGAGCAGACTACTCCAGATTGGCTGTAAGAGGGGAAAAGACTTGTCAATGGCTTCTTCCACGGTATAGTATGTTTTTATGTTACCCTATCATAGGTAGAGGCTGGACAAGAATCAAGGAGACTGGCTTCAACAACTGTGAGAAGAAAAAACACAATGGCCAAAAAGGATATGATGGCAATTACATGGCTCCATGTTTGATGCCACTAAATTTTTTATTCAACTCGAAGAGAATCAGTTTCTTTTCGCATAGTGGACCACTGCCATAGCGAGAAAATAAAACCAATAACAACTTCCTTTTATCACTTCAAGGGAGAGGAAGCTAAGAACATGAAAAAACAATGAGAAGCCAAAACGTTTATAACATATTTACAAGGAGCCCAAGGAAAGCCACTATTAAGGTTAGCAAAACCAGGATTCAGCTAAGCAAAGCACCAGAGCAGTAATATGCAGTATAAACATAGACAAGGTGATCTTGGCGCTCTTTGTTTGGAGTTGAATATCTCCCTTTCTGAATTTTTAACAACAAATGATAAGAAACTGTAGACAAAGACCTCTTAACTCTTAAGCCCACATTCTATAATAAATGTCAATACAAGAACAATGAAACAGACAACATGACTTCTTATAAAGCATAGAATGGATGTTAGCATTACCTTTAGGCCATTGAGCAAGAACAGTTTCCTTCAAAGTTGCAACACTTGCTGCAGTAGGAAAGCTTTTGGGACCAATATCTGATCCATCTGTCAATCGAAATTTGATCTCTAACTGATCTTGTACACCGGCCATGTCTTCGCGGATTTAACAACAACTGAGTTCCCAGAATCCAGGGAGCTACAGGATTTGTTGTTATCCCAATATCAACCAACCACAGCTCAAACAAGCTGGAGAAGAAATTTGAACCTTGTAGTGTTCTCTAGGAAACAAAGGACTGATGAAGACTCTTGACTCGTTTAGCTTCCTGCCAAAGACAATACGTAAAAGGGGGTCTTCTTCAGTATCTTGCAAGTGGAAATTTTAGGAACCAGAAATGTAAGCTTGAATAAAGGACATATTTTAAGAATCGGATTTCTAAGGAAGGAATCATTCCCTGATACGTGAAAATCAGCAACCAAAACTCTGAAATTTCCCTAAAACTAACCATCATGATTGGCTCCAATTCTAATCAGCTGACCTATTGCTTTGATTTCTGCCTGTTATGAAATTCTAATCGCTGCTACTAGTTGAATTCAAGGCAACAAAACAAGAAAACCCTGGAATTTAAAAACAATAATAGAAATAAACAGAGACTGTGCATACAGGAAGGAAACTGAAAAGGTCGCAAACTAAAAAAAAAAACAAGAAAACCACAAAATTCTGCGAACTGGGTTCTACCACAAACCACATCTCCGCCCCCTCTAAATATCATAATCAACAAAGGAAAACGAACCCCTCAGTTCCAGAAAACTGTAATCACAGCTGCATCCGATCGAAGAAACTATTGGCAATAAATGGAATCGATCAGGCAAGGAAGATTAGGGGAGGGAGTGAAATTGGGGAATGGGTTTTCTTACTTGGTGGCAGAACTGATCTGGGTGAATTGCTAACCGCTGGAAAGATTCGAAACTGTACAATTATTATGATGGGGGGCGAGAAAGGGAAGTTGAAACAGGGTGTTGGGCTCCAGTATACAGCAAGGTGAAAGAAACAAGAAGAGGAAGGAGCAGAAGGAGAGGGAGAGATTAGAAATAAACGAAAAGGGAAAGAAGTAAATAAACGAATCTGCAGCGATGGGAAAGAGGGAAGAACTAAGAAGAAGAAAGGTGAGGGAAGAAGGAAGGAGGAGGCGTTTTTGGAGTTTTTTAAGTTGTTCCCATTTCTAAAAAATAAAAAATGGTCAGAAAATTAAAAACAAAAAATTTGCATATTATTTTGTGCGCAATCAATTCTCAATTCAATCCCCCCATGTCCATATCTGGCGTCTCCCTCTCTCTCCCTTGCCTTCTTTTCCATCTTCTCCTACCTTCCTCCTGTGACCATGGAAATGGACTTCCATTTTCTCCTTCCATTTCCTTCTTCGTTTATTTTCCTTCTTTGTTTTTTTTATTTTATTTTATTTATTCCTCTCCACTATTTATGCTTCATCTTGGGCCTGAGAAAACTTTTGCACGTCCTTGGCTAAAAGGGAACGAGAAGAAGGGGTTATTGACTTTTTTCGTCACACTCCTTCAATTTGTTACTTTTTACAAACACGTCCTCCCATTTTTTATGGGCTAATTATTAGCATAAAAGCTCACAAACTTATTCATTTTGTACAAAATGGTCACAAATCTTTCATTTAGCACGTTTCAATAACTTTTATTTTGACTAATAACAAAAAACTAATTTCGTTCATCTCCATCCAAAAAATCGTTAGTTTTGTCTAGTCAGCAAGCCACTGTCACTTAAAAAAATTGGTCTAAGAATGCAAGTAATATGCAACCTCTATATATGATTAGATGTCCTACCCAATCATTTGTTGTGAGTTTCTGTTTTATATTGGCATCCTACTTTGGGAGGAAAAAGCATGTATTTGCTTTACTTGAATTAATTTAATATGAGGATCTTTAGATAAAAGTGATGACGATTCAACAATACTTGAGTGGTTGGTCCATGTGTTGACAACTAATTTATGAAAGGATTCTAACCATTTTTTTTATGAAACGATCCCTTACATTAAACAAGTATACGAAGTTACATACGACCTAGCACTTATGAATTCACAATTAACACTTTGAACCATTAACATAACAATTACTTCATTTATGTTAATAAAACTTTTTGTCCAAAATATCCAAACAACTATTTCAGTTCAACTCATCGATGATAAAAGCAGCCAAATAAATTCTAATCAACCAACACGATATAATTCATACCCAATCAAAATCAAACCCTGTTCATACTATAACTCACACTGTATTAGGATCACACTCATGCTTCCTCCCTTATCTAATAGTCAATCAGAAGGCCCATAGAACTTATTTTTCACATTGACAAGAAATACTACAGACAGATACATAGCCGCCAATCTTTAACACCAACGAGCGATTAAAAACACTGAAATTTAACATGAGAATTATTTCCTGAAGAAAAAAAAAACCAAACATAACAATAGTGATAACAACAATCATAAGTCGATCAATAGTGAAACACGTAGATGTCACACTCCACGACTGCATTTCCCGTTGTTTCATTAAAGGAATGCGTTTTGAGATGAACCTTTCCACGAGCGAAGCCGAACACTCCGGTACCGGCGACGACCGGCATCTCCCTTGTCCCGGCGGCAAGTATGGGGTTGCGTCCCAACACAGTGACGGTGCTTCCTCTGTACTCACCACCATGGGCCGTAAACACAAAGTTGAACAACTCCACAAGAGCCGCGTCAGTCCTGGAAGCGACGCCGTATAGCCCCTGAACGCGTCCCACCGCGGTGGAGTCGAGCTCTGGATCCAACGTCAAAGGGTTGTCCGCCATGATTAACCCCCCAAACAAACGGGCCGGATGGCTGTAATCTAGAGGGCCTTTAGGGTTGAGAGGCAGGGCCGTAGCGTTTGGGCCGGCAAGGAGGTTGTGGTAGTAGAAATGGAGGTGGGTCAGCTTCTCATTCTTCAGCGCCATAGCTTTTGCCGACAGTTCCGTCGAGAAAGGATGCGATGACATTAATCTAGCCTCGGAAAGTAGAATGGCGAAGAGGAAGAGGGTGATCAGAACGGAGAAGAGGGAATATTGTTTCAGCAGCATTTTGGGCTTGGCCATGGTATGGTAGAATCAGTATTAATGAAAGTACTCTTTGAAGAATGTATGTGCTAATTGCTATAGCTAACCAAAAGCTTCTTTGTTTTTATCTTCTATATATGTTTGGACATGAAGGGTATAAGATTGCCTTTATTTATAGCTAGAAAGCGCAAGCCAAGGTTCCATCGCCGGAATGAACCTTAGACGGCGGCATCCACTGCACTTGCAAAAAGACAAGCATAAGTGACATGACATTTTCAGCTTCACTCGGGGGAAAACCAAACGAGAAACCTTCAGAGAGCGTAGGAGCCTAGGAGGGCCACGAAGCAAATTACATGACCAACCGTGTACACTCATGCTAGGAAGAATAGATAAGAAACATTGATAAAAATAAAATACAACTGCAAGAAGAGAACTTGCAACAGACATTTTGCTGATAAATTGTTAGTTTGGTCGCTGGAATTACTTATAAAATTTATGTTTGTCATTAAAATTAATTTATTTCATCTGAAGTCACTAAAATTAGTACTTCATTTCAAGTTTGGTCACTCTCCATTAGTCTTCGTTAACATTATCTGACATGGCAGTTAACTTTGAGAGTTGACCGTTAAATAAGTGACGTGACAATTAAAAATTAATAAAAAAACTAAATATTTTCAAAATTCCAACCCATTATCACAATAAATTCCATCCCACCAGCACCAGGGGCGGACCTATGGCTAGGGAAGGTGTTGTCGTCCGACATCCCTCCGCCCGAAAATTTTGTGAAGGATCTCCATTTTTTTGTATAAAAAATTTAATTTGAAACTTCCAACACCGCTCTAATATAAGCGACACAACTTCACTATGCGACAATTAGGGATGGCAATGGGGCGGGTTTGGGGCGGGTTTGTCTAAACCATCCTCATCCCCAAATATCCAAACACATACCCGCCCCATACCCATGCGGGAGAATGTTTTGCAAACCTATCCCCATACCCGTGGGTTTCGGGTACCCATGGGTAATACCCATACCCGTACATCCAACATTATTATACCTAAAACTTACAAGAAAAGTTTTAACTATAACTCTAAACGAACTTATTATATCACGAAGTCAACAAAACACAGTCATTTTCTTAATACAGTTCAAAGAATATGATCCTAAAACATTCTTTAATACATAATATAGAATATAATATTTTTCAACTTATTATGTTCTCATACATCTACTAAGTAATAATTAGGGTTATAGGTATAATATGCCCCTCTACTATGACGTTTTATCAAACATGCCCCTCTACTATTTTTTACATCAAACATGCCCCCTGTACTTGGAAAACTTATCAGACATGCCCTTTTGTTAAAATTTCCATCCAAAAACCGTTAACCAAGACCGAACTTTGGTTTGGGCGACCCAAATATCTAAAATATCCCTAATAATTTCACTTTAGAGTTTTTTTTGTTCTTTTGTATAGCCAAATAATTCTAATAATTTCACTTGACCTAGAGAAATAAAACAAGGGTCAAAACTGATATTTCCCCTCCCATTTATCGATGTCAGGTCGTCTAAATCTCGGTTCAACCATGATTGACGATTTTTTCAATGGAAATTTCAACTGAAGGGCATGTTTGATAGTTTTTCCAAATTACAGGGGCATGTTTGATGTAAAAAATAGTAGAGGGGGTATGTTTGATAAAACGTCATAGTAGAGGGGCATATTATACCTATAACCCTAATAATTAACTAACATAATCTTGTTGACCAGGGGGAAAGTGAAAGAGTGAAAGGAGAATTGAAGGAAATGAATTTAATTAAGGTAGTCACTCAATTGCATTTCTATTATTTATTCCTCGAGTTATCCTCATAACAATTGATAGATTACAATTTGATCCACATATTTTTGTATATGTGAAGAAATTCTCTTGGTGGGGCGGGTATGGGTATGAGTATGGGGCGGGGGAGGCTAAAACCATACCCGCCCCATACCCATCAAACCTTTTGCGGGTTTTACCCATATCCGCCCCACATCCGGTCAAAGCGGGGATTCCCCACGTTGACTGGGTCGGGGACGGTCCGGTACCCGTGGCCATGGGTTTGATTGTTATCCCTACGACAATAGTTTTAATGTTAGAAAGTTATTCATCATAATTAGTAATTAACAATAATAAGTAAAATCAAATAAGCATGCTTGTTTGAAGTAACCCACAAACCAATTTAACTTGTCAATTTGTAGTTAATAGGTGAATTGCGTAGATTTATGGGAGATTGTGGTTTGAGTTTGGTTACTTTGGTAGAACTAGAGAAAAGATGCTAATGATATTACTTTAGGCATACTTTGTTTTGTCTAAAATTGTCAATTGGTAGATCGTGGTTTACTATATTTGATTGTAAACTAATTTATTTTAACTTTTATTTTAGATGTGGGTCGATTCTCTTTGATTGAGTGACTAATTTATTAATGATTATGTAGTTGTGTATATCGAAAAATGTTTGATTTGCAACATAAGTGATGAATGTATTTTTTTTTTTTAATTAGGATATGAAAAATGGTGATAATTCGTAGTAAACATGACGTTGTCAACTTATAAATGAATTTCCATTGATTTCTATTAAATTTTTATTTTTATTTAATTATTTTATTTATTATAATTTTTATCGGCGACACCCCACTCTTCTTCAACAATCCTGGATCCGCCACTGACCACCACCATGATGAAATCCGCCAATCTTCCCCGGTCACCGTAAGTACCCCAACTACTATTACTGGTGAAACCTGACTACTGCTATTACCACCACTACCAAAAAAATTACCGACGAAACCTGTTCCATATTGCCAAAACTCGCTTCCAAACACGATCTCCAGACCAAATTCTCGTTCACCAACGCTGCCAAAGTTAGGTAAAGAGAAAACTTAGTATTAAAATAAAAATATTAAAAAGTTAATTATGAGTAATGTCATTCAAATATTTCACCTCATCAATAAGACGAAGACAAATCGTTAAAACTCAAAGAAAAAAATTGTTAAAAATACGACAAGGCAGATGTTGAAAACTGGTTAAAATAACATTTGTCGTTTTCGAAAACAGCAGTATGCTACCACTTTATGTTTTTAGAGTTGGAAACGAACAGAAAACAGAAAAAAAAAGTAAACAAATTTTCTTGTTTCGTTTGCCAGATTTATGAAATGAAAAAAAAAATGAAAGTGAAAGTGAACTAGCGCTAAGTAAAATGTGAAGCCTGAGTGATATACATAGTTAGAAAAATATAGTACATGAATGGTTGAAGCTAATTAAGAGAGAAGCGTTGATTCTTCTTCGGAGTCTTCAAAGTCTGGTCAAAGTACAAATTTATGTAACTATCCATCTCTAGTCAATCGCCATGGAAGGACATCGACAATCTTTCCTGCTCCTCTGTTTTCGATTTTTTCTCACCTTGTTGTTTTCCTTCCATCCAAGCTAAGAGGGAAAGACAGGCAGACTTTTGCCTTGGTTTTGTCCAAAGGGATACAAATGAATGAATGAATGATGATGTAAACTATAGGGATATTGATTCTAATTCATCAACAGACACAAGGTATTCCCTTGTTGGAGTGTTAATCTCCGAGAGTTTTCAACCTCATCTTAACTTAAGAAGAAATGAAATGAATTTTGACAATAGGAAATGTGTAACTTGTATCATAATGAACTCAAGGTTATTCACGAACTATCAGAGGCATTCATAGACTTGAGCAATTTTTATGCTGAATATTCAAATGCAGAAACAAGAAAATGGACACAAGGATCAGAATTCAATTCCAACATACCATCCTGAAACTGTTCAACATAAAGGGGGGAAAGAAAGAATATTTCTGCACATTTTGAAATGTTTGCGTCTCTGATGAGGTTCATAGCCAGCATCGTACATATAAGGGAGTACCTAAAATTGCAGTAGACAGTCTCCCCACAAAATTGTAAGGCGGGACTTGTTTGTAACATAGCAGCAATCTTCATTTTCTTACCTCTATTTCTACATTTTCACTCAACTGGTATCAAACTTCAAAAGCAAGGGGCAAGAAGAGTCTCTAACAAAAAATCTTTGACAGCAGTAACAATAAGAATATGAAGGAAAGAGCTTTTTCTGGGCTCATAACAGAATTACAGAACATAACAGCAGCCCTCCCTCTGTAGTGCAGAATATAAAGTGTCCTACTCGTAGCTCGCCTCCTCTTTCCAGCCACCAAAATCGAAGTGTATAGTATCGATGGTTGGTGCAAATTGCAGCCGCCTGTGAAGAAACTTCATAATCGTGTATCTTGTGCCTTCTTTATTCTAGACATGGGAACTAACTGAGCCAAGAATCCAGGCTAGCTTCCTTCAATATAGACTCTTTTTTGTTCTTTTTTCTTTTTGGTTCATATCTCCAACCGGAAGAATTAAATGTGCGATTGCTATGTTACAAATGAAAGAATGAATTCTCAGTGCCCGTGCTAGTGACGCAGAGCTATTGGGTAGTGAATTCTGACCTGAAAACCACTTTGCCCAAGTTTCTGCTAGCCTTCTGTCCCTCAGTAGACATCCAGAGAATGCTCAGGTGTATAAAGTCTGACTTCATGTGACAATTCATATCACTCAGCTAATAGTTCTATCTCTCTCTACCTTGTATGACTTGGCTACGTCTCCATGATGTGGCAGTTACGTACAAAATCACTGGAGTAATTGACATACTTTGTCCAGAATGGCCGCAAATGCTCAAACCCAATTGGCAACCATGGTTTTGACTGGCCATTGTAATGGATTACTGCAGCTCGTTTCACACTTTCAATGTCTGTCTTATTCTGATACCCCAACCCTAGCATATGCCATTCAGGATCAATTGCATGCACATGACCTTTAAATGCAATCAAAGCTGGGGGCAAGGTTCCAAGCTTCCACATGGTCAGGTTTGATTTCAGATTCTGCGAGTACAAAAGACCAAAAGCAGCCCCGTGAGATGAAAGCTGAACGTACTGATACTTGACACAACAATATGCAAACTATATATTGGCAGTACTAAAAGCCAATGGAGATTTAGAAGTTCCACATTGAGTTGTATCTCAAATTACTAGATTGAGCCTTATGGGTACACAGCTACAACACTAGAATACTCTGTCATGATGTCAGAAAACAACGAAAAATAGTACTTTTACAGAATTGACTTAAGGACATGCAAAAGATTTGTTTCTAACATCCTCGAACAAATGAGGTGACAGAATGTAGAAGATCCTTCTATATGTATTCTAATGACTGCATGCACACCAAAATAAATTGAACAAGAGTGCTAACGGAGCAGGACAAATTAATAACGTGTGCTTACTGCTTAACACGAAAAGAAAATCTACCTCTCTCAACCAGGAATGATATGTTTCTCTGATACTGGTCTTCCTCCATGCATGAAGGTCGAATACATTCATTCCGTAAGCCCAAGCACATTCTTCTGAATCCAAGTTGTTTGCTATGAGGGGATGAGAAAAATTGAAGTAGTTCTTAAAACGCTTGGACATCACCCACTCATCCTCGCCTCTACATGTTTCCACAGCGCCATTAACCTTCCCTTTAAGGTCAATATCCCAAAGCGGAGACAAATCACGCTGAATGACAACATCATCGTCCAAAAATACCACCTTGTCGAGGTTCGGGAACAGCTGTTTTTGAGACATTGGCAGTTTGACAAAAAAAAAATTTGAATATCGAGTAATGGATGGAAGAGGAAGGACATTCCACAGTACTTAACGAAAACCACAAATGAATACTTCTCAAGACCCAAAAAATTTGATATACTAGTAGTTAGATATGTTGAACACCAAAAATGTACCAGGTGTGACTTACAATTAATAAACTTATCGTGTGTCAGAATCAGAAACGTGCAGTTTATTAATCTACTGAACTGGTTCACATTCCATTTTGCTTAAGAAAAGGCTGTATCTTCTTCAAAAATACTTTGCAAATTATGAAGAAGGTAAACCTAAGACATGCTCTAAGGTTTATCTGTTGAGTTTAAAACAAGACATGTAAAGACAAGTAAAGGCATGTAATTATGTACTAGTTTACAACTTCCCATAAATCAATTCACTTTACCTCTACTATTCTCTGTTGTGTAGCAGACATGATATAGGAAATTCATACCCATAACTAACATAAAGCACTACTTCAGATCATAACTGATTACCTCGGGTAAATATATCCGTAGGTGGTTGAGTAAGGAAATGTACTTTGGACTTCTAGCTTGTAGTTTTGAAGCAAACATACGTGGAGTTGTATCGCTGAGATTTGCTCCAGCAACATGATTTCCATGATAATAGTTCCTGATACTATTATGGCTCTCTACAGCTTCGAGCACGGGAACATTCTCCCTGGTCAACCATTCAAACTGATGGACGCCTTTGACTTCAATGATAGCAGGGGAGACAGAGTTTAGCGCAAACCAAGAATGCATCCCGGCATAAGTCTTCTTGTCAGTGATGACATGAAAGACAATCTTTTCAGGTCTTAGTGATGATGCCACAGTCGAAGTCACAACAACTGATGCTGCCAAAATGTTGTCTGTTGATAGTATGAAGTGATGGTAAGAGTTGTCAGACAACAGAGGGAGCAACTCTGGAGCAGGCAGTTGCCTGCGCGCATGTGCATTAGAGGAATATTCATCCGTCAAACGCAAAGAGAGACAGTGGATGCCTTTTGGAATAGAACTTGCAGTGAAGTGTTTGTTCATCAGCTCTGCAAATTTCGATTCTCTAATTTCCCTTTCAAATTTCTCCATCTGGAACAAAAGAAAGGAGTTAGGTTAAACTGTGTTTTACCAGTGTTTCACTGATTTCTTTCACAAAGTAGGGTTGGCGCTCTAAAGGCATAGAATCAATGTCTCAAGGCACATTGCCTATCTATGCAATGCAATGTAATGCATACCGACCATGATGCACACAAAAATCATACAGAATTGAACTCTTAAGTACTCGTTAAGATTTTATCCACATTATATCTATCGATCAGCCAATCAACTGGACAGCTAATCAGGGTATAAATAAATATTCTAAGATACCAAGGTATTGATTCTTATTTTATATGTTTGTACCACCAATTCCCTCCAAGAAATTAGCAGAAGGTGTATCATAGCTAGAGCTACAAATGGAAACATAAACATACCATAGCTCTCAATGTAAGAGCAAATGTCTTTGCATCGTATTGGTTGCTCTTCATTTCAGCAACAAGTTGACTAAATGACTCCGGGAGCTTTAGACCATTAGGAATTTCCTCTGTATTAACTTGATTCAATATCTTGTGGAAGTCCTTGACCAACCTCTGCTGCATCATTGTCATCAGAGAGGACTTCAGTTAATCAATCATCATATAACCACTGAGCATATGAACTGTGAGGGAAGGGCAAGGAATGTTTACCCCAGAATCATCAACCCTGCCAAGAAGCCTTGGCCCAAGTCGCCTACCTAAGCAATCTGAAGGATAACAGAAAGGACAATATAAGATAAATAAAATAAAAAAGAAATACCCAACAATTAACCTGACGAACACAAGCAAGGAAGGAATCATATTGTTTGGAGTAACCTTGCAGTTATCCACATTCCAACAGAAACCTTAGGAGATTAGGAGAAGTGTGCGGCATGCAAAGGAATTTCATCAGTAAATCATCTTAAGGAACAGATCTTACAATGGGACAAGAGCTAAAGAAGTAAGGATCTAGAAACTGTGACCAAGAAGGATTCATAATCCTGATAATGGTATATGGATGAACTTAACCAATGACTCAGTAACTGAAGAAAAGGATAGACTAAATTCTGATTCTGCCCAAGGCAGATCTTGATAAGTTGCAACCCATCTTATAATTTAATCAGAATAGTAACGGGACACTTGTGGGAACACAAGTTTGTGTAGACAACCAGCAAGCATTAATTATCCCAGACAATGATGCAAGATCTGAAAGTAATGCACATAACCAGTCAGCAAGGTAGTGCTCTGTAATTCTGATTTACAAATTACAATATGAATCACAACCCATTTGAAGAGGCACAATCACAGGAAAATGACGACAATAATATGAGAAACAGTAAATGCAGATCGATACAGTTCTGAATGCAAATGCAGAAAAGATGTCACACCAATGCATCCATCCTCGAATGGCAGTTAACAGAAAACGAAAACAATCACTATCAATGGATGCAAGACCCGTTCCCTGAATATGAATCCAAGTG